TGACAACCGCATACTTTTTCGACATCACTAATAAAAGAATTTTTCGTCCAGCGCATGCGCCAAGAGTGAATAGCAACTGAATAGAGCGGTTGTCATTTGACAATCCCCTTTTATTTACTAGAGGAAACGCAAAAGGTAACAAGATTACGTAACCAAAGGTGAGAAGGCACTGAACGAACTGTCAACCTACGAATACAACCTCAGTGCAACAATGTGCTCTTTCTGCTTACACAAGCAGAAAGAGAAAGAGCACGTTGTTGCCCTGAGGTTGTATTCGTAGGTTGACACTTCGTTCAGTGCCTTCTCCCCTTTTATTTACTGGGCATTTGTAGCCTAAAATTTGTTTTGCAAGGTTCAATGTGACAGTGTATGCAGGCATCAGCAGTACAGGCTGAAATTTCAATGTGGCCGAGATGTGTTTTTGCCCTGGGGAGGCTGCAATTTAAAAGCACCGAAAATTTGCATACTTTACAACACAGTACTGAGCATGCGGTGAGCTGATGACGAAATGAATTGGAGGTACTAATAATGCTAAGGGATTCGGGGGCGCATCAAAGGGGTCAGCACCAAGGAATGGGAAAGATTTGTGCCCAGTTCAGGCATGTATATTGGGTATAGAACGGAAATTATTGGCTTAGCCTCGGGCGACTCCTACCAGTATTGCCACCAATGGCCCATGGCTGCTGATCTCTGTGATAGAAATGAGACGTGTATGTGAAACCAAAATATGGCTTTTCAAGATGAACTGTAAGACATGTTATTATAACGAGTCGCAAATTTAACGATTGTCCAAAATTCATAGGTTAACGAGCAGATATGTTAACGATCTTGCAGTATTCTGCCATATCCACACACAGCATATATGAAGCAGTACGGACTCAACGGATCTTATTATAACGAAGAAATGTCATCCGTTAAAACGTTAGATTTGCTTCCTCATTATATACAATCATGTCTTACAGTATGTGCATTTTGTGAAGATCTGATGTAAGTCATTAGGGACACCTTGTTGGGTCTTGCCAACATTCAATTATTATGATGTTCATATCTATGCAATAACGTTGATGGAATTATCAGCAAGAATCAATAACCCCAAGAGTATGCAGCTTTGTACATGGAGTCTGCCACAACACGTTGACCAAAGTACATGAACCTAGACACGAGCTGGGAAATCAGCTGAGCTGCTGCGTCATTTATGATCTGCTATAGTTTCCACAGTCTCCATGGAGGTTTTTCTTGGAGACGTCGAATCTACAGTATTAGGTGTGAAACTTTTGTACTAAACCGCAGGAGATAGAATCTATCCAGCTCGGACATCATTTCACTACGTACGGAAGGAAGTACGCCGATCAAAGCTTGCTACACTCAGGAGATAGAATCTATCCAGCTCGGACAACATTTCACTACGTACGGAAGGAAGTACGCCGATCAAAGCTTGCTACACTCCCGTTTAGTCAACTTAACGGCCCAAATAATGCTTGGGTCATGAACTCATCGCTGTTGGTCTTTCGAGGGTGCCTGACAATGGTTGTTAATGCACAGCACCAGCCGGGCCAAATGACAAGATCAGAGACATAGATCTTCCTACGAAGTAGTTCAATTGCTGAAACGTGACTTCTGCAAACGTTATGTAGCAAAAGGAACTGTACTACGGCACTACACGCCATTCACAACAATCAAAAAAGGCCCACTTGACAAAACAGAATTTCATCAACGGAGCCCCGTGATTTTTTCTTCTGTACATAAGTTATGCATTATGGAGTCATAGCATAAGGGAGACGGCACGGTAGACTTTCAGCCTAAATCATAACAAGGGCCAGCCGGGCAGCTCAAAAGAGAGTGCTATGCACTATTGGCAGAGTGGTATACATGAATAGAGAGTGACCACCCAGTGCGTGAAGCTTTTCGTGTCACCCTAGAAAATTTCACAAATTAATAATGTGGGTTCAACCCCGGGCTGCCAGTGACAGTTGCCCTTACTGCCTTAGGGGCAAGTGCGATACAAACATGTTGGCATATAGCATCGCTTGACTGACCCATGCTTGGGGCCAGTGGGTCAAGTCCGCGATCACGAGTTGCATAAACCACAGATCATGTAGAATCTCCATGGATCCAATCTGTGTACTGTAAAAGCAGAAATTTTCGGTGGTGTAATATTTTCGGAATTCTCCAAAATCGGCGGTTCGGTGGAGGGAAATAATAATTGTCGGTAATACCCGCTTTCCAGGTAAGGGTGCTAGTACTGGTGCATTTTTGCGGTAAAAATTGTCGGCACCGAAGTTACCGAAAATAAAACACCACTGAAAATTTCTGCTTTTACAGTACATCATTTTGGGTATCATGATCTCGTGTTGTTTCCTTGGGTGCTACGACTCCCTGACATGCATTGATCCATGGCACGGTATGATTTGGGCGATTTCAGCCAATCAGTAGACGTTCTGAGAGGGGTATATTCAACGATACACCCCGCTCAGTTCACATGGGTCGCGCCAAGAATGAATATTGGGAGGAGTCTTGGGAAAGTGCCCTGGGAGAAATGGATTGCACCATTGTATACATGTACTGCATTCCCCATAATTTCCTCGTGCTACGTCCTCGGGAAAATATTGAACATATACCCTTCATATACTCATAGAATAATCCAAACGTATCTGCAGTCAACCACGGGTATAACAACCCACGGATAGTGACACTATCTTCAGACCTAGTAACAATATAGCCGTATATTTTCAACCCTGTGAATGACGACAACTCCCAAATAGCAACACTTTTCTCATGCCCGATCAAGGGTCGTTCGTTACTGGCAAAGTTAGCTGGGCATCATGTCATGTAGTCATTATTACTTCAGGCAGGGACAATGAAATACCCCCGCCCCTATTCCTGCAGAGGGAACAGTGCTGTGTCCAGGTCCACATGCAGCATGGAGGTGCTAGTAAGTCACTGGCATATTTTCTCTTGTGGATCGATGAATAGGGCGTGACAATGCTTCCATAGTGGTGGTGGTGGTGGTGGTGGTAGTGGCGGGAGCATACTGCACTGCAGGGCATTACAGCACTGGCATACTATTATTTTCTCTTGCAGCCGTGCAGGACAATGCTTCTATAGTGGTGGTCACGGTGGTGGTGGTGGTGGTCACGGTGGTGGTGGTGGTGGTCACGGTGGTGGTGGTGGTGGTCACGGTGGTGGTGGTGGTCACGGTGGTGGTGGTGGTCACGGTGGTGGTGGTGGTCACGGCAGTGGTGGTGGTCACGGCGGTGGTGGTGGTCACGGTGGTGGTGGTGGTCACGGTGGTGGTGGTGGTGGTGGTCACGGTGGTGGTGGTGGTGGTCACGGTGGTGGTGGTGGTCACAGTGGTGGTGGTGGTCACGGCAGTGGTGGTGGTCACGGCGGTGGTGGTGGTCACGGCGGTGGTGGTGGTCACGGCGGTGGTGGTGGTCACGGTGGTGGTGGTGGTCACGGTGGTGGTTGTGGTCACGGTGGTGGTGGTGTTCAAGGTGGTGGTGGTGGTCACGGTGGTGGTGGTGGTCACGGTGGTGGTGGTGGTCACGGTGGTGGTGGTGGTGGTGGTGTTCACGGTGGTGGTGGTGGTCACAGTGGTGGTGGTGGTCACGGTGGTGGTGGTGGTGGTCATGGTGGTGGTGGTGGTGGTCACGGTGGTGGTGGTGGTGGTCACGGTGGTGGTGGTGGTGGTCACGGTGGTGGTGGTGGTCACGGTGGTAGTGGTGGTCACGGTGGTGGTGGTGGTCACGGTGGTGGTGGTGGTAACGGTGGTGGTGGTGGTCACGGTGGTGGTGGTGGTGGTGGTGGTGGTGGTCACGGTGGTGGTGGTGGTCACGGTGGTGGTGGTGGTCACAGTGGTGGTGGTGGTGGTGGTGGTGGTGGTGGTGGTCACGGTGGTGGTGGTGGTGGTGGTGGTGGTGGTCATGGTGGTGGTGGTGGTGGTGGTCATGGTGGTGGTGGTGCTGCTGCTGCTGGTGGTGGTGGCGGTGCTGGTAGTTGCGGTGGTGGGAGCATTCTGCACTGCAGGGCATTAAAGCAAGCTCGATTGTGCATGCATGGTGGCGGTGGGAAAGAGAAGCCAAGGAAAGTGTGTACAATATTTTTGTTGAAAGCACGAGAATTCAAAGAAAGCTGGCTGCTTCCTCTATTTCCATGATCGGCCAGTGCCTGCAGCACGAACATTACATTGTATTACACGTATGTGCATAGACAGACAAATAAACACTAACCTGAGCATGGGTGCCGCTTGTATTCGTTGTCAGGAAAGTGAAAGTACGAACGAAGGAGAAGAAGATTGTTGACCATGGCGAACAACTGCATATCCAGAAGGCACACGGCTTGCCAGAATGGGTCGGCTACATCTTCGGTAATTTTCTATCCTAACAACATTCAGCTTCGAGGTCAAGGACGACGGCATTTTTGGAAGGAAATTTCGAATTTTGGAGAAGAAGCTTGCTTTCCGAAAAATGTTCCTTTCACGCAAGGCAGCATGCCAGGTCAGGCGTGTGAACCAGGTGAACTGTGTCGGCAGATCGACGTTTACGTTCCAGGCCGACAGTTTTTGACCAAGCCGTGAATCGCCCTCGCTCTGACTCGCCCGGCTACGAAGGAGTAATTTTACAACTCTTCAGGCCAGCTACAGGCCTCCGATGCAGAGCTGCAAGTGACGGATATCGGTCATTTGCAGCCACTACTTTCAGCCTCCTGGTCGTTGCAATCGGATACATAATATACCTCCTATCTAGGACATCACCAGGACTGGTATCGGATCTGTCTTGATACCGGTATGGAACACACCGGCCGGTACTGCAGTGTACTCGTAGACCCAGTCCGGTAGACCCAGGGAGTCAGTCGACTCCCTGGGTAGACCATACACGGAATACTTTTGATATGGCGTGATGCTGATCGACTGCGTACCGTACCATGATGCGCATATTTATGCGTGTTGTTGGATGCCGAGATATTCGAGAAGACGTCGGTGCAATGCCAAAGTTCATGGAGTTGAATATTTCGTAGTTTCTTGCTGATGTGATCGCGGTAAAGCCTTGTTGCCTATTTAGCAGCCTGCAAGTTGCAAGAGGTCGTTGAAGGGAATAGGGCTTGTCCGTGACAACAATGGGGTTTATTTCGGATTTGGCTGCCTCTACTGGGCAGAATGAGCAAGCTTTGCTGCTTCTCGTCACATTAGTCTGCGGTATGTTACATTTGTATTTTCATACAATCATTTTCTGAATTCAATTATTTCAGTCAAGCGAAATGTTGTATGTAATCTGTATGACAGACTTTTTGATTGGGTTCTTGCGTTTGTCGATATGCCACAGTATTCCCCATTGCGCTGTTCCATCGGTTTTTCCTCTACCGCACAAACCCAACACTCCAGGTACGTTCAGTTGTCACCCCGGATGCCTCACGTACAGCTATTCAATGAAGGAAACCCACTACAATTGTAGACAGGCAATCCACCCAAATTTCTAATTGGGGTCCTTCCACAACCAACGTTAGCCCAGCCCAAATCCAAAAGGATTTTACTCTGCGTCAGGTGGATTCTGTATTTTGCGTGTGTTGCCTTGTTAAAAATGTGTGAATCACGTCACAAGATTATAGTACTGTCCGAAATACTCATGCAGTGGGAATCTATCGATATTTGCACGTAGAGCCAATACTGTACCGTAAAAGGCCGTGTATAGGCCCCGGGCGTATAGAATAGCAGCCTCGATTTCCTGGGCGTATACAAGGGCATGGGCATTATTTTGGAACCGGTCGTATACTTGGAATAGGGATAGCAGTAAGTATAGGGTATCAGTACCTGTACATGTACTGGTGTTGCCGGCATACCTGGGCATATACATGGGCATGGGCGCTATTTTGAAACAAAAGTGTTGACTTCCCCTGACTGGACGTGTACACGGAGGGTGGGTGTATTTTCGAGTGGGCGTATACAGGGGCTTTTACGGTATTAAAACTATAAAGGCAGTGCTACCAACCTTCCGTTTTTCCGTATTTGTACGGAAAATCACTCCTTCATCCGCTCTACGGAATTCGAGCAAAAATGGTACGGAAAATTGAAGAGGTTCAATCAGCGATGTAGAAGCATATCTAGCGCAAGCTGAGCCGAATATCCTTGTCTCAAAGCAAGTGTATGCCTTGCTACGACTACAGTCAGTCTGTCTACATGCTGCACAAGAAAAATCATGTCGTGGTACAAGTCACACATGTTTTGCACTAGCGAATCCAGCCACCGACACGTGCTGTGAGTGTCAAAAAAAGTTGAAACACATTACCAGCAATGCACACAGCAGTTCATATTGGCAGTGCGCAAGAACACCGCAAAGTACGGAAAATCGGAAGTTGCAGTGCCCCAAACAGACCCGGTTGGTTGGCAGCTTTGTAAAAGGACTATCTGTAGGCTCAATATTCCACATACTAATTTATGTGTATACAGTGTACTGGTGACTTCATCACAAGGCTAGTTCGCAGGATAGCACGCCCTCAAAATGCAGACTATATTCAATGCATAGCTAACTCCTTAAGAATTCTGGCTCGTTGCGATGTTGGCCATCGATGGATCCCTACCTGATTTTTGACTGCATTTAAATACCCCTTCCAAAATTTAATAAAATATGTACACGAGAGAGAGAGAGAGAGGGGAAGCTGTGTTGCAACTCTGAGTTCACGTTGTCACGATCATCTTGCAACAGATGGCTCTAAAAACAGGCAGCCTGAACATATAAGAGGTAGCAAGGTGAGAAATACTGAGGGGGAACCATAGCGTACGAGTCTGGTGCAGGCGGGAAGTTGCTAAGTCTTTAGACAAAAAAATAAATATGTAGATATTCATAAGGTGGAGGGAGTTGGAACACTGGTGTTTTTTTATCGAATTGAACATCGTGGCCTTCTCCTCCCACCCCCACCCCTTCTACTTTGTATACTGATACCGAAGTTACCTGGAAACCAAAGTTACGGGCACTTTGGTCCACCGGGGCTAGTTTTAGTGGAAGTATTACAGACAAAAACATGGTCTGCAGAAAAGCGTTTCTCTACCTGATACTATCTTTCCATCTTTCTCTCTGATTCTCTCTCTCTCTCTCTCTCTCTCTCTCTCTCTCTCTCTCTCTCTCTCTCTCTCTCTCTCTCTCTCTCTCTCTCTCTCTCTCTCTCTCTCTCTCTCTCTCTCTCTCTCTCTCTCTCTCTCTCTCTCTCTCTCTCTCTCTCTCTCTCTCTCTCTCTCTTCCCCCCCCCCATCACATTCTAAACCGAGAGGCAATGATGCTCTATTGAGTATTGAAGCCCAGCCACCCCCCCCCCTCCCCACCATCCGCTTGCGCCCACGTTCGCACACGTGTGTGCATAGTGTGTTGTGATCTATCATGTTAATAGGGAGGTTCCGGAGTACGATTTTTTATACCTCGTTTTCGAGCAGTGAAATGTTCCGGAGTACGGAACTTATGTGTTTGCCGTCATTGCCTAGGTTACGATCGCAAACACGTCACATTCCCGCGCTATGCCTTTGCATTTTGAAAATTTGTACCGAAATCAAAACTTCCCGCGGAAAATCGATGTTTCTCGTACCAAATTTGTACGCGAAAAATCTTTCTGCACCCGATGACGCAAAATCTCCATACGAAACATGGTTCGTGTGAAAGCCAGTCCACACGGATTCTCCGTGCCGAAAAATCGTATGGAGCACGCCTGGAAAAAATCCGTAGCGCCCACACGGATTTTGGCACGGAAAATCGTACCCCGGAACCTCTCTAATAACATTGCTGCTATTGTCAACTGTGAAGCAGTGATGAAATTACAACAGCAACGATGACCATGTGTGCACGTGTAAATGCAACACTCGTTTATACTAAGTATGTTGCTGTTTGTGTTGCTGCTGCTGGTGGTGGTGCCGTGTTTGTTGCCGGTCTTGTTCAGCATGTATATGGGATTGTTGCGGGAGTGGCGCTGACCTCCATCGTGTTTGGTAAGTGCTGTAACTATCTCTATTAAATTTTGCTCCTGAAGACTCTGCTATTGAAGGAAATACCAATTGCCACTGCACGATTTTGTGATATAAACGTGATTGACACACACGTATACACCCACTCATACATCCACGTATACACCCACGTGTACACCCACGTATACACCCACTCATACATCCACGTATACGATACACCCACTCATGCATCCACGTTGACGGTATTGTAAACCGATAAACGTTTGCGTCGGTTTTAGTTCGTGATTTGTGAGCACAGGCAAATTTGCACCTGGAGATGTTTGCGATGTTTGTGGAGTCGATTTCCTCGGTTTCTTTACTACAGTCCATTTCAAAACTATAGACGCGTACCTAGGCAAAAACCGTTATGCCAGCATCTATACCACATAAAATCTGTGATCACTTTGTGCATAAATTTTTCCAAATTGGGCGTCTGTTATCCAATCCTTTAGAAACTATATGAGAGTAATTGTGGAGCGATCCTGAGCAATATTCCGAAAACTATTCTCAAAAGTTTCCAGCCAAATTTGAAATATTTCAAAAACCCTACGCGTCTATAGTTTTGAAATGCACTGTACAGTTCTACGTTTTGTGCCGGCTTACTTTTGCGAGCACACATCCATGGCGAAAACCGCGAATGATTCCAGATTGCAAAGGTTTCCGGGTTTACAGTACTAGTATCCTACACCGCTTGCTTATCCACGCTGGACTCTAAACTACATGTAGATAATATTATACTAAACCGAGATATTCCTAAGGTTGAGGGAGTTGAAAACGGGGAGAGTCTTATGAAAACTGACTGAACCGAGAAGACAACAATCCAATGGAGAATATCAGTAATATGAGCTGTTGAAGTATGTGGGTACAGTGAGATAATGTATGAGCTGTTGAAGTATGTGGGTACAGTGAGATAATGTATGAGCTGTTGAAGTATGTGGGTACAGTGAGATAATGTATGAGCTGTTGAAGTATGTGGGTACAGCGAGGGCTGCATGCAACCAGCATGTGAGGATACACAGGAGGTGTGAGTTTGGAAGTCTGTTGAACAGTGGCTTCTGGGATGATGACTACACCTTAGCTTAGTGGTAGAGCATCGTGGGCCATACGTGAGAGTCCCTGGTTGTGGCGATCGATTTTATTTCACACCTTTCCCGTTTCTACTCCTTCAAACTTAATATTATTTTACCAAGTCGCATTGCAGCGCAAATTGGGTTGTTGCAGAACGGTTTTTCGCGACTGTCATCAGACTATATTCTGTAGCGAAACAGTCCCCAATGGAAGTCCTGATATTCAAATGTGGCTTAATTCGAACTTACGAGTACTCCTTATTTTAGAAGTTTCTTCCAGCACCGATTTCTATCAATACAATACCCACATAACAATTCTGATAATTGGAACCTCAAATTGGGCGTCACAGAATCCACTTAGGCCACACCAAGTTTTTTCATTGTTTCTCGTCACCGCGCGCGTACCTTTCTTGAGGATTGGACCAAAAAAAAAAATCTCGCGTCCCGGTAAACACGCATAAAAAGGCGTTGTAAAAGTACGCGCGGCGTCAAATCTGGAGTGCAGTGCTAGTGCACGAACCGAAGGACGACTTTTGCACCGTGTATGTACGCATACCGGTAGTTCAAGTACCACACCACCACACGACCTGGTCGTCTTCTTTGCTACACACAGTTCCGGTACAAGTCAAGACAGTGCATGACAGTGCACCGTTTTGGACTGACAGTGTTCCGGGCATCGGTAAACTTGCGCTGTATAATAACTTTGGTTTGCTTTCTTTCCTATTTAAATAACATGTAACACTGGACTTCCTCACCAGAGGCCGGTGCAGGAGCCTGGTTTTCTGGCTGTATGTTGCAATTGACTGTCACGCGTGGTGTATAGTCTGATTTTAGGTCATAAATTGGGCCTTTGTAGTGTAAATAGCAGTTTTTGTTTTTCAAACCCTATTTTGTTTTTTTTCCGCCCGCCCGCGTTCCTTTTGAGATTTTCAGGTGACGAGAAACAATGAAATAACTTGGTGTGGCCTTACATAGAAAATGCAACACCATACAAGCATGGTGATAGATGTCAATTTAAAATTGCTGCTAATGCTACAGTCAAGTCCATTACATTTTTCTGAGAGGTATATCTTCTAAACATCTGCCTCGACAATACACCAGCTACTGTCCGCTCCAGGGGTTTTGATGACCAATAGGAGACTGATTCTGTAACATTTGATGTACATAGTGTGCTGTGGGTACATGTGCGGATAATCAGAAGTTGTTCCCTGGCATTTTGGGGTTTGAATTATCAGGATTCCACCTGTACTGCACTGCTGTGCTTGGGTTGTCAGTAGTTTGCATTGCTGTACTGTAGCTGAGCACTTGTACGTTGTCACTGGCATTGCTGCCTGCACATGCTAAGTGCCTTCTGTCATCACCTTGCTTTGCATTCTGAAAAGAGCAACATAACCAGATGTAGAATGAAGATTTGTTAAGAATCAGTCTCCTATTGGTCATCAAAACCCCTGGAGCGGACGGTAGCTGGTGTATTATCGGGGCAGACGTTTTGAAAATATGCCTCTCAGAAATGGACTTGACTGTAGTATTAGCAGCAATTTTAAATTGACATCTATCACCATGCGTGTATTGTGTTGCACCGGGAACAGCTGCAGTGGCTTGCTTTGCACTGGTATGTACCCGGTATTGGGGTCGTTAGTGGGTATGCGAAGTTTTGAAGAGGCTGGTGCTCCACACACATGCTGGGTGTTCTCCACCCTGCTGTGTGTCACACACGGGCTTTATGGATGGCAGCCTGCATGTCAACGAGGCCCGGTATTTGTTGCATGTGTGGGCTGTGACAGCTTTGCTGTTCATGATCAGGTCAGCGTGGGGTCAGCGTGTGAATACCAGTGTCACCGTGAACTCAGCATAGTATTCTGAAAAGAGGTCGGTGTCATGGGAAATGGTCTAGACTGTGGAAATTATGTGCAGGTGTGCAGACAGCACAGCCACGCGTGTTCATCTAGTTCATCTGGCATCATCCTCGTTATAACCAGGTACTGGGGGTCCCGAGTGGCTATTTTATCACCTCCTTGTATGCTGTTCTCATACCAGCTGAGCGTTTATCAGTCCCACGCCCTTCCTTGAGTGCGTTCGCATTTTGCAACTAACTGACGAAGCGGACAGTACTTCGGCACCACGCGCCCTCCAACACCCCCCCTCCCCAGATCGCATCATGTTGTCGAGAAAATGATATTACATACGTATGTAGGGCTCCCTGATCATTACTGAAGCTTGTTCATTAATATTATCTATTTTACCTTCCAAGATATTTGGACAAACTGCCCAAAAGACTAAGAGCCTGGAGTGGTTACATGGTAGTGGATGTGGTCTTCTTCGTTATCTTGGACCTTCTTGTAGTCCTTTGATCCGTGATTAGCTCTTTTACTTTGTCATGATTGATAATAGTTTTTTTATTAATTTATTTTTTTACAAAGACCACTTTTAAAATGCCAAACATGAGATGCAGCTAGAGGAAGCACGCACAACCTGAATCGTGGCAGTGGTGCTGAGGTTTAGGGAGCTCCGCCGACCTAGGGTCTTGGCTTCATGGCCACCTAGGCGCACCAAGAGTGGGTGGGGGAGGGAGAGAGAGAGAGAGAGAGAGAGAGAGAGAGAGAGAGAGAGAGAGAGAGAGAGAGAGAGAGAGAGAGAGAGAGAGAGAGAGAGAGAGAGAGAGAGAGAGAGAGAGAGAGAGAGGGAGAGGGAGAGGGAGGGAGGGAGGGAGGGAGAGAGAGAGAGAGAGGGAGAGAGAGGTTGTGAAATTTTTAAAGTAAAATAAAAGGAACATTGAAAACATGAGATGATTGGTGAGTTGACTGCAGCCTCAGCTATTTGGCCAGCAAAGTCATAATTGTTACAGTAGGCCAGCTATTACATGAACAAGGGAGCTACTGTGCCGCAACATAGAGCGAGGGAGAGTATATAAGCTAGCGAAAAAAGACACGGTCTCGGACGCGGTATGTGCACTATGGCTGAGGTGGGTGTGAGAGATCTGCTAGAGGCTCTCAGTCGCCCAGCTCCAGTGATGCAGCTGGAGGCGACGGTGGACACGGCACTTAAAGGCTTGCAGGCCCTCCAGGTGTGGGGGTCTCAGCAGCATGCTTTGGGGCAGAGCATTCCATGTCTGCACAGCGCTGGCAGGAAATGCGCGAAGACAGCTGTTTCAAACTTTGGTCGCTCGTTAACTGTTTGCATGCTTGGCTGTGCAGTAACATCGCGTTGCCGAGGACCCCGGCTCCTGGGCAGAGACGTTACGGGTTCGTCACGAGGCACTGTTTGCTCAGGGTGTAGACGCGGCCCATAGTACTCCAAGACCACGAGGAGTGCGAACACGTGCCGGCACAGTCCACCGCACTGGCCTGCTGGGCTTCCTGCACACTTTGAAACGGACACAGCTGTTTCCAGTTGCTCACCCTCCACTAGAGCTAGGCTCATGGAGTACTTTTTCTTTTTGGACTGAGCTGCCCAGCACTTTGCGCGAACAAAGACTTGAGCAGTATCAGCACTAGTTGCTACTTCCAGGTCATGGATATACCCACCAAAGAAAAACTCATTCCCACGGCAGAGGAGTGGCTTCTGAACGACAACTACATCATTGTCCTTGCTGGAAACAAGCTTGCCAGTACCGAGGAGATGGCCCAAGACTGACACAGCACCAACATGAGGAAATTTCTGGCGATCGCGACCAACCGTCCACAGGGAAACGGGCTCCTCGACACTATCAGCTGCCGGATGTTGTTTTCACTTTGGACTGCCGGCGTGCAGAGGCTTTGGTCTTGACAGCCTCCGGGTTCGCATTGTGGAAGAACGCTCTGAAGGAAAACATGGAAAGGACAAGCAACTTAGTTTTCGCTCAGTAAAAAAATCAGATCAAAAAACTACTGAGACTGAGACTGAGACCTACCGTTCAAGCAGCTGGGTCTTTGTTCCAGTGATTTTTCCGCCGTTGTCAGATAAATACTTTCTAAGATCTTTCACACGCCACGGCACTGCCGGAACATCCCGGGACATCACTCGGCTCGACTGAGGAAACTCTACGAAAAAGAAGTCGATAACCCCAAGGGACGCTCCCTGAAAAAGCCTGTCATTTGTGTCAAAACAAGCAAAAAGGCATCGCACAGCGAGGTGGCTTGCCCCAACCTCGTGCCCAGGCACACTATCGTGAAAAGCATCTACATGTATTCCTAGCCTGCATGGTGTAAAAATTGGGTGTATGATTGGTGTTTGTGCTATTATTATTTTTAAGCTGTACCATAATGTCAAACTGATCTTGACTGTGTGCTGATAAAGCTATGATCACTGGCCTTGTTGTGTACACACCATTGGCATTAGCAGTTCGATCCCAAACCCACTTTTGGCTGAGTTTATAAATTTTGGTTTCGAGGCTAAAGTTTGGCCAAAATCAGATTTCCGAATCTCCCCAGTCTCATCTTTTCCTCAACAGACTGTGGTGTGACGAGCAAGCTCTGTTTAAAAAACTTGTTGGTAACTTATTGCTTTTCTGTGTTTGTGTGTGTGTGTGTGTGTGTGTGTGTGTGTGTGTGTGTGTGTGTGTGTGTGTGTGTGTGTGTGTGTGTGCGCGTCTCTCTCTCTCTCTCTCTCTCTCTGTCTCTCTCTCGCTCTCTCTCACTCTCTCTCTCTCTCTCTCTCTCTCTCTCTCTCTCTCTCTCTCTCTGTCTCTCTCTCTCTGTCTCTCTTTCACATTCTCTGGCTCTCAATCTCTCGCTCGCTCTCGCTCTCTCACACACTCTCTCGCTCTCTCGCACAGGCTGGTATGACATGCTCGTGTATGCCATGAGTCCTAGCCTGGTGGTCTATGCGCTGCTCTTCATCTTTGGCCCTAGCTCCACTCTGTCCGGAGCCATCTTCTTCTCCATGCTGGTGAGTCAGCTTTCTGATAGGACTCCAGCAGAGATTGGATGCCCTGTTGTTTGTACTCTGCTACTATGAACGGCCAGTGTAGTGCTGTATTCACATGCTGTGCTGTAAGGTTTTTGCTGTTATGCCGGGTTCGTTTTTCAATTCTTTATCGTTTTATGTGTCACTTGGCTGTGTCAGTAGCAGCCTTTTGCAATTTGATAGTAGTTGATTTGTACTTAATCTTGGCTGAATTGTGTGGACGTGGATGCAGGGGTAGCTCAAAAGTGTCGATACTGGCTGGAGCAAAGAATTAGCTTGTGTTCTATTTTACACTTTACCGGCATATTCGCTTCTCGTCTGAAGGCAATGTACTCTCAATGTGCTGGCACTCCTGTGTCTGTGTGTCTCCCTCTTCCGACTCTCTTTTGCCCCATCTCCTCTCCTTCGCCCCCCCCCCCCCCCCCCCTCTTCTCTCTCACTCACTCTCTCTCTCTCTCTCTCTCTCTCCTGACTTTCCTCCCTAGACATATCTCCTCAGCTGTTACTCAGTATTCAGCAGTGAAGACTATGACATCAACTGGACCACCGCCTTCTGTGTCATGTTTCTACGCATTACCTGTAAGTGCTTCAGGGCATCTGATAAGCATGGGGGAGGGGGGGGGGGGGGGGGGGGGGTTGTCCCTATTGTGCACCACAGACAATGTTCTGTTGCTATTGCTGGCATGCCTATGTACTGGGCACGTAATGCGACCCTCACATCTGCTATGAACGGATGATGGATTCGGTCATAGCAGATGAACCTGATGAACTGACACGGTATCTAGGCCACAAGTGCGGAAAAAGGCACACGAGCTTGATCATGCTTCTCCCGAAAATGAATCGATGCACCAAATAATTCTGCTGTGGGCGAGTCGTTAGCAGCTCAAGATCGGAGTTCCACGCTCTTGGTTATGTACTCCTGCTGGGAGTAGAGAGGCTGGTCATAGATTTAGATATAAACTGCACGTAAAATGAATCTTTTTTTGGCCATTATCCAAAAGGTGATGAAATAGATTAGCGAGTTTTGCATTCCAGCTCATCATGTGCTCTGTTCTATCTTTCTCTTTCTTCATCTGTCGTTTAGCACTTGTCATGGACCTGTCCGACGGAAAGCTGCCAGAGGTAACGTAGATCAATTCCTGGTTTAAACAGTGTACCGTTGCATAGCTGCGCCAGTAGCAGACCTTACTACGTAAACTGCTCACCAGTAGCAGACCTTACTACGTAAACTGCTCACCAGTAGCAGACCTTACTACGTAAACTGCTCACCAGTAGCAGACCTTACTACGTAAACTGCTCACCAGTAGCAGACCTTACTACGTAAACTGCTCACCAGTAGCAGACCTTACTACGTAAACTGCTCACCAGTATGCAGCATGGCACAACTCTGTCTAGGGCACCCTGCCACTAGCTTATACTCACACAGTCAGATTGTACTCTCCATTGTCGCGCGTGTTTTACCCAAGAAATAGTTACAACTCAATCGGCTGTGGCAACAAACACGATTACATGTAGGCCGGCTGCACAGACTCCCTTCGCTCGGCTCTGTGCAGTTCAAGTAGTTTGCTACGCTGGTTTGTGATGTATGTACGTAATGTCGCGCATATACCGTACTTCGGCACATATAAGCGCACGGGCTTATGTCCGGACATAAGCACACGTCCCAATTACAAGCACATGTGCTTATAGGTGAGCACGATTGGCGAAACACCCGGAAGTTGAATATACTAGTAAGCATTGTGACAACACTAAACACCATTGTTTACATGTAGGACACAAGCAAACCTGTATTGCACGTATAAGCGCATGTGCTTCTACCCGGGCATGTTTACGCAGCAAAAATATTTTTGTAGCAAATTTTCGCTTATATAAGGACATGCGCTTATATTTGGAGAAGTACGGCAAGACCGTGGTTTTATATTCGAATACCGGTATGAGACCACCTCCGGTTATAACAAAATGCCCTTTTATATAGTTGAATGAAAATTACGAAACCACATGAGGATTATCATGGTTCCATTGTACTGGCATCCACCAATGATATTGCATAATTGCACAGGTACATGTCGATGACTACAGACTACAGTTTGCAGCGAGCATTGCATTTTTGATGTGTGTTTTACAATTTTTATCATTGTCTGTTTCAGCCATGGTGCGCCCATTCACAATCAACCATCATTGTTCTGTTTTTCTTTTCTTTTCGTTGTTGTGTGTGTTTAGGAGAAGCTGTCGCGTGATCAGAAACAGTTTGCTGTGCGACGCTTTCCGAATCTCCTGGAGGTGAGCCCAAGGATATTAGCTGCTCAAACACAGTACATGTAGTAGCAGAATGCTTTACTCAATGGTTTACTTCTTTTGTCCTTCTACACCATCATGGCTTCTCTTGCTTTCCTGTGTGTTTGCAGTACCTCGGCTTCGTCTGGTTCTACCCGGCCGTGCTGGTTGGTCCGACTGTAAGTTTCTCATGTCCTGAGTTATATGGATGCGGAGTCGGAGTAGACTCACTCTTATTTTCCATTCTTCCGCTGTTGGTTGCTGTGACTTTGAATGGCTGCGGAGGATATCGTTGATGTGATTGATCTGTCCAGGGTAGGCCCACCTTTTAGAATAGGACTCTGGTGATGGCCAGTTCATGCTACTGGTTCTTGAGCCAATCCGAAAGGCTACTACGAGTATCACTGAATTCTTGTGAGCACCCACAGGCCGTGTGCAGATCGTGTTGGGCTGAGCTGCATTGAAAGCATTGTGACCCTTGGCCTGGGGCCACGTCGTCTGCTTTTTGTACTGTGCAGTAGGGTTCAAAGGAAATGAGTTCTATTTGTTTCGTTCCAAAATCTCATCTTTGCGGCTTGAGAGGTTTAGTTACTTGTCACGGTTGTTTCGATGGGAACGCAGAGTATGGGCTCATGACTTAGCATCCACATGCATGCATTCATGCATGCATCCACATAGCACTCTGCAGACAAACAGGACAGACCCCAGTCTACCATATTGTTTCATGGGAACGAGTCAAGCACGAAAGCTTTCACCAGGCATAGACGAGACTCACCACGAGGCTGGTCACACCCGTCAATAAGTGACTAGATCTCCCTCGTGGCCGACATACTGCTGCTCGCCTATTTTGTGCTTTGGTATCGTTTTTCTTTCCTGCACCAAGGATAATCTTTCCAGATACTTGGCGTTCACTGAAGGACGTCTTGGTGGTGATGACAATGGACGTGTTCACTCTAGGTAAGCCCATACACTGCCCTTGCCCTGTCCTTGCCCTGTCCTTGCACTGTCTTTCCGGTCTGGGTGACTCTTGTAGGCTGCCGTGTAGCGGGAAATATCCGTACTGACATACTGTCGTATGATTTCGTACACCGTGTCCCGAAAATATAGTTCCACGCGAAAGTTTCCCCGTGCACAGACCAGGCACATACCCTGTGCAGAATTTGTTTTCCTTATGGCTCATTTGCCCTGCGTAATCACAGTTTCATGTGGCTGTATGTCCCGCTTTGCAGTCCGCTTGGGCTCATCTGCCTCTTCCTGGTCTAGATTGCACTGGACTTCTTTTTGGTATGTCTGGCTTTGTCTGGCGGCATCCGAATGCAGATGAAGTGGGTGAAATAGAACACGTGACGCCATTCATCGTCCTCGGTCATCTTTGCTCGTGTGATGTCGATGATCTCGAATAGTATTAGATGAATTCGGGTGAGATGAAACGAACGCTCTCTAAGAGGCGATTTACACGACGGCAGTGCGTCCCGCCGGGAAGACAAGCACGTGATCCCGAGAGCTTGCCGTGCTACGGGAAAAACGAAAATCGATTCACACGGCAGGATGCACATACAGTACCTGTAGTACAAAACAGACCATGGAATGCCACGGTATGCATTTCCACCCCCCGCCCCCTCATGGGACCGGGACCATACTGGGATAGCCGACGGGATACGTTCGCGCCGAAATATGAGTGCATGTGACTGTGAATCTCCACGGCAGCATCACGCACGGGATGAATCCTGCCGTCGTGTAAATCGCCTCTTACACACTGTGACAGTGTACCTTTGTCCATCAGTGTTTTGCTGCTGGATGCCAGCTGTGAGCTGTCACCAAACTTGTATTTTCTGGGGCTATACACTTATAGTCTAGTACCTGAGAGCTATACTGTCCACTTGCAAGCTGAGAATGGGTTGACAATATGAAATAATGGTGCGATGAAGGACCAAATGAAGGAACAGAACAGACCAAACACGAGTAATATACATGTATAAGGCCAAGTAAAAAAAATCCTAGTTTATCGTCCCCGCCCGCCCCATTTTTCGAGGCCGCCCGGAATTTATTTTTATTTTTTAAATCTAGAATTTTGCCAAAAAGCTTGATTTTTTACGTCGGCTAAGGCTTGAAAACACAGCTTCGTCAACATGTTCCCTTTATGACTGACTATTGGTTACTGTCCTGACTGGTTCTTTCCCTTCTGCAGCTTTCTATCATTTATCTGGTGGTCTGTGTGAACCAAACAGTATTGGGGTTTGTGTCTTATGAGTGGAGTGACAATCTGTCGATCCAAAGATTTTGCATGTAATTGTTTATGTACATGTACATATAACTGTTATAGCATTGTGTATTCCATACACTACCACTATTCTGTTGCAGATTGTTGCACATGATGTGTCATTGTTTACCAAGAACTAGGGTGCGTTTGGTTGGTACGATCTAGAACAGGATCGAACAGCTGGTGCACATGGAGCAGCCTCATGCCAACCAAACGGTATTCCAGAAACAGAGCACATTTTTGTGGAAAAATGTGCCAAACTTGGTGCATTCTTCAAAATGTGTATGGGTCACCATGGTCACTTAGTACGGTACGACGAGTCCAACCCAAAAGCGTATGCACGTGATCATTTGGGAACAAAATCGATGTTCCCGCCAGGTTTCACTGTGAAAAAGTGAAACTGCTCGGTCTGCTCCGGCCTCGAGGCCGGAGCAAGCAGAACATGTTCTGGCCGACCCAGAACAGGTGCAGTCCCAACCAAACGCGCTGTTCTGGTGAATCCTGTTCTAGTTCGTACCAACCAAACGCGCCCCTAGTCTGTAGCACATCAAAAAATAAAAAATAAAAATAAAATCCGCCCTCCCTCCCCGATTTTTGTGAAAAAAAGGACGATAAACTGGGATTTTATTTTACTTGGCCTAACAGAAGGGTGGCAGAAGACTACATCATGCACCATCCACGAACGAGGAAAATCGACCGAGGGACATGATAAAGGGGAAAGAGAGAGGATGTGGACCGTTACTTTCCTGTTTTGTTTTTGCTCTTTTGTGTTTTTGTTTTTGTTTTGTTCTCCCCTCTCTTATTTTGTACGGACACGTGGCACAGTTTGGCGCAAGCGGGGTGGGCAAACCCGCCCACTACGCGGACGTGCTTATAATAATAATAATAATAATAATATACCCTATTTGTTGTCCTCCACTGGTGGCCATTATTTCGAAATAATTTATTCTGATGGATAAGATAGGTGCATCTCCTGGATTTTGGTTTGTTGTGTTGCTCTTGGTCACAGCTCTTTCGGCGCAGCTGCCATTACCTTTGGCAAGACGATCTTTGCCGCAGTTCTGTCAACTGTGCTGGCTGCCTATTTCCCTAGCAATCTCTTGATCACGCCAGAGTTTGAGGTAGGAAGTTAGGAACTGTTGTAAACTAGCACTGAACTAGCCTATGCTTCCTATAGTTATCGCTGTGAAACTCTGAGAAGACTAACAGGGATCATGCGATACTGCTACTTCTGAAGTAGCCTGTAGGCCATCAAGGGCTGGGTCCGTTAGGTATGAAGACAATGATGACGGCGATCATCTGTACCCACCCCACTGGTTAGTGACCCTGGAGTGGTCCTGGCCTGCTCGAGCTCGACTTAGACCTCCAGCAACCGGATTAGGGTACTCTGCTCTTCAATGCAAGCTGCAGCTACAGCGTCTTGGTTGTTGTTGCCATATGGCAGCTACTGGCGAGCCAGATCAGAACTTACAGTCCAACGGTTTCTTTTACACACAGGCATGGCCTAGTAACACAAAAAGGATGATGATGACGAATCTGGTGCACCACTGCACTTGTAGAGCAAGAAAAAGAAAATCTGGCATGATAATGCTCTTCATAGCCTTCGGGAACCGACACATCATTTAATGGTGTAGCCTGACCGAAGACCACCGTGACTGGAGACTGGCCTGCAACACCATCACCATCCAGTCACGTAATCATGTATCTTGGGACTTCGCTTGCTCCTGCGGTTAATTTGTTTACTCTTCATAGGACCTTAATTGCCACCCGATGCTCTGTTCTCTGTGAATGTTTCAGGATTTGCCATCAGTGCCCATCACCTGCGGATGAGCAGGTGTATTGTGTGTGGGTGTGCGCGCGCGTGCTAGCGTGTGTGTGTGTGTGTGTGTGCGCGCGGGTGTGGTGGTGCTGCCGCTGTAGTAACAGTTGCATACCATCCTAACCTACTCTCTCACTCTATATTTTCTTTTCCTGGGACGCTATGGCGTGTGAACTTCCTGTTTCTTTGTGCAATGTGTAATGTTTCAGGCTCTACCACTGCCCTTGCGATGGCTGCGTTGTCTGCCAATGGGAACGGCTACTTTTGCCAAGTACTGCATCGCTTGGGGCTTAACGGTAAGCGGAAAATTGCTACGTTTTGGCACTGTCATCTTCGCGAACCACCATTATCCTATCGTGAATCAAGAAGTCGCCATATCTAGCTTACCTGCACTGTACACTATAATTATTATTAGGGCTCAAACGGTTAGTCCGATTAACCGGTTGCAGACCGGTTACGAAGAATTAACGGTTACGCAGTAACTTTTCAGTCAATTTTTCAAGTATCAGGTCGTTGCAAAGCAAAGGATGCACTTTCGCAGCCTGTCGCACGCGTACGCAATTTCTGGGCTGTCAAGTCGGTCATATCTGGTCTCTTGGTGTGAGAGTATGTATGAATGAGCATGCAAGAGAATGTACATGTGTGCGTTGTACTGAATAGGGTACATTTTTTGAATGAGTATAGTCAAATATACGGTTAAAAAAGAGTCCGCAGGATTGCCGTGGCTTAGGGCCTGGTCAGACTGCGGCAAATTTTGGTTGCCTGACGAAAAAAGAACAGCGTCCAGAATTAGAATCGCGATCACACTACACATGTGGGGAGAATGAAAATTCAAACTTCATTTCGAGCGTCAAGTGATAATCTCCACGAACGACGTCAAATTCCTTCACCTTGGGGATCGCCAACACCTTCAGTGCAATCCTTGCAACCATCCTTATGAGTTTTGTTGTTGTCCGTGGCCAATTAGCTCCTCGATATCGAGATGAAAAAATCAGTGATTATCAGCGTCAATGGCGTATCAGCGTCAAACTCCTGTTTGGAGCGGAAAAGCGTGGCCCGTTCTTGCTTTTTTTTGGAGCGTCAACTCTCGCTTTTGCCGCTCTGGCGGCAAGTTACTATGGAGATTCGGATTATAATCCTAGGATTATTTCGATTTTGCCGCAGTCTGACCAGGCCCTTATAGGTTACTTGGTCCTCGTCAGCGATATTGTCGCTTATCTTTCAGCTTTGTTTTTATGTCGCCAATGCTTACTTGGCAGCCCATTGCATCCCAATTTTTGTTAGCAAGTTAGTTATTAGTTAGGTTACTAGTGCCTGAAAGGTCTAGCTAGAGTTCGAGTGGATTTCGAGAGCGACGGGTGGATTTCGAGAGCGACGGGTGGGTGATTTTGATTGATACAGCGCCGCATCAAAATAGATTATCTTGTTACGCTGTGCAGGCAAGAGCAGCGCAAGCCACATGAAAGTAATCCGTTACTCGGAATCAGCTCCATTTTGCTGAACGGCCGAGATCGCTCACCTCAGGGATCGCTCGTCAAGCTGAGATCGCAGCTCCCTTACCTCCAGCTCAACGCTCGGAGTATCCAGAGCGTCGTGGAGATTTGCAAGTACTGTACGCGTCAGCGTCGTCGTTCAAAATAAAATCGTGCAAAGAACGGCGTCTGATTCGAACCACACATGCTGTCGTGCCGCCCACGCGAAGTCCTATAGAGAAGGCGACCGTCACGATCGACTTCTCTTTAGAAAATAGCCAGGCAGCGGAGAGGAAGAGAGATGAGCTTGCAAAAGCAAGAGAGTCGATCCCGAGCAAAACTATTTGTCGCCAGCGCCGAGAGCAGCGAGGAGGAGGACCAAAAAAAGTAGGAACCCTTCCTTGGACAATAAATTCCTCACAGCTAGTTGTCACTCTATACCTTACCGTCCATCGTACCAAGTTTTATCACTTCAAGTGCACGCGTTCATGTCCAAAGGCTAAGTTCAAATTGTCGAAAGATAAGCGACAATATTGCTGACGCGGACCAAGTATAACCGTTAAACCGACCGTTAGCTTAGCAGTTAACCGTTAGGGGTAAACCCGTGACCGTTTGAGCCCTATTGATTATGTGCTTGTGCCTGTGGCGATGCCAGTCGAGGGCCATATGTACAGGAACAACGCACTGTGCATGCACTTCAGACACCCACAGTGCTTGGCACACTACAGCTGCTACTGGTGGTGTTCCTAGTCTTGACTTGGCCTTGTGCTCATCCTCATCCTCATTGTTGTTGCCATCGTCACTGCTGCACAGGAAGTGTCCTGCACACTGGTTGGCTACAGCTACAACGGCACGGACAAGAATGGCAAGATGCGCTGGGATCAGATGAACAACGTTGATGTCTTTGGCTTCCTCACCTACACCAGTTCTCATGTAAGTGTTCCAACTGACTGCCTATACAGTCAACTTCGCAAATAACGACTGCGGATATAATGACAATTCGCGAATAACGACAGAATTTCCATGCCCAGAGCAAAGTCCCATCCAACTGGAATACATACAATGAGACTTTGGGTGTAACGACACTTCGCGAATAAGGACACTTTCCTGATGCCCCGCCGAGTGTCGTTATAACTTATAAGCGAAGTTTACCATGTTAAGACGCCGTCTACGTGGAATGGAAACAATCCTCCAAGTGTTGTTGAGTGGTGTACTGTGGACAATGTAGCATGCATGCAAGACTAGTGTTGTGCAAGCCCAGCACTGCGGAGTTGGCCCGGTAACATGTAGCACTACTCGTAGTATACCGTATGCGGGTTGTCCAGGGCCAGGGGTTCTCTTTGGTTTGCGCTGAGTTTGAGAAGAAGTTAGTCCTACTCTTAGTGCAATACTACCATTGCCTATGGGAATAGTCTGTACAATCACTGTACGGTAACGTTGTATCAGAGCCTGTAACAAGTCGCTTTCACTGTAGCTCAATGTTTGTGAACTTGATCAGTTGCTTTGTGCACATCTGACGTGTGTGTGTGTGTGTGTGTGTGTGTGTGTGTGTGTGTGTGTGTGTGTGTATGTGCACATCTTGATTTGACGTGTATGCAGGGTGTTATCGACGTATTCAACAAGAAGACCAACGACTACTTGAAGAGGTGAGCACGCTCCTGTAGGATGGAATCCATTGCTCTAAGCACACATGGCCACACCGTGCTTGTATGCATTGCCAGTGAATGCATGTACAGTTGCGCTTGGTGAAATCCGACCCGGAGTGCGTATTTGGCGCCCTCGGCTTGCACGGCCCTTGGCGCCCTGGAAGTGGCACGAATGCGGCTGAACGTACACATGCAAAAGTACAATGATGTAATCGGAACGGTCCCAGGGCGCCAACTTTGGACTGAGGGTCGGATTTCACCCAGCCCAACTGTATGATTGTGCTGATCTAATGATAATTTCAACTGTAGTTTAATGGCTCATGGACAAAGTCAGAACCTCCAGAAACACAGTGGAAATTCGGAGCAAGGGAAAGTCTTCGACTGCTGTTGTGAAATATCCTGTGAGCTAAGATTCCCTTGCTGAGCACATGCCCTTTGCAACTCATGTTGCCTTTGCCGTTACCAGGTACATCTTCAAGCGCGTTGCCTTCCTGGGCAACAAGAACCTCTCGATGGCCATCATGGCTGCCTTCATCTCCTTGTGGCATGGTGTTCATATCAACTATCTCATTGTCTTTATCCTCTGTGAAGTGCCAATGGTCATTGCTGAAAGACAGGTAAGCACCATTTGAGGATCGGGGTACATTTCCATCCCTAACGTTTGTTGCACATATTGCCGGTACACACATATTGCCGGTACACACGCACACACACACACACACACACGCACACACACAAACACGCACACACACACACACACACACACACACACACACACACACACACACACCAGGATCCGTGGCCAGGAGTTGCTACCCCGGTTGCTCAGTAGTAGCATCCGCAGATATGAATGGTCCTCAAGCTGTATTCACATGATCTCTGGCTGGCACAGGGGCTGCTGACCTAAGCTGAGATACAGACATATCTGTTCTGGATAGGGAGATGTCCTGATCACACTGAGTGCCTTTTCCGTTGATTCAGATCAGTATGGGACTGGAGAAAAATGTGTCCAGGATATGGAGGTGTCCTGTGTTAAGAGGTGGCCTGCCAAGGGAGGTTCTACTGTACTTGAAAGTAACTCTCACATGTAAGAGAGTGGTGGACTTCAAGTCTTGGTGCACCCTGGAGGCTACACCAGTGAATTCAAGTCCTTCACAAAGGTCTCTGACATGTTTGAGCTGACTTTAGTTGTATTGCACTCTTTCGAGCTCTGTCTCCCTTGTTAGGCCACACGTTTTTATTTCTATGTTTCTCGTCACCTGGAAATCTAAAAACGAATGCGAGAGGTGGAAAAAAATATAAAAATGACCGAAAAATAAAAAAAGTTTATTAGACCTTTGTTCACACTAAAATCCACCAATACACCATACAAAATAGCATCCATAGTTAGCAACTAGTATGTGGTAGGAGCTTCTGTCACAAATCTGTGCATGTGCAGCTAGATTGCGCACAAAAAATGCCGTCCTTGCATCATGTGCCGCGCAGGCCAGGCCACATTATGTACATGTGCATGAGTGTGCTGGTCCGCACATGCACAGTCAGTGCAGCACAGTTTTTTTTTCTTTTTTTCTTCCAGACTCCTGAATCGTATGCGCGCGGGTGCGAGAAACATAGAAATAAAAACGTGTGGCCTTATATCCTGGAGCTCTGTCTCCCTTGTTATATCCTGGAGCTCTGTCTCCCTTGTTATATCCTGGAGCTCTGTCTCCCTTGTTATATCCTGGAGCTCTGTCTCCCTTGTTATATCCTGGAGCTCTGTCTCCCTTGTTATATCCTGGAGCTCTGTCTCCCTTGTTATATCCTGGAGCTCTGTCTCCCTTGTTATATCCTGGAGCTCTGTCTCCCTTGTTATATCCTGGAGCTCTGTCTCCCTTGTTATATCCTGGAGCTCTGTCTCCCTTGTTATATCCTGGAGTTGTTATGTGTGTTGTTATATCCTGGAGTTGTTAACTCATAGTGACCATGTACCTGTTTCTGCCTTCGTTGCTTTCAGTTCTGGCCCGTCTTTGAGAATTTGGCTGGCTTTACGGTTTGGACAGCACCAGGGCTGCTGCGCTATCCCCTGATTCTGCTTGCTTGGCTCTATGCCCATTTCTTCTTCACCTACGGATCCGTCGGAATGAATGTTCTGCAATGGAACAACTTGGTGCAGGTATGTTCTCGTGGTGGTGGCGGTGCTAGTACTGCTGCTGTTTCTGCTGCTGCGCTTGGAGTGTTGGTGAGGGTGGTGGTATAATGTGTAATATGGGGGAGGGGGGGGGGGGGGGTATGGTAAGGGTTGGGGAAGGGGGGGGGGGTATGGTAAGGGTTGGGGAAGGGGGGGTATGGTAAGGGTTGGGGAAGGGGTGGGGTATGGTAATGGTTGGGGGGGGGGGGGATGGGGGTATGGTAACGGTTGGGGAAGGAGGGTGGGGTATGGTAAGGGTTGGGGAAGTTGGGGAAGGGGTGTGGGGTATGGTAAGGGTTGGGGGGGGGGGGGTATGGTAAGGGTTGGGGAAGGGGGTGGGGTATGGTAATGGTTGGGGGGGGGGGGATGGGGTGGGGTATGGTAAGGGTTGGGGAAGGGGGTGGGGTATGGTAAGGGTTGGGGAAGGGGGTGGGGGTGGGGTATGGTAAGGGTTGGGGGTATGGTAAGGGTTGGGGAAGGGGGTGGGGTATGGTAAGAGTTGGGGAAGGGGGTGGGGTATGGTAAGGGTAGGGGGGTATTGTTAGGGTTGGGGGGGGGTATGGTAAGGGTTGGGGAAGGGGGGGGGGGTATGGTAAGGGTTGGGAGGGGGGGGGGGGGGATGCCCCATGCTGTTTCCACTGTGCAGTACCTGCTCTGACTAGGTACGCTCATGCTTCAGTTACCTGGACGCCAAGCTTATGAGCACTTCAGACTACCAAACACCCTTTGAACGAGTTTTGGCATTATTATTTTCTGAGGATGGTCATTGGCCGATAAGAGATATGCAATTACAAAGCAGACAGACATTACGGTGATGTACGGTATTGTACGACCTTGCTAGGATGCCCTTGTGAAACTTGCTAGGATTACTAATAATTATCTTATCACCATTGTGCGTACTAATTCTCATTTTAACCGCTAACGTTAGCCCGCTGGCCTGTAGCGAAGGTCCCTGGTTCAAGTCCTGGTGGGGACTGTCAATTTTTTCTTCAGACTTTTTTTCGCTTTTCGCTCCCTCCGGCTTATGACCGTTGTTAGTGTTACAATCTTGTTTTTCTGTCCTTTACGTTTTCCCTGTTCAGTCTTACAAGAACATCTTCTTCTGTTGCCACATCGCCATGTTGATGTGGTTCTCGACATACGCTCTGCTCATCCCATCTCGTCTCAAGTAAGTCAGTATTAAGTCCTACCGGTAGGACCCGTGGTCCTACCGGTAGGACGGCATGCAAGCTATCATTAAGCACTGATGTGGCAAGATGACAAGGCAACTGCACTGTGATCAAGCTGTGTATGCCCCCCCCCCCCCCCCCTTACACACACACACCACACACACACACACACACATACACACAAAAAACCGTTGCAAGTAAACCGTACATCACATGTAGGGAAAAGAAGTTCAGCGTTGTTTATTGTGGAGTCTCTCTGTATGAACTGAACTTTACTTGTTTTGCCTTTTGATTATTTCTAGAGTTTTTGTGTGCATTAACTATTGACCCAGCCATACGACTCTGTATTACGAGGTGATTCGTCATTATTTAACACGAAAGTAAAAAAGCCTTCCGTAGGGTTCGAGGTGTGAATCTTTCCATTTCGTCCTCTAAAAATGTAATACTGATGTCCTTGGATTGCAATGTTGGGATTCTCATTCACATAATCCTTGGTGTTGGGAAGCAGGTGGCAGTTGAAAAATGGCAATTTTTCCGCATATTATTTGTTGTGGTCATTTCTTAACATCATGGTAAAATAGGCCTTAGCAGCACAATTTCAAGTCAGTTTTCAATAGAAGGAGACCCTACGTCTCCAGGATGGTCCAGCAAGACTGGATCAAGATCATGTTCATCCAAATACAAGCCATTCAAGCTTACATAGCAATAGGTGTATTACCCTGATTTCATGTGTAATTGTGATCAACATCTGTTAGCAAATTCAGTGATTGCCAATGTTTGGTCATTACTAGGGCCAACACACCGACATTCCTCCTTCCCAGGCGTTGTTTCCAGTATGTAGCTATCATATGCTTCCTATTCAGCTAAATATGTTGTCACTCGAGGTTGAAACCACCGGCTATGACTCTCTTATACTCTATTTTACCGTAAACATCGCGCACATGCAGACTGAAAGCTCTTGCAATGTCACTTCCTGAAGGAATATCAGTTTCAATTTTGGAGGCGAACTTGACAGAACATTGGCAATGGCAATGGCAAAAAGAAATTTGACATGACTTTTTGCAGGTGCTTGCAATGAGATATTTTACCGATTTGTTAAGAAATGACTCAATGTTAAAAAATTATGAATCACCTCGTATGGGGTGAACGACTGAGTCGATAAGTCGACTGGCCAGTCGATAAGGCTGAGTAGATAAAAGGAAACCCCTTATCAACTCGAACAGATGTTAAAAAATACTCGTATATGTACATGCCCAGAACTACATAATTTATAGTTCACCCAATGCTGTAGACAGCAAGCTGTTTCGGCCATAAAGGCCTCATCAGTACAGCTACGAGCTAAATAGGCCGAGTTACCAGCCATGGTGCACAGGAGGCACCACAGACATTAAGGTAGCTCGTCGCTCTAGCGCCAGAGTGCTCAAACTACAAAAAGTAGCGGGCATTGCGCGATGCAGCAGCACTAGAGCAGCCTACTGAGAGTGCTCAACAAGGCCAAAGCCGAGGAGCGTGATACCCAATGCTGTAGACAGCAAGCTGTTTCGGCCATAAAGGCCTCATCAGTACAGCTGCGAGCTAAATAGGCCGAGTTACCAGCCATGGTGCAAAGGCGGCACCACAGACATTAAGGTAGCTCGTCGCTCTAGCGCCAGAGTGCTCAAACTACAAAAAGTAGCGGGCATTGCGCGTAATTTATAGTTCATGCACTTGTCCTGCGAGTTCAGGCCATGCACTGTGAAGTACACTTGGTACCTAAATCCCTTTCATGTTAACATTCAAAACGGGTCCGTTTGAAACCTACAGTGAGTCTGCTCATATTGTGCTTCGTCGAAGCCTACAATGTGCTCATGTTATGCTTCTGTTTGCTTGTGCATGGGCGTGGGACCATGCATGTGCATGTACCGTATTATCTCTATTAACTTCCTGATTACCTTATACGCCCAGCACTTATATTTTTTCAACCCGTCCCGACCCCCAGGCTTATATTAGAGACTGGGCTTCTACAAGAGACTGGCTTATAATTTTTCCACCATCTGGTACATGCACATTGCCTATTATTTTGCATTGTATCAGTAGCACAAAGTTTCCCAGCAGGTACCGGGACTGCAGTTTTGTGCTTCCTGGTACACTGAGCGAGTCTGAATTTTATATCTCGGGGGTCACAGACTTTTACCACAGCAATCAGCATGTGGGTATGTGACACTTTGGGATGTCAAACATACATGGACATGATCCATACAGGTCTCCAATATAAGCCCTGCGCTTATATTGGAGACTGCGCTTGTATATCTTCGAAGCCCTCTTGGAGTGCGCTTATAATAGAGACTGGGCTTCTACAAGACACTGCGCTTGTAATAGAGATAATACGGTATGTATGCACAGATGTGCTGTGCTTGTGTTCATGTGTGAGGGCAATGTCAGTTGATATGATTGAATCTAGTCGATAAGGAATTTAGGTCAGTCGTTTCACCGCTACCCAGCCACCAGTTGGAAGCTGTGCTACCTTGCTTGAGAACTCTGGCTTTGTATTTCTCTCCTGCACAGGAAATCACCCCAGGCCGCTGCCGCAGCAGCAGCAGCCAAGAAGCAGTGAAAGCACCGTGACCATCGCCGGTGAGGAATCGTTTCCCTTTAGTTCCCCGGAACGCCGTGCTAGTTTGTCCACTCTGCGTGTGTGTAGTCAGCAGGCTGCTTCGCTGTGTCCGGACACAGTACAAATACGCAAGTAATTGTGCTTTGGTGAATGCTGGCTTTCACTTTTGACTGGTCGTTCTGCCCAACAGCGAGCTCAGCATGTGACTAAAAGTACTTTTGGTGTGTGTGCACTCTGTGCGTTATCAAACAATACACACTTGGCTTCTTTTTGCCTTGACAGCCTTGCGACTCCCCAAAATTCCAATTGTTTATTGTTCTGATTCTTGACCTTTGAGAGTACGGAATATTTATAACAGAGACTAACGACATCTTTATTAAAATTTTGTAATTATAACATTAGCTCTAGGATAGAGCTTTTCAAAGGGCGCATGCAACTGTCACTGCTACAGTTTATTAGTACTGTAGTGAGTGATTATTTATTCCGTGGCTTCAAGCTTGCGTGCTGCACTTGATCTCAGACTGTTTTCTTTTACTCGTTCAGGATTATGGCGTGGAGTGTTTGATTTTCTGAATACGAAAGCTAGTACAAAGGCTATTTGAAACTGAGACCACTTCCGCAGTGTAGTGATGGCTCAAGAATCGGGTACTTGCAAAGCTGAAAATGCATGCACTCCGGCTGTTCTACGGCCGCACGAGAGTACAGCACGGCTGATTAGAGCAAGGCTGCCAGGCGCAGTGCGATGTAAAACGACCCAGTCACGTGTGGAAGGTCAGACTTGCCATATTCGATTGTCTGCAGGTGCTGGGGGGGGGGGGGGGGGGGGGTGGCTGTTGAGTTATGCACTTCTTAGAACAGTAACCATTCTAGTGAGTTCCATCACTGCCATATTTTGCATCCTCTGAAGCTAAGTGCTGTAGCAGAAGCTGGTTAGAGTAAAAATTTTGGAACTCTCCCGTTTTACTACGTGTGGCTGAGCATGTGTTGTATACCGCAGTGCATGCATCGGTTCGACACCGTATCTTACCGTATCTTGATGTCTACTACTACTACCGTAAAGTACCGCCAGAGCGCCCCACCATCTCGTCCTTTCGTGGCCGCCTTGTGGAGGTGGATTCCTGTCTGTAGGTCATACGACACGGACCTTGTACAAAAATTGCACATTGTGCAGTCAATCCGTACCCAGTTTACCTTCGAGCTCCACATAAAAGCATACCAAGTGTGACCTTAGTACACGAAGGTTCTCAAATCGTACAAACTTAGTAGCATTCTGCCATACGATTTTCTTCCCTTGGCTGTAAAATCAAGGTGGGGCGCTCTGGCGGTACTTTACGGTACTACTACCTTAAAGTACCGCCAGAGAGCCCCGTCTCGCGAGAGCACCCCACCTTGATTTTACAGCCAAGGGAAGAAAATCGTATGGCAGAATGCTACTAAGTTTGTATGGCGTGAGAACCTTGTTGTACTAAGGTCACACTCGGCATGTTTTTATGTGGAGCTCGCATCTGCTCGAAGGTAAACTGGGTACGGATTGACTGCACAACGTGCAATGTGTGTACAAGGTCTGTGTCGTGTGACCTGCAGACAGGAAACCACCTCCACAAGATGACCACGAAAGGACGAGATGGTGGGGCGCTCTGGCGGTACTTCACGGTACTACTGTAAAAGCCATTATTCTAACGAGGCGCATATATAACGATTTTCACTCATTCTCAACGCTCAATAGGACAGTATATGTATCGATTTCTGTATAACGATTTCTATTTTAACGACAGATGTCTCCTCGTTAACTCGTTAGAGTTAGCACTTCGTTATAATTATGGCTTTTACAGTAACATGTTTTTCGATTTTGACAGCATGTTACAAGGCGAGGACGCGTACTACTACTACTACTGCTACTCCCTCTCTCTCTCTCTCTCTCTCTCTCTCTCTCTCTCTCTCTCTCTCTCTCTCTCTCTCTCTCTCTCTCTCTCTCTCTCTCTCTCTCTCTCTCTCTCTCTCTCTCTCTCTCTCTCTCTTCACAGATAGGAAAAGAAAAGATGAAAATGGAATTCGGAGAGTGGGTGGTGCAGTTGTACTCCGTACTCCATGGTAGTAGAATTGGACTTTCACAGCGTTCAATTTTATCATGTTCCGGTTATGGGAAACGGGCAGCCCTACTTTACGATTCCACATTAGGGCTAGTAGTGTTCAGAGCCGATAATACCAGACCAGTAGTCACCTGGATGATTGCGCTACATTAGCCATCGTTTTGTGGGACGGAGTGTAGGAGTTTGGAGCGGACCGGCACCCCTCGGTGGGTGTCTCTTCGCCAATCCTGTCCTCCAACAGCACTAACTGTTGCGCATTCCGTGACTCATACGAGAAGTTGGCAGGTCGGCGTTTGTGTACGATTATCTTTGTGCTAGCTTGCGTGAGCAGTATCTGCTCCAGAGCCGCCTGCCGGGTCAGCCGGGTCAGCGACACCTTTGGGGGGTACTTGGGCCCGTTTGGAAAAAGAACACCGGGTCACGTGTGACCCGGTTGGGAATACAATTATACATCAGGGAGCCCTAAGATATTTACAACAACTCCCTGATCATAGGCTGATGTACCGACACATGCAGTAGCCACACTTGAACGGACCCAGGTCTGACCCGGTTGCAATGGTTGTGCCAGGTACACGTGTGCCCGGTTAGTTTGAAATCCTAGAGCAGACACTGGTGAGGTATGTGTGTGTGTGTGGGGGGGGGGGGGGGGGGGTGCTTTCCTGGTTCATGTCATATACAGGAGATCATATTCTCACAATCATGGTCCATCGATCTAACGGTCCATGTTCCGTGAAAGCTTCAGTGTTAACTATAAAGTACACGTGTACACTGGATATAGCATGCTGTGGGCTCTAAAGTACATTGTTATAGGACCCTCCGATATGCATGTACGACCCACCCGTATAACCAATCATTCGACCTTGGGTACCGGTATACAAGTACAGTACCGTCGCTGGCTATAAAGCGCAGCTTTGTATCAGAACTCTGGAGGTGCCATACTCAAGTGTCACTGTACAACAATTTGATGATGGTTTCTGCGCCATGGGTTAGCTTGCTTGCATGCAATGATTGTCGATGCATGCATGCAATGATCGTCGATGCATGCACAAACCAATGCATGCACAAGCAGGCAATGATTGTCGATGCATGCACAAGCAGGCAGGTGTCAAGCACTGCACTGACCAGGTATATCAAAGCAGGATATGAAGTCAAGTACAATGTATATCAAAGCAGGATATGAAGTCAAGTACATGTTTTCAATTTCGACAGCATGTTACAAGGCGAGGACGCATAGTGCGCATGACTACAACCATAACCCGGCTGGTCGAAATCGAAAACATGTTAAACTATCAAGCAAGGCTTCTATATCCGGCGATGGGCGTCACATGGTCAATGGTGTGTGTGTGTGTGTGTGTGTGTGTGTGTGTGTGTGTGTGTGTGTGTGTGTGTGTGTGTGTGTGTGTGTGTGTGTGTGTGTGTGTGTGTCACAGTGAGACCAAGAGTACATAACCTGGGCATCTTCTTGGCGAGACTAAGTCTACAGCCACTGCACTGACAATCCGTAGTTGACAGCGAAAGCGGACAACAAGTGTCAACACGGCATCTGCTTTCGACTGCATCTGCATCGATGCATTGACAGTGAGCGGCAACCACACGTACATCTACTCACTGCACTGAGTCACTGACTCACTGCCTGGACAGATGCCATGCACTTCCACAGTAAAGCAAGAGAGGTCTGCTGGCAGTGCTGCGCATGCCACACTGAGTGCGTTCGATTACACGCGCGAATCGATTCACGAATCGATTCATGAATCGATTCGCGCTATTCACATCACCCCATGTGAATAGAGGGAATGGATTCCGAATCGATTCCAGGGCTCATGACATGAAATCGAACGACTTGAATGCATGCGAATGGATTCATGAATCGATTCAAGTGTGTAATCGAACGCACTCACTGAGTGCGTTCGATTACACACTTGAATCGATTCATGAATCCATTCGCATGCATTCAAGTCGTTCGATTTCATGTCATGAGCCCTGGAATCGATTCGGAATCCATTCCCTCTATTCACATGGGGTGATGTGAATAGCGCGAATCGATTCGCGCGTGTAATCGGACGCACTCACTGAGTGCGTTCGATTACACGCGCGAATCGATTCATGAATCGATTCGCGCTTTTCACATCACCCCGGCCCATGTGAATAGAGGGAATGGATTCTGAATCGATTCCAGGGCTCATGACATGAAATCGAACGGCTTGAATGCATGCGAATGGATTCATGAATCGATTCAAGTGTGTAATCGAACGCACTCAGTGAGTGCGTTCGATTATGCACGCGAATCGATTCACGAATCGATTCATGAATCGATTCGCGCTATTCACATCACCCCATGGCATGTGAATAGAGTGAATGGATTCCGAATCGATTCCAGGGCTTCTGACATGAAATCGAACGACTTGAATGCATGCGAATGGATTCATGAATCGATTCAAGTGTGTAATCGAACGCACTCACTGCCTACTGACAGTCTGTAGCCTAGTCAGCTAGTGTTATCATGGTTATGTACATAATGTAGGTAGGTCTCAACTCAGGAGTCGACCAACGCAGTCAAAAAATTCCTGTACCGCCGCATCTTACGACTCCCCGCGGGCCCGGTACCGCCGGGTACTATAGTCTGTATTTGCTCCAAAAATAAGACTAAAGTCAGGAAAGAAGACATGCACCAGTACAGTGTCAGTGTGCACTGTCGGTCAGTGACCGCGTGTCTAAACATGGTGGGTCGGTCACCAGTCACTGAGTCTGTACACTGGCTGATGAGTAGATCTACGAGTGAATCTAACTGTCTTTTACTAGTTTTTAGGATCCAGGCCATGTGCCTGTCCTAGTACATAAGTATGTGTGAGCGGACAAGGTAGAAATGGAACGTTAACTGCAGTCTGGCAAAAACTGTTTTTTTGCATGAAGGTCACCTACAACTATCTGTTTTTCAGATCCCAAAGTTTCAGGCTGATACTATGGTGGGAAGTGCCTTACATTCACCATTTTCTAGACGCCGGTCAGTATTTTAATGTCTGTTTCGGGATGATTTAAACAGTCCACCCTTCAGTACAACCAAAACACTGAAAAAAAACCATCATCTTGGCCTGTATTTCTCCACAAGTGTATATCAGTGTGAAAGATGAGCTGATCACACACATGGACTCGTTTGAGGTGGAACCAAGCAACAAAACCACATAACTAGAAACAGCCGGAGCCGAAAAATCAGCTCCAGAGTAACTCGTGATGCAAGGCAAAATAATAGGACTGTTGAAGCTGGTACTCAATCCACACATCAATTACCACTACACACATGTCAAAAATTGAAGAATTTGGCGGACAAATGGTAATTCCAGTGCGTTCTTGCTTCAGCCATGTGTGCACGCTCTCACCGTATACTGTTGGCGACCTCGGACTCTGCTCTGATGCATTGAGGCTCCCGACGACTGAGCGGCGCACCTTGGTAATATAGTTTGTAACATTTTGGCAGGAGATAGACAGCTCTTGAACACACAGCATCGAAATAATATTCCGGAGACGCACCACCAATACGGTGCCCATTGGCGAAGCACGACGAGTCCACAGACTTGAGAAACTGTACTTAACGTAACGTTACACATCAGTCCGCAATCCGAGGCCCGGTTTGACTTCTTTCCACTCAGCTCATGTTCACCAGCCTTGTCCATTCTGTGTATCTCAATTCTTAAAACACTCATTTCCAGACAGTGCACGATGCAGGTCTGCCACTTGCATCCAATGCATTGGGCAACAGCTAGCTAGTTGTTCTGGGCTATTAAGTCCCTGTATACGTTCCCCTGTGGTGCACGACGCTCATGATTGTTTCTTCAGCTCCTGCGCTGTGTGCTTCAGAGCTCTGAAGTCGGTTCGGCGTATACATTCAGTACAACTCAGCATCCACAGGAACGTTCCCCTTCATTGGTGTTATCATCATCACTGCTGTCACCACGTTCGCCTGCATCCGAAAGATCCATCTCATTTGTTCCCTATGTCTTTTTGTATCGCGCTGAAGCCAGCAGCAAACAAAACGCTGATCGGCACGTCGTTTTCGGCGTAGTGGAAGACGCTCTCGACTACTACCTGACTCAGAAACGCTCTCAGAATCAGAGAAGCTCTCAGCACCTGACAGCAGGCCATCAGCTGATCGCCGTCACCTCCAAATTCGCCCGTCAATACGCCACCCGTCGCACAACTAGCTGCCATATCTTCCTTCAGCCATAACGGATTCACTTCAAATTTTGAGTGCTGGACCTTGAAGCCCTATAGCCCTGTGCTAAGCGAGGCGCAAGCGCTTGATGCAAATAGAGCCCTCTAACCCAGGTAAAAAATATGCCACAGTTTGCCAAACTTCAAACGCCTGTATCTCAAAATGATGTCATGCAGCTAACGTTCCATTTCTACCTTGTCCGCTCACATGTAGTGTAGATCTACATGACGTCGCTCAGGATTGCAATGAAGTTTCTTTGCTCTGTTCTTGCAACAATCCGCTCAGCTGGACGACTGCCGGTGACGGCTAGCGGTGATTTGCAGTCAACCTCTTGCTCACTCGACTGAAGCAGTTGCATCTTGCGTAAATCATCGAACTGTTGTTTAGTCGTTCAGCCCCATGTCGTTGTACTAGCGCGACATTACGAGCATGATTTGGTGTGGCAGTGCGCTAGCTTTGCGGACGTGCTGCCTCTGAGATGAACGCAGAAAAGCATCTGGTGGCCGTCAAGCAAGCAGTGAGTCATGTCTTTCATTCTATGCAGCGACTTCGCCAAGTTCTGACAATTCTGTCATTGAATTTTCTTTCTATTTGCACGAAGTGGAAGTGTGTATGCAAAAGTGTGTATGTTGCATCAACAATAATGTTGATTCACATGATGATTCACATCCATACCATGGTCATGCCCTGTAATCCTATCCGAAGTGAACAATTCAACATGCAGTCCAGTCGTATGGTTGTACTGAATTTGCCAGTGCTCGCTGTTGCACTCAAGCCACAAGGCTACACCATGTCATGAAGACACAACTTCTAATTGTGCAGCAGACTCCTGGTCCGCATTTCCGTATTATAAATTTAATGTAATGTTAATTTGAAACTCGGATGTTGAGCCATAAATAAATGTAAAAAGGAAAAGGACATATGGATACGAGTTAAGAGCAACTCTCCATCACTGTAACTGGATACTATATACAGTCAGAAAGTGCAATAAATAGGCACAAAACTGACAGAGTACTGAGACATTCGACGTCCTGACACCTAGCTTCAACACATCTCCGTAGCGCTAACCGACAGCCTTCCAACTTGGAAGGTTCAAGGTTATGGAAAGACCAAAGAGGGGAAGGCAAGCGCAACGAAAACGAGCAAAAGCTACAGTCCCAACGGAACAAAGAATGTCGATTGTTACTGGACGATGACGAGACCAGTACGATATTTGACAAAGCGGTCTAACTACAATTCGAAGCAGCAAAGCAGCACACCACCCAACTTGGGTGGGTCATAAATATCAAAGATAAGTAAAGAAAGGGGAAAGAGATGTTCGCTGATCCCCCTCCCCCTGCATTACCGCTCTCCAGAACTCTTTTCCAGGTCTCCCCAAGGTACCATGAATACCTAAGTCCTTTCCATGAGTCCGCTGCCGGGGTGATTGTCATGTGAGCGCTTTGCCGTTTTAGTTTTTGCTTATCTGCCTGTTTTTCACGTCAGGCTAAGGGCACCCCAAGCGAGTACACTGTACCGGTATAATTATGTTACCCGTGTACAGTAAGGTCGGGCGCTGAAGAACACAGGGGCTCAGAGTGCACCCTAGCCAAGTGTTCTAAAAATGTTCAAATGTTAGTCGTTTTGTTCTTATTCATGGAGAGCACCGTACGATGGAGAGCACCATTTCGATGCGATCACACCACGTGGAAAACGTGTAGAAAATAGCACATGCGTTCCTTAACAATTTGTAAATCTAGCCTGAAACTCTATAGGATATCAAATTTTCATTTTTTCGTGGAGTTCCCCTTTAATTCCTGGCCATTTACCAGCCTAATTGTTCTTTGGCGAAGTGTTCTTCGGCGCCCGATCTTACTGTACCACAGTTGAGTCTTTATGTCTTACGAATGTATGTAATACAGTGCGTATCGGTTATAAGCGTGGTCGTGTAAAAGAATATACTGCCTACAAGAATGAACTCTCATGTTTTCATAATCATAACATGGATTTCATGCGCACATTTATTCTTACAAGCAATTTTATCGTACAGTAGAATATATCGGTCCTAAGAATGGAATTTGTGTAGCGAAACATGCCAGATCAGTACAAAGTATATCGCCTGTAGTAATAACATCCGTCCAAAGCAGTTCTGATCTGACTCGCGTTGGGTCGTAGTGCTGCAGGTTCAACTATTGTGGTCATGTAACTCATGTTGCATAGCCACATGGTAAGCCTATGTGACTGTGACCAGCCGCATACACAGTAGCACTACCTTGTATGTACGATGATCTTCCTGCCTCTGCGCACATGCACATGATATGTCACACTTGATTTATCGTGTGTAAGAAATATCGGAAATAAGAATAGAAAGTCGTTTTTCAAACACCCACGCTATAACCGATACCTACTGTACAATACTCGGCTTCGAAAAGTAATTTGAAGCCAAGAATTGTTTTCCAGGACATTAGATAGGTTTAGAACTGCATTTGAATTGCCTTCAAAAACTGCACTTGCACACTATGTCATTGAGTACTACGAATAGTGTAGTATAACACTGTGTGCTGTCGGTGCATTCATTCATGACGGTTCAACCCTGCAGGTGAAGCGGTTGGTAGAGGAAGCGGTCACCCGGCGGTTCATTCATCAGGACAGTGCTAATATCACTGCACTATGTGGTAAGTCATGATCCGAAAATACCCGAAAGCAAATAAGTTTTCAAGTCGAACCTCACATTGCTGCATTGTGTTCATCTTTCACAGACTTGTTTTTAGAAATGCACAAACATACTGTAGGTAGGTGAGGAGGGTTCAGCTGATTTTCACTAGGCATGAGGGACCTAGATAAAAGAGAACAGGAGTGTGTAAAAGTCTGCTTTTATATTGAACTAGTTTACTAGGAGATGGATATGTAATCACACTCAGGATAACAACACACTTCAGGCTCCTCACAAGCAGCAGTTTCCAATTTTTCCACAAGTACTTTAATGCCTTCTCATCAGGTGGGATACAGGCAAAACAAGGAATTAAATGGACCAGAGTTGTCATAGAAATGGCGCAAAGAAGAGTACAGCTAGAAACATCATAAAGTCCGTAGCCTCATACACGTAAGTTAAAAGGTATTCGGAGTGGTCTATCTTTTATGCGTGAAATACTCTGCGCTGAGCGTGTTGAGCACTATTTCAGCAGCTTTTTACTACTTCTCTAGCAGGAATGACATGAAGGTGCAAGTGTGAAGACACCCTACAAGTGTGGGATGCATTCTGACAGCAGTCAACAACCAATGGACATAGCTAGCAAGTTGTCGGCGACCTACCCAACAACCTAAGCTATTCTCACCATGTGTATGGGGTTGCGGGTTTTACCGTGTCGTTTCTGGCTACTCTTCTTTGCGCTGTTTCTATCACATCTCTGCTGTATATACTTTGTGTGCAAGTTCTATTTCTTTTTTTGCCTGTAATTTATTGGCCTGATGAGAATTGAGATGGCATCAAAAGTACTTGTGGGAATTTTCAAAAATGTTGCTTACCGGTATGAGGACAATGTCTCAGTTTTAAACATCTCGTAAGCAATGTCCATTCAGCAAATCACAGGAACATGCGCACGTCCCTTAGTTGGAGGTTAAGCAGTCTGTATGTACACCTGTTGACAAGATAAAACTGGCTACATATCCCAGGAATAAGGGCACTGTGTGAAATTCTTCCCTTTCCTTTCCCTGTTTTTGTTCTCTCTTATTTGCTGCTTAGTTGCACTGGACAAAGCCATAACGTTCGGTCTCCAGTCCAAGTTCAAAAGGAGATGGTCCACGGTGACCTCTGCAGACGTCTTGCAACACCTGGGCCGCTTTGACAAGGCGGCACTTGACCTGAGCAAGAAGGCTCAAGAAATCATCGCCATAGTTGGTAAGCGGAACAGTTGGTGAGCTGCAGGATTGACCAGTAGCTGCTGTGGTATGCAGGGTGAATGTATCTAGTGATTCCAGACTTCAGTCGCATCACGTCTTGTTGTGTGCGAGGAGTTTGGTGTGTTTCTGAAGCAGCTACCAATACCACTGTGCATGGACTCAGTTGCTGTGCATGTTTCATGTTGTATTGTGTGTCTTGTTGACTGCCATGCAGGCCAGCACACATCCTCTTCAAGCGGTGGATTCTTCTTCAGCTCGAGGAGTGTTACCAATGGAGGTGACCGAGGTGGACTACGACAGAAGCTGTTTGCCACCTATAGCAGCGCACTGAACCACCGCGGACATGAGCGCTTCCTGTGGGTGCGCATCGCCCTGTTGGAGAAGACACTCAACCTTATTGTCGAGCAGCTTGTGAAGCACTCAAGGTACCATGAACGCCTTTTTAAAATTTCGGTCAATTTTCTCCTGTGTCTAGTTTTTGCGTGCCTCGTTGTGTGGCGTGAAGTCACTGCTCCTGCCTCATACCACACCTTGCGGATATGGGTGTTGGTGCCTTGCGGGTATGTGTGTTCGGTTTACTTTTGGTTAGCCTTGCAGTTGAGAGACTTTGTTTCCTCGGTGTTGTCTTTTTGCACAGTGCGCTTTATGAGAATACAAGTCTGATCGGCGATCCCGTTCGAGGGCCTATCGTTGCCACATTACTAGGTAAGACTTGACTTAGATGACAGACAGACTATGTAAAGGTATCAAGAACTTGAGATGGATGTGTATGTGGTGTCTACTTCAAAGTATATTATGTATGTGTATATGTGTGTGTGTGGGTGTGGGTGTATGCGTTGACTCGCCACGCCCGTGACTTGAACAATGCTGGTCCCTTCGGGACCTGCTATCATCTCCGGATGGACATAATTGTTATGTATTGTATCGTGTGCATGAGGGGGGGGGGGGGGGGGGGGGGAGAGAAAAATCCTAAATCAGTATGACTATGGCTGTGCTGGACAGGTATTGTACGTGTATACTTGTTTCATGTCTTGCAGCCGGACCGTGTGCGCTGGATTACTCCCGTATGAAGACACCAGACCATTTGTTTACGGATCCGTCGGCAGAAGAACTGGTCTTGAAGGATCGGTGAGGATTGATTTTTCACCCATTGCATAAATGATGGTGCTTGTCCCAATCCTTCAGCGGTTTTGTCTTGTCAATCTGAGCTTTGAACCTTTCCTCTGAGGTAATACATGTGGTGTTCGGTCTGCCGTATCCAGTCGCAGTACCTCTCTAACAAATGTTTGACTAAAATGTAGAGACCTGGACACATACACATAGGGAATGTGTGGGGCTCGATCATAAAGCAAGATGCGTGCAGCAGGTAGCTAGACTGGACATCAAATGTATTTTTGGTTCAGTGGGATTTAGTTGTAACTTATGAGGACAGAAATTTCAGGAGTACAGTTTGATGTGACAGCCATGAAGCGCGCGCGCATGTGTGTGTATGTGTGTGTGTGTGTGTGTGTGTGTGTGTGTGTGTGTGTGTGTGTGTATGTATGTGCATGTCACAGGCTTTCCATTCCATAATGTACTTTTACATGTATTCCCAGCAAGCAACTGGCCCCGCCTTTGAGCGCCGTTCTAGAGAATTCTCTCCGGGGGAATTTGATGTGATAATTGTGACACCGGTCTATTTGGACCGTCTAAGTTGACATTTTAAATTGAATTCACCCTCATAGTACTGTGGAAGTGTACTATCAACAGCCTTGCAGACTGCAGGGGTTGCAGGTTATGTTTTGGAGGAGGGACATAGCCTCTTCAAGTGAGCGCATCCTGCTCGGGAACTCTAATACCACGACACTTTGATTGATTGACGAGCTAGTGTCCTTGCATTTCTGGGTCTATCTGTGCCTAAACAGAATGCAGTGTGTGTAACGGCAGAGTCTGAGCTAGTTTTGTCTCCGCTGTGCAATGCGTTCCTGTTTCTCTGTGTTCTTTCCTCCCCTAGGATTGCTACACGGAGTGAAGGAGCTGTGAGTGCTACTCAGCATAGTCTGGAGAAGGTAAGACACGTGTGCGCGCAATCCGGCATGGCGTGGATTACAAATGATATGTACCAGCTACTGGTACATTAGTTGTTCCTAACACAGTACTTGCAGAGCATTTTGTATACAATATCGAGTGATCCTCTTTCTGGCGAGGCTGATGCTCTTTGTGTCGGTCGACTCCTGAAAATTGAGAATATTTGAGCCACAAGAAACACGACCCTGCACTGGCCATGGGAGGGGGGGGGGGGGGGGGCGAGCACCACAACCAAGCCGTTATGCCTTCGGTGTACGAACTCGCCTTTCTTGAGACTTCTGCTGTGCACTTAGCACTTTGGCATGCCACGCCGGTTCTGTCTGACAGTACCACACAGTGCTCTCCCCTTTGTCAGCCAGATACTGTGTCAGCTCTACACAGGTGTACCAGTTGTCCAGGAATGGGGGATACCCTTTCCAGGGGAATGGTTCCATCTGTTTATACACCACCGCACTGGACTTCTCAGTTCTTGTGATCATAGGAGTGTGATTCCCACATAGTTACACAATGTCACGGCATGTATGTGCTGTGTAGAATATGCATGATGGGTCTCTGTTTTCCTCCGATATACTGTTGGAACAAATCCACGAGCGCTTGGTATGGATCTTCTCGGGTTGGTAGATCCGGGTACGTTTGTCAAAGGTAATATGCCGCTTGCTCCCCTAACTTCGAAGCTGCAGCAAGATATCGCTCTTTCTTGTCGTCCACTTTGTGGAGCTGGAATTTGGTGCGCAGCTGGCTCAGCCGAGTTTGAAAATGACCTACGCTGTGCTCGTGATCCAGGTTGAGCTGGACGGATACTTGATTTTCGCTGCCATCTCGTAAGCTGTCACGACTGCCATGAGCTGAGCTAGTCCTGTTCACCGCGCCAAAATGTTGAGTTCGGACAGACGAGATAAAATTGGTCCTAGTTTCAGTTCTTGTTCCAAACAACTCAACTCAAATATCCGAGTCCGAAAACCTAAACAGCATACGAAAACCGTCCCCATACGCCTACACATCAGTAAGCATGCGGAACTAAGAGATCACATGAAAGATCAGCTGACATTATCAACCAAACATGCGTAAAACACAGAATAAAACATGAAGCCAACAGCACTGGATATACTCTAGAATGACTATAAAATAATCATTTGTCCCGCTGCACGAGCATGATATGGCTGTGTATCGCTGTCTGAGCCTTTGCAGGTGTCACTCAAATTTCGTTTGGGTACCGAATGCGCCTGGGCCGAAGGCAATGTGCACCGTGTCATGCTCATGTATTTCATCTAGATACCAATGCGTACGCATAGCATTGGATTTCCTCTCAAGCAATATAGTACAGTAGATTACCTTAGTCAGTGGAAAGGTGATTGCTCCCCATACCGGAGTTCGCACTTTTCTGCCAACTTGACTTGTCTGTGGGAAGCAAACACCTCTCCCATGTAATCATCGCCAAAGTCGCTACCACTTTCTCGTATCTTAGTCCGGCATTGTGACAGAAACTCAAGCATGCACTCGGTGTGTTGCAGAACTGTGCAGCGCCAAGAAGTGAATCACCCACACCCAGAGACAGCGAACATGGAGAAACGCTTCAGGCCATTGCTACTCTGCACCAGAACTCTCAAGCCACCCTTATCTATGGCAAGAACAACGTGCTCCTGGAAACGGTAAGTAGTGGAAAGTGACACAGCCGTCAATCACCATGCATATAAATAGAAGTATTTCATCAATCACCATGCATATAAAGTAAGAAGTATTTATTGCGACTGCTGCAGATGGAAGCTGAGCAAGTTCCTTGATTTGATTAATGGTATCAATTTGGTTCCACTGTAATGTGTTGTGCCACTGTGAAAGGTAATTTTGTCTTGCCAATTTCTGAGTATTTACTTGTATTTCAACCTATTTGTATCCTGTACTCAACATTCTACCTCAGGCACCATCTCATCATGCCCGCGGCTATCTCTCTGTTCACCAAATGGAGACCAATCTCCTGCTGAAGTGGACACCCAATGAGCTGGTCACCGGGAAAGGGACAAATGCGGCGCACTCCCCGGGCCATAGGTAATTTTGGCCATGCATACAATTCCTACCAGAAGTAGCTGCCCTGCAATTTGATAGTTACCACCATGTATTTCCTGTAGCGGTCTGCACATGTTATCAAGCAAGTAGCATTCTTGAATCTATGTGAGCATCAATGGCAAGTGCTGCTGTGAGGTTCAAATTAGACCAAAAGTCACGTTTATTTTTATTTTTAATATACAGGTCTTTGAAGTATGCAAGGTGGAACTCAGAAGTTCTTGCCATAACAGTACGCATGTGGGATGCAATTATGCTGTTAACCAGTTTTGTTATGCTTGTTAGAAAATAATTATTAATATTTAAAAAGCAATACTGCAATTTGCATGTTTTTATCTTCCTTTTACTCTTGCTCAGTTCATTTGGCGCACTGACTGTGAATCTCAATCAAGTCGTCTGCGTCCACTGTCATCCTTATGGTAAGTAGCGCAGGCTACATTGCCACATGTCCAAAGTTCATGACTGCCGGCCTATCCCCCGGTTAAAATGAGATCCGATTGTAAATGAAATGAACAGTTGCCAGTTTTCCGTGAGATTTTTTTGCCCTAAAAGACAGCACAAGCAAAAGCACAGCCACCATAGTGTCTTGTAGTAAAGCCTATCTCATAGAACAGCCAGCCTTGGATAGAGCCTGATTTTCAAGATACACTGATACAAGATACATAAGCTTGGTTTTAGTGTTGACACACATAGAAATACCTGGTTTGAATAGAAGCCTGATGAGAATAGAATCCTAGCCCTGACATCGGCTTCTACAGGAATAAGCCCGGCTTTAGTACGCTACAATACGGTATTTGGTTCCAGTGTAATTGTGGCTCCCACAGTTTTTCATCTTGAGAGTGGACAACGGAGGCTGGTTCTTATCGGGTAGGTTGTAACCTCCCCCCCCCCCCCCCCCCCCCACACACACACTTGTTTACGTTATACCACTGGCTGCTCGCTGCACAATGTTACTGTACTGAAGTGTCTAATGGAGGCATACACGGTTTGTTCTTGTCGTGCACCTCTGCTGCAGTTGCCTCTGCGGAGCACGAGGAAGACGAAGTGGACGTTCAGCGTATCCAGTTTATCCTGCAGGATGGCACGAGTTTGCCGCCTATTGGCCTGCAGCATGGCTCGACGCTCTTCACATTCCTGGCTATGCTGGAAACATCTCTGCTGCCCAATGTCCGCCTGGATCCTCCATTGTGGGGGCAGCATGAGAGTAGAGCAGGGCCGTTTGCGCCTCCGTGGCCAGTTTCCAAGCAGAGATCCATGCCATCGTTCATGGGCCTTCAGGCACCCGTCGACGGAGACTCGCCCAGCAAAACGCAGTCGCCGTCATCGCTTGTGAATCGTCGCATCGACATGTCTGACTTGCCAAACTCGCTGGCGGGTGCTCGGCAGTTTAATGCACGTCAGCGCTTGGAGCGGGGCTGTGTCTTTCATCTCTTACCAACTGGTAGGGAGCCATCTCCACCGGGTAAGTGATATTCTCTTATATATGTTCCTATAATATAGGAGCATCACACGTATTATGTGTGGGGGGCATAGTGATATGAGTGACACTGCTTCGTTCCCTAGTCCTTTTCTTTCTCAACATCAATCCTCTCTTTTGGTGAATTGCTAGTACATGTATAGTCAAACTTCGTTAGGATGAACACTGAGAAGGCGAACTTTCCTTTAGTATGAACTACGGCCAATCATATGGTTGGCCAGGCATCTTATCAAGTCAAAATTATTCGTTTACGACGAACTCCTGTAAGGAGAAACTTTTGTGAAGACGAACTAATTTCAAGCGTGATTTGAACAAAATCAGCGTGTAGCACGAACTTTCGGTCCCCGTGGGTACGCTGGCTGTAGTTTTTTTTCCGATAGTAGAGGCTTTTTGTACAGGCAAAACATGTTACAAGGCGGAGGACATGCTGTTATGAATTCATTGCACATTGTACTGTTGCTGGGTTATGTTATGAAAAAATGTTTTACATTTGCCACAGCATGCACCTGCACATAAATACAATCCACACGATATGCGTATCAATTTTGTTGTCAGACCTGGATAAGACAAACAAATTTCCTCGGTCCCTTGAAGTTCATCCTAACGAGGTTTGACTGTAGCCTGTTTGTCTACATGGTGGAATCATCTCTGCTCTTTCTGTATCATGCTCTGCTTCAGCCAGAGACCCTCTTTCTGTTGTCACAAGGGAATATTGCCTTGAGACTTGCACATGTGGCATACCAATTGTGTGTGTGTGTTTGTGTGTGTATGTTTGTGTGTGTATGTTTGTGTGTGTGCGCGCATGCGCACGTATGTTTGTTTGTGTGTGTGCATGTGTGTGTGCGTGAATACTCATCCATGGCCTGTGTGATGTAGCATCACCTCCACCAGTGGAGCTGTTCCTGCATCTCTCCAAGGACGATGCCAATCCACAGCAGGCCAATGACAGCTCCGAGGACCCGGACACTGTTCGCCAGCGCTCCAGTACATTGCCGGAGAGCCCATCGTCAGCACATTCACAATTGCCGACACTAGAGCAGCAGTCAAAGTGCTCACCGAGCGCACATCGTTCCATCAGTAATTTGAACAGGTGAGCAACCATAATGGCACACCACATACTTGTTGCATTGGAGCAGCGTAACTGATGCTCATGTACTCATAAACTACCACCCACCACTGGTCTTTTGCTCACCTTGTTATTCATTTGAAGAAGATGGTATTGGGCGATTTAATTCTTCAATAACAACAATGATGATAACAATCCAGGAAATGCGGCAGACCATACTTATTGCTTTTGCTCGACAATGTGTTTTGATGGCCAGTCTGGAGTATGAAGGACAGGTTTGGTGCGCACTAACTGTTGCTGCTGTCATGGGTATGTGTGTTACAGAATGGTCACGGCACGTATGCAGGAGAGAATCAAGTCACGCACATTCTATGGGTGTAAGAGACTAGGAACGTTTGTCCTGTAGACGGTGTATGCATGACTTGTGTGCTGTGCAGAAACTGTATGCATAAGTTTTTGTGCTCCTTGAGTGTACAGTGGCATGTTGTATGCTGCATATTCTATTGAGTGTAGCGGCAGTTCTGTATCTACTGTGTCAGGATGGATCACTGTCCTTCGTGATTAATTAATAATCTGAGAATATTTGAGGACTGAGTACGAGAAGTAGAAATTGCAGTGGAAATTGAGTTTTCACTATACATTCATCCATACCTGCATTTTACATGTAGAATGATTAAAAGATGTATGAGGTATCCACGACTCTGAGAATCTCTTGCCGCAAAACATTCCATACTGCCCTTGTAAAGGGTATCGGTTAATTAAATGTGCCAGTCAGTGATATTATGAAGTAACGTGGGCATTTGCACCTGTAACCAATCATTTCTCTGTTTCTCTGTTTCTCTGTACTGTTCTTGCAGGGATGATGTACTGTCGTGATATGCGTATCGTTCGCAACAACCTAGGCAAGCTGCTGTTGCCAGTGACGGACAGTAATCGCACTGTGCACGTCAGCAAGTCCTCCATGGACCAGTGGGGATCAGGTCTTACATCTCAACTCTGGGAAGAGCTCATGACCAATGATGGCGTTGTAAGAAATTTGTTTTGGTGACCAATGTTACGATGACCCCATTCAGATTCGGTCGCCAGGATTGATACGCCCCAGCCATCATTTCCACTGTGCTTACTACTTCAAAGTAAATTTGTACATATTGGGTAGCAAGGAAGCAATTGGTCTAGTACTAGTATTTGACCTGGTAATTTTTGCTGTGTAAATAGAGCCTCTGAGTATGGTTAAGTTCCGTTGCACAGTTAATTAAAGGTAAACCTGGCTCCCCTCATTCTTGTAATGAATCGTGAAGAGTGAGCTATTTAGTCAAGAATCCTTCTGCATTTGAGTTCAGTGCTTCTAGGATGTGTGATGTATAATTATCCTCTTGTGTGATTGGTAGATTGGAAATCCACACGCGGTGATGAAGTACATCTTCTTTGGTGGCATCCAGGACGACAAGGCAGGCAGTTTGAGAAAACAGGTCAGTTGTAATCTTCTTTTTTGTTTTTGAAGTCATGTTAGCAGACCCGCACCACCACCACCACCACCACCTTCCCAGGTAGCAAGCATACGCTTGCTTGAAGTCTTAGCTTACCAGTGTGGAGTGTGATGTGATCAAACCATCAATTTTCTATTGTCAGTTAAGTTCTGGTCCGGGAATTTTCTGTCGTTGTATTTGCGTTTCTTCGTAAACGTTCCAAATGCTTACTAGAACGTTCACAATGACAGTGTATAGTATTCTGCTATGCTGTCAACGTATTGTTTGTTTTGTCTTTACGTGGGATGTACAGGTATGGCCGTATCTACTTGGTCTGTATAGCGTTGACTCAACACCAACTCAGCGTACGCTGGCATTGGACAAGCTGCGTAAGCACTATGAGGACACGTTGCGTGATTGGGTGATGGTGGAGAGTTGCCTGAAGGAGACAACGGCCGACGAGCTAGCGCAGTGCGAGCAGCTGTTTGCCGACTTGCCATCGCGCACACAGCAGCTCCAGGCTATGTGGGAGTATCGCGAGTCGCAGCGCAAGCAGAAGAGCAACAGGACCGACGGGAACGCGTCCAGCTCCGGCGGCAAGAGCTCGACTGCAGGTGCACGACAGACTACCCATGCCTCTCCGTGCACCCCGCCCAGCCGAACGCCTACACCGAGTGCTTCCAAGCGCAGTGCCAGCAACGAGCGCAGCAAAGCGACTACAGCACCGGGCGGTACTGCAGTGCTGGACCTAAGTGACAAGTCCGACGACTGCTGCACGTGTAAGCTTGAGGAGGCGGCGGCGGCAGAATATAATAATGATGTACAGGTTGGGCAGACGGTGAATGGAAGCGGCGGCAGCAACAGCACGGCGGGAGAGGATGGAGTTGGCTCCACGGTAATTACTTACCGTCGCTGTCCTGTGTGTGGCAAGTCACAACAGCAGCAAAGGAGTGAGAATCACCAGGTAACCAATGGAGTAGCAAGTACGGATGATGATGATGATGAGGAGGAGAAGCGTAGTACAAGTAAGAAGCAATCTACCACATCAAAAACCAGCTACCATGTTGATCCTGACCATGAGGAGTTGGAGCCTTCGGAGATTTGGTCGCGGGAGCTTCACAAGATTGACAAGGATGTCATGCGCTGTGACAGGAACTACCAGTAAGCACCGGTGCTTGTTCTTGTGTGTGCGTGTGTGTGTGTGTGTGTGTGCGTGCGTGCGTGCTTGCGTGCGTGTGCTTGCATGTGTGCGTGCATGTGTATGTGCACTACAATAAATATGATCTTGGCTGAAAAGGATTAGATTCTAGGTGGAGTCCAAAACGGATCAGCACATTATTTTTAACATACCGGAATATTTACAGGTGCTGCAGGAGCAGTCGCTAAGTTAAGATTTGGAGATGGAGAATCCATCTTATAATTATTTCTTGCTTTGTGAATGGTAATGTACATGTATTTTTACCTTGTTCTCTTTTAGTGGGAGATCACCTCCTATTATATATAAATATGGGATGTTTTTTTTACAAATGAATGAAGCCCACAGAGCCACACCAGATATGTCAAGGCTTCTGCAGCAAATGGTACAGACTGCAGAGAGTATAGACTTCATCCTAATTTGCACAGCCAAAGCTTGGCTCTTGAATACTCTAATTTCAGAAATTTTCGGTGCTCAATATTTTCGGTATGAGGGCAACAGGCTAGGTTAGGTGAACAGAAATTTTCGGTACAGAGAAGCAGGTCCCTGTTGGAGTATGTGTGTTAGTGTTTGTTCGGTGTATTGAAATTTTAGGTGTGAAACAGACGCACCGAAAGTACCGAAAATAAAAGTACACCGAAAATTTGTGAAATTACAGTAATTATAAGAACTTGCTGTAATCAGCGAGAGAAAATGTACCAAAAGAAAGAGCCAAAACAGCAATGTTCTAATTATTTGATCATGTTCCTGTATGCACGAGATTACGGTACACAAGTGAGCATAACTCACATGGCTGAAACATACTTGTGGAGCTCTCTGCAGCAAAGCATGTGAAACATTTATACATGTTGGTGGAGCTAATTTGATATTAAACTGTTGACTCGTTTCTTTCCTTTCTGCAGCTATTTTGTCCCTGCCAACTTGGTGAAACTGCGGAACGTCATTGCAACGTAAGTGAATTAGTGCTGTGGGGCGGGGGGGGGGGGGGGGGGGGTGGTATTTATCTTGGTCTGTGTATGGCAAGTGTGCAGTACGTGTACTTGTGTGTCTGTTTCCAGATGTGTGTAGATGTGTGTTTCTGTTTCCAGGCGTGTGCAGATGCGTGTCGATGTGGGCAGATGTAGGTGTGTGTACATTTGTGTAGCTGTGTGTAGCTGTGTGTAGATGTGTTGGTAGTGTTTCATGTTGCTTTTTTTGTGTTCCTTCCCACAGTTATGTCTGGGAGCATCGTCCACCATTAGAACAAGGTTACACTCAGGGCATGGTGGATCTGCTAGCTCCGCTCATGGTGATCTTCAATGACGGTACGCACACTCCATGTGCATGTGTGCACTCACACTACTTTACCAGCAGCACACACCTGTGCCGTTCGTTCATGGCTTCATATCGTTTTGATACAATGAGCCTCCAATCACAATCGTACCCCTTACCAAGAGTGCATAAAGCGGCCCAGAATGTGCAGCTTCTGACTTGTCTGCATCGGTCACGGTCTGTCATGGCAAAATTCCGCCGCGGATTACATCCGCCGATGATATTTGGTGCAGATCTGAGGCGGGAAGTCACGTGTAGTCGCGTGCGTATAACTGAGCTGCAGTTGTGCAGAAAGAGACCTGTTTGAAGCCTTCTTGTACGCACTACATCACAACAATTATATTATCACGGAGTTTTGCCGTGACAGCAACTCATCAGAGCTGCACGCTCTGGGCTTCATGTACTCTTGCTCTTACCAATGTGTCTCTCAGGCCCGGTCTTAGAGAGTGCAGGGTTTCCCAATTGAGCCACAAGTTAGGCAGCAAATGATGAGTTTGATTTATTTCCACTCAACTTATTTTATTCCGAGTGGTACTGAGAGATTTTCATCCGATGTGCAGGCTGCTAAGCATGCATGATGCTCCCACCCGTGGCTACAACAGAGTCTAACGGTGATGATCATATGTCTCTGAACATGTTATTATCCTCTGGTCTGTTGTAGAGGTCATGGCGTATGGCTGCTTTTGCAAATTCATGGCCGTGATGGGAGACAACTTTCCGCACGGCAAGGCCATGGACAGCAACTTCTACAACATGCGCCTGCTGTTTGAGGTATGCAGTGCTGGTGTGATCTGCCAGCCCGTGACATACCAGCCATTATCATTGCATACGTGAATAGTTGCGCACTCTTTGAGTACGTGAAGACATTACCCAGTGTGGAGGATGGATATTGGCTAACCATGGTGGGACAGGAAAGGAAAGTGATGATGGAATTGAGATAAGCATGGGGAGAGTGGGTTGCATAGAAGGGTGTATCAATAATTTGTTGCCCTAGCTTGGGATTGGGACTAGAATTCTGGTGTTCCTGCTGCTTGTGCCTTGCTCCTGTAGGTGTACGACAGGGAACTGTTTGAGCTGATGAAGAACAATGGTGACTACACTCATTTCTTCTTCGCCTATCGCTGGTTTCTGCTGGATTTGAAAAGAGGTAAACTTGGGGTTGTGTGTGTGTGTGTGTGTGTGTGTGTGTGTGTGTGTGTGTGTGTTGTGTGTGCGTTTTTTGAATTCTGCACTGAGCAATGTAGGCTCTAAACTACACTAATAGCACAAATGTCCGCAGTCTCATCAGCCTTTTGCTTTGCCAGTATTATCACTCTGCAACATCACTTTCAGAAGCGACACCATCATCTCCGCCCTCTACGGCTCAGTGCTGACGCGGTGCCAAGCAGTTCCTCGCAATGGGTTCGAACGGCTTCACCGGCTGCAACTTCTGCATGTAGCTTGAAGACGTCAGTGCGCTTAGCTGGTTTCACCCTGCTGACCATTGGCAACTCAGCAGGATTGTAGCCACTCCAGCTCTTGCAGGATTGTAGTCACTCCAGCTCTTGCAGGATTGTAGTCACTCCAGCTCTTGCAGGATTGTAGCCACTCCAGCTCTTGCAGGATTGTAGTCACTCCAGCTCTTGCAAGATTGTAGCCACTTCAGCTCTTGCAAGATTGTAGCCCCTCCAGCTCTCGCCGCGCTTAAGTACAGGGTGCTCACAACTGTCGCCAGTGTAAGCCGTTTTGATGCCCAGCTTGTCGCTAGCAATTGACACAATCTTGGCTTCGCTGATTTTGAAAGACCGACTCTGCTTGCACGATGCCTGGGCAGCTGGCTTGAAGTTGAGGCTCTTCCAATCACGGTCTTACACAATCATGGTGAGTACCGAATTGCTCCAGAATCTCATGATAGCCATCTGGCCGAAGAATCGTGTTTTGACGTCTCACATGCTTCTCTATCCGTCCGAACACCCAGTCTGCTGGAAGGAAGCTGTGGCCTCTTACAGGAAACGTACACGTTATGGCGAGATCGGGTTGGCGATTCTTCCGCAGGGCGAATAGCATGCTCAAAACGTTGATGTTCTTGTTCTGACCAAAGCAAGAGCCACTGAACAACCGTAGGTGAGACAATTGCGACAGGCCCGCTGCAATCGGATCTGTAGTCAGGAAATGCCACAATGCAGAACCAGTCATATTACTGTCCTTACGATTCTGGCATTCAAGCCAAGTGTAGAGGTACACGTCCTCCTTCCCCTGGCTGCTCCCTTCTCCATGAAGGATCACAATTGCAAAGACATAGAGATACAACTGATGAGCATAATATGCCATGTTGACAGCAGTCTTAGGCAGGACCGGGTTCTCCATGATGTCAACGCAAATGGTAAGCAAGCTGGCACTTGCTTCGTTCATTGCACTGTAGAACTGCCCTGCTTCTCGCTTGTGCAACAACAGTGAAATCGGCTGTACTTTCTGCTCCTCAGTGCTGCACTCTTCATCGTGCATTCCCACTCTAAAGCGAGTGCAGGTGGAGCACATGCCACACGCTGGATATCCAAAGGCTAAGTTAAACCGGCCAGTGAAGATGGAGTGGTAGAGTGAGTACGAGATACTTGGTCCACGTCAGCAATATTGTCGCTTATCTTTCGACACTTTGAACTTAGACTTTGGACATCAATGCATGCACTTGAAGTGATAAAACTTGGTACGATGGAAGGTAAGGTATAGAATGACAACTAGCTATGAGGAATTTATTGTCCAAGAAAGGGTTCATACTTTTGTCGGTCCTCCTCGTCGCTGCTCTTGGCGCTGGTGACAAATAATTTTGCTCGGGATCGACTCTCTTGCTTTTGCAACCTCATCTCTCTTCCTCTCCGCTGCCTGGCTATTTTCTAAAGAGAAGTCGATCGTGACGGTCGCCTTCTCTATAGGACTTCGCGTGGGCAGCACGACAGCCTGTGTGGTTCGAATCAGACGCCGTTCTTTGCAAGATTTCATTTTGAACGACGACGACGACGCGTACAGTACTTGCAAATCTCCACGATGCGCTGGATACTCCGAGTGTTGAACTGCGATCTCAGTTTCACGAGCGATCCCTGAGGTGAGCGATCTCGGCCGTTTAGCAAACTGGAGCTGATTCCGAGTAGCCGATTGCTTTCTTGTGGGTTGCGCTGCTCTTGCCTGCACAGTGTAACAAGATATCCTATTTTGATGCGGCGCTGTATCAATCAGAATCACCCACCCGTCGCTCTCGAAATCCACTCGAAATCTAGCTAGACCTTTCAGGTACTAGTAAACTAACTTACTAAACCAAAATTGGGATGAAATGGGCTGCCAAGTGAGCATTGGCGATATATAAACAAAGCTGAAAAATAAGCGACAATATCACTGACGCGGACCAAGTACTGACATCGTTTTCCTCAGCGAACATGTTGTGCATTTTCCTCACTGACAGATCACAGAGTAGGTACTTTCGTCCAGGAGCACGGCGAGCATAATGGCTGGATTGGCCAGTAAACTTCTTGATATGACTGCAGATGGCATCATGTCTCTCTGCAACTTTGTCGACATTCCGCGCATCGCCTCTGTTCTCTGCCATGGGCTATGGTGTTTGTATTGCTGGGCTATTCTACACACTCTGTCCTTCCCCACACCTAGAAGCAAGGGTAAGAAAAAAAAGCATAGTGTTTTTACTCGTCCTAATCTAAGTTACCAACAGGAAGAAAATATAATTGAGAGCGAGACGTTCACCTCTGAACAGTGATACCACAAAAGGATTGCAATTCGTTTCCCTCAAATTTACAGCACAGTATTGCCACATTGCAGAACTAACCAGTTAGTTCACTTTCACTCTCCATTCTCGGTACGTTGGAAATTCCAATAATCGAGGACTAGAGGAGTAAGTTACTCAGTCAAACCAGAATGACACATGAAGAAGAAGCGCGGGCAAACGTGCTATATAAACATTCTAGTAATCATTCGAAGAGAAAGAGCAGCGGTGATAACTCTGAAAATCGGGTTGGAAGTCCTTCTTCCTCTGCGACAATTGTGACGAACATACTTCAGGACTAGGTGCGACTGCTTTCACAACACTAGCTGACATACCAAAAAGCAGACTATTCACACGGTTTGGTACGTGAAGTGTGGCGCGAGCTGGCACGCGTGTAGCACGTGTGCCAAGGACAGGGACATGACAGGATTTATCGCAGTCTGCACTGAAAGGTATGCGACTTTTATCGCGTTTTGCAGAAGAACACAAAATTCAGGCATCTATTTGATTCTGAGGTATCGCGTTTTGACTCGTAAAACTGACACACGTACGTCCGTGATGCGGATACGAATTTTTCGTGCAAAAAAACACGGATGCCCGGGTTTGGTCTTTATCGCGTTTTGAATTGGAGCCCTTCAAAGATCTCGCCGAATTTACTCCTGGTTGACCAATATGGGCTGCTTCTTTCAACTTTCAGCCCTCCACGAGCTGCATGACTGTGTGTATGTGTGTGTCACTGTTTGTGTGTGTGTGTGTGTGTGTGTGTATTTTGTGCAGAGTTGGTCTATGATGACATCTTCAAGTGCTGGGAGTGCATCTGGGCTGCTCGCCAGTGCTGTTCGGAGTCCTTCACCTTGTTCTTGTGTGCGTCTCTAGTCCACACATACCGGTATGTCATAGGGACCACTCGCCAGACTCTGACTTTCTTGTTTGATTTTTTTGGCCAGGGAAAGTGGAACAGCAAGCAACATTCACAGTCCTTTTCTTGTGACCGTCTTTGGGTTGTGTTGGTCTTTCCAGTGCGTCACACTATTGCTGGGCACCTAAGAAATACCAGGCCAGCTGAACTCAGTGCTGGGCTTGTGTGAGCTGACCTCAAAGAATGCCGCTTCAGCTTTTAGCTTTTCTCAAAGCATCTGTTGGTGCAAAACTGCTCCCTGCGACTCAGTGAGAGTGACCTACTCTTTCTCAATATTCACGAATCGGTGAAAATGGAATTATTTCCTTGGCGGGCAAAGCATTCATGTCCTTGTCTCCGTGCTCCTGTGTGTGATATTTGCTAGAACATATACACTCCCCACTCTTACTTATGTATTAAGATGTTTCAAAATTTCCAGAAAAATGCTTTTGAGGTGACTGAACTGAGTAGGCTGACAACTTGATTCGGTAATTCCCGTGACCCCCTGCCGCTTCTTGTCCTTCTCTTGCAGTGACATCATCTTGAAGAACAACATGGATTTCACAGAAATTATCAAGTTCTTCAATGGTAAGTCCGATTCCTCGATGTCCTGGGTTATCAGCACTCAGAGCAAGTGCTCCAGTAAATGGTCAAAAGTTGAGTATAACTCATGATAATAATATTATTATTGTCATGTTGTATTCCTCAACTGGCAGCTGCTGTAATGATAAGCCCGTCGTATTTTGAAGTGACCAAATACTCCCCCGCCTCTGACATATTGCGTGTACTTCATTGGATTGAACCAGTTTGTGGCATAGTTGGTAATTCACATGCACACCCGTCATGTTCACTGACAGTCGCTGTGCTCTTTTCTCTTGCGCAGATATGGCTGAAAAGCACCGGCTAGATGAGGTCCTGGATGGAGCACGGGGCATTGTGGAGTATCTCCAGAAGCTTCTACTGAATGAGAGCAAGGATGCAAGCAGAGTGACCAGCAGCAGTAGTCACGGTAGCAGTAGCCAAAGCAAAAGCAGTGCCTCATCCATGTCAACAGAACTACTGACCCCTTGAGCAATGAGTATCGGTTCTGATTCGGAGCATCCTTGCTGCGGAGCACTCCACAGGAAATCGATGTCGAACAAAGCAGTTTGTACTGGTGCCGCGGAGATGCATACTGGTATGGGCGTTTTTGATAGTCCTCCAAATGTACTTCAAAGTATTGGTTTGTCCGATAGTAGACTGTGATTGATTGATGAGTCTAGTGATAGTAACTGTTGTTGACCTATTGCTCGTGTGAATCGATAAACTTCAAACCTCCAGGACACTGCTGTATTGTCACATTTCCGCATGACAAGATGCACCGTGCGACTGTGTAGCCGGACTACGCACAAGTCAACAGTGAGACCGTGCAACGGTGCCACTAGATTTTGATGACCTTGGCAACCACCGTGGCAATCAGGACGAGCAAGACATCCTGACAAGCGTGCGCAACAAGCAAAGAAGGTGCTTTCATTGTTCTGTAGCAATATCGGTTGTTGAAAATCCTTTCAGGGTGAATGATTATCTACAATTTTATTCCACTGCATTCTGCTCTACATAGGAAATTGCTCCCAGCAGTGAATGATCGATTTCTAACTTGATGACAATTTTGTGCTAAGATATTTTGAATTGCCGCACTAGTTCGATTCCTATCATTTTTTTCGTGTGTAGATTGACTGGTTCAGTAACACCAGACACCCTTCTTCAGATGCAAGTTCCTTGCAAGTGCCTTTGTGGCCTTCGTACTACTATTTATGCCTCGCATTGCCACCTGTGGCTGTGCTGTCCATGCGCACTATGAAATAATTTGGAAATCCGAGCGCGTGTGTTCTTTCATGTACACAGAGTTCAGGCTGTAATGAATTGAGTCCATCTCATCCTTGTGTTCCTAACGTTCTACCAACGGGCATGTAAATGATACAATAAAAAAGTGCTACAGTGGATACAGTACTGCCGGTCGCCGAAGAACTGGAGGTCAGCCATGAGCCTTGGCCAGTCATGTACAACACAGTCTGTGCAGAGTGGAGTCACTGTGTATACATCGGTATGCTGTGCTTGGGTGAAACTTTTGCCTGTTCGTTCTTCGACACTCCGTTCTTTCGGCGCCCGGCAGTTCTGTACCACTGTACTGGTAACTACTGAAGTACGTAGGGCACGAATATGTACCTGTACATTCTGTGATGATGACAGCACATCTCATCATTCATGTTAGACTATCAAGTGTATACCATTGTACATACTACATGTACCGTGTAGCACTCTGTTTTGTCCTTGATCTCCGGATAGCGGCCTCAGTGGCTGTTTCTATCTGCCCGAGAAGACGGCTCATCGACAGAGCCATCTTTCCAGTAGTGAAAGTCATTAAATTTTGTCAATATTATTTTTTACTTTCAGTCGATTGATTGCGAGGCAGGTAGTAAGTTACACGAAATTTCTTGCGTTCAACTATAATGACTGAGTATTTTGAGTACTGCAGTTCTGACCAGAGAAATCCAACCTTATGAATATAGTAGTGCTGCATTCGTGTGCACAGAACAGTGACTGCAGTGCTAGGGCTGCATAGTGCCTAGCACTATTTTATTCATGAGGTTGGATTTCTCTGGCCAGTACCATAATAAAGGAGTACAAACAAGATTCTACATTGTATACGACAATATTTTGTGCAAGAAAAAGCGACCACGAATACTGTTCTGTCAGCGCATACTGATACTACACAGCATGGTTATTTCCAAACTACTCAAAATATAGTGGCTGTGGTCAAATGAACTAGTCAATACGGAGATGCCGGTTGGGAAGAGAAAGAGAGAGAAAGAGAGGGAGGGAGGGAAGGAGGGAGAGAGGGAGAGAGAGAGAGAGAGAGAGAGAGAGAGAGAGAGATAGAAGGGAGAGGGAGGGAGAGAGAGAGAGAGAGATTGTCGGGACCCTTAGGTACAAGTGCACTAGTCCTCTACATTGTAGGTACTGTACGATGCGTTGAGAAAAACGTGATGTATAGTTATAATAATACTGACTATGGGTGATCCACAGGACCACAGGTGACAGTTCTCATTGTAATGTACGCCACCAGTTGTACGGGGTGCACAGAAGCGCCTCTCTTTCTTCCCTTTTCTGCTGAGCATACTGCTGTAGTCTGTCCAACCGTCGTTCCTCGATCAGCTGTAGAATAGTGAAAAGAGAGGTGTCACAGTACAGCACAGCTGATAGCTACAATTATGCTGTGTCACATGACTTTAGCTACAGGTGTAGTATGCTAGTCACAGTGGTGACATAACAAAAACCATTTAAAATACAGTCATGCTGTGTTTGTGCAAGTAGCTTTTGTGTGCAACCTAGCAACATATCAGTAACCATCAGTGCAACTATGCTGACTTTGTGCTTGACAAGATGAAAAGAAGACTGAACATGTCCCGCAGTGCACCAAACAAGAGACTGAACATGTCCCGCAGTGCACCAAACAAGAGACGAAAGAGCATACTGTCTATAATCGCCAGTGGCCTTTCGAGATGTGAACCGTACCTCTCTATTCCCTCCTCCGAGCGTGCGCTCCTGCCTTGCTCGCGTGGCGTCCTGTTTTTGGGCATCTTGCTTATCTTGCTTATCCTGGGCAATGACCTTCAGCGCTTCTTTACGCTCTCTCTTGAACTTTTTCTTCTTGGCCTTCTCATTTTCTTCTATCTGCTGTTTCAGTACCTGGCTGCACGGGAACAGCACAGAAGTATCATTAAAATCTAAATTTTCGTCTCTGTTCCCGATCCCCTGGAACTCATGACGGCAGCTAAAACCCAGAAGAACCCAGCTGTAGCTGCAGCGCCTAACCGTAGAGGTGATGGAGATAAGCCTCACAGCCACTAGCACAACCATCGAAAGCCCCATTAGCCACATCCATTCCAGGGGAAGGAGGGGGTGGGGGTCCCTCGCTTCATGTAGATTCTGGAGTTAATTAACCCGACTGGTGGCGATGGTCAAATCGGTATGGTCAAATCGGGATGGGAAATGAGGAACCATGTTTGCCTTTCATGTTCCAATATCTTATTACCAAAAGCTGACATTACTATAAGTTATAACCGGCACAAGTATAATTATAAAGCAAAAATAATGCTGGACATGTTTACCGTGTACCGAGCAGTACCTGAAAAGCATGATTTGGATTGATTTCACATAAAGCCATTATGCAACGCGTCGAAAAGAAATTTACCGATCTTGTGTCAAAATGTCGGGTAACTTGAAGTGAGAATCCGTGTAGAATTTCGTTCTTCTCCTCCGTGCATCCATAGCCAGCCTTTGGTGTACCGTGTCGAAGTCTTCCTGTGCGTTCTCCGTTTCAACATGGTCTGCCAGTTTAGTGCGCCCGTTCCTCCAGCAGGCGACCCGAATCGGATCTATCTCGGTGTAGGCATCGCTATCGGTACCTCTGTGCCACAGCATGGGGTGATTCCCCAGTGTTGCTTTAGCTGGGAGTCGTCGGTTCGCCATCTCCCTGCCCTATTGTTCTGGATCGAAGAACAGGCGGTGAGTGAGTTCTAGACGTACAATGTACATGTAGATCTACCAGTACTGCGGATAGAATGAGCGACCGGAGACATAAGTCACACAACAATAATACTAAGTCTTATAATACTCGAATAATACTCGAAGTATCGTACTTTCGAAGCAATGTTCCTTCTTTTTCTAGGCTGTTCTGCACTGACTCTCTCTAGCTCTGTGTAGAGACTAGGCCATAGGCATATGGCCAGACTACTAGTAAGTACAGTATTAGTACTATTACTATTACTAGAGCAGAGAGTGAGTTTGGTATGTTCTAAAAATCAAGAAGTGCGCGCTCTCACTCGTGATGTGACGGAAATGACCATACTCCATAGTGACGCGATCGATCGGAGTGACCTCGCATATATCATCTATATCTACGTACATGACTGACAGTCTGTACTTCGCACGGATCGCGCCCACAAAGCAGCTGAATCGTGTGACCAGCTACACGGCTACACGGCCAGGTGATCAATACAATAGGGCTTGAAAGTGCTACGTCACTCCATAGCAATGGCATAGCAACAATTTGAAAAATTCGAAAACTGGATCCACCTGGATCCAGTTTTTGTATGGATCCAAGCACATTTCAAGCGGTCTCACTCACAGCAAGGTGATGTTGCCAGTGAAACTGACTGATTTGGCTAGTGGGGGCGGGGTGACAACTGGTGGCGAAGTAAAAGTTGCACCTGCATACGACATGAGTGGGTTGCTATGCACCCACATACTGAGGCAATAGCAAAGTCACACCTTAGTGGATCCAAAATAGAAATCTGATGTCAATTTACTACTCCCAGGCCGTTTTTGACGTCATCACTTTCAAGCCCTATACTATGAAGCGTAGAGCCGGCCTGTGACCGACACTGACCGTGACCATGGTGACGTGAGGATCTGAGCTGGTGAGGAAAGTCTCTCGCAGCTGGCATAATTACAGTCATGTGCATGCGAAATGCAGATGTATGTGTTGATCCCTAGATGGGAGCTCGCGCTTTTCCTGCCGACTTGAACTCTCACTTGACTGACTCACGACTCCCATCCAGAGCACACAATAATTCTATCGAACCTTCCACTCCACAAACGTGCAAGAAAGCACCAATCCTGCTCAACACACAGTGCCTGGGGGAATTCACCCCTCATCAGTTGAGCTTGAGTAGGCTAATGAAAGTTGTGATCCGAGAGCACGGCATTTGATATGTAGTGCAGGTTTGCCCAGTGGAAGGTTTGATGAACGTCTTGTCGTGTGCTCGGGATAACAGTTGTAAGTCGGTCAAGTGAGAATTCAAGTCGGCAGGGAAAGTATCCGCCAAGTCCCTACAATCTCTTCTTAAAAACTAGCCATGATTGATCTCCACTCCACGTGCACTGCATACAAAGCAGATCATGTGATGACCTAATCTGCTTAACCCAGATCTCAATGTACATGCACGTAGTACAACAGTGTAGCAAGGCTCAGAGATTGTTGCGACTCTGATTTTCAACATGGAGTCTGGCAAATGCATTAATTTTGTGTGTGTGTGTGTGTGTGTGTGTGTGTGTGTGTGTGTGTGTGTGTGTGTGTGTGTGTGTGTGTGTGTGTGTGTGTGTGTGTGTGTGTGTGTGTGTGTGTGTGTGTGTGTGTGTGTGCATGACCTTCACTGCGGTGTACACATACGAGTAATATCAACAGGACATAAACCTGCAAGTAAGTCAGGGTTTATGTTCCGAGTCTTGATATTCAGGATCCTCTGAGACAAAAATGCGATAATACTCATAAAAAGGACACACTTCAGGCTCATTACAAACATCTTGAAAGTTTTGTCAAGCCTTCTCGTCAGGTGAAATACAGGCAAGGGAAAAGGAACAGGAACAGTGGATTAAATACAGTAAGAAGGTGGTAAAACAGCGCAAAGAAGAAGATAGCTAAAGTAAACAGCGAAAATTGCAATAATTACACAAAGGTGCAAGTGCGAGAAATGTATGTCCAGTGGTTGTCTCTTGTTGTCGCACTACATGTCACGCTTATTGAGTTTTCTCGCACTTGCACCTTCGTGTCATTATTGCAATTTTCGCTGTTTACTTTAGCTATCTTCTTTTTTGGCCGCTGTTTTACCCTCCTTACTGTATTTAATCCACTGTTCCTGTTCCTTTTCCCTTGCCTGTATTTCACCTGACGAGAAGGCTTGAAAGTATACTTGTGAAGACAAAAACTTTCAAGATGTTTGTAATGAGCCTGAAGTGTGTCCTTTTTATGTTCCGAGTCTTGATATTATTACCGCATCATCAGTGCATTGTGAGAAGCCATTCCTTTCATATAATTATGTAATGTCGCGTATAAAAGCCGTGTTCATTCCTGTAGACGCCGATGTCAGTGCTAGGCTTCCAATCAAGTCAGGCTTCGATTCGTACCACGTATCTATCGTATGCCTGTCAATACTAAAACGAGGCTTATATGCTGACACTGTGTATCTTAAAAACCGCGCTTGTATTCAAAACAGAATTCTATACGAGACAGGCGTTTAAACGATACACTTCAGTACATTGTAATTGGATACTGTGTGCCCTGGGTGAATGCTCAGTTCCGATGAACAGTGCCATCGGTGCTGCAGGTTGCATGGAGTTCACTAATCCCAACTTAGTGCAGATAGTTCTTTCATGCATTTCCCTTCGGGTTCTCCGTCAAACCTTTTTCCTGGCCAACCGAAGGGTATACAATTTCGGAGTCTGCCAGCCAGAGAACACACACACTTCGGTTTTGGCTACTTGGTCGAGTACTGGAAACTGGAAAGTAAAATTTCCTCTTCACTCCGCAGGGAAATCCTGACAGCCGCGAACGCTCCAAAAAACAGCGGCAGTTGAGCAGTTCTGCTTCGAGGTGGAAGTAGTAAAAAAAAATGGAATTTAACTTTGAAATGGTTCCAGTGCTGGACAAAAATTGATAATTCAGGATGTGCATACACGTAGCAATAGGGCAGAATGATACACAACAAAGTGCGATTTAGTCATTTAGATGGGTGCAAGTACAGCGGTGGCATGACAATAAGAATGATGTGCTCAATACTGCTTGGTACTGCAGTGCATAAAGATGGCCGCATCACGCAGAGCCTCCGGCGTGTAGTAGTGGAGAAGACGATCCTTCCATGTTTGCCACGTGTTGGCGTCGGTAAGCTTGGGGATGGGTCGGTTGAGCAGGGTAATAGGTGTGCCAACGTTATAGTGATCTGCCACCCAGCTCACTGCCTTCTCAATACCATTACTGGCCGTGTCGGTCAAGCAACGACACAGCTCCTCCGACTGGAACTCCTCCGCATCGTGCTCCTGCATACGCTGGTAGGTGTGGTGAATGCGATGCCACAGGTCGTGCATGTGAAAGCTGTGAGCAATGCGCTCCACGGGGGACCAGTTCGGACCCAGTCCGTCGTCGTGCGATCCGATGTTGCTGAGGATCTTGTCGATGCGGTTCATTGGCTCCGTGTCAAAGTTGTGCTTGAGCGGGTCGTGTGGGGCAAAGTGCTGCACCTTCTTCGGACCGCGCAGATCCAGGGTGACAGTGGGGATCTGGTTCTCCAGTGATGCACGCGGATTGAACATCTGCAATCCCTCCACCGTCATGCTGTGAACGGCGTGAGCGATGGTCTCGTTGAAGTTCGGAGACAGCTCGTAGCGTCGATACACATCATCGCATGCTGATGCCAAGCCCAAGGCCAGCAAGAGAATGAGGGCACGCATTATTGTTCTTTGCTACTGCAGCTCAGCAGAAGGAGCAGACCATAAAATTTACGTGCTCACAAAATCGAGGAGGAAAGAGGACTGCTTGTCTCTGATCCGAGAAAACCTCCTAGCTACGCAGTAGACAGACGAGACATCACCCGTCGCACACTAGCACTGACGATCGAGTGAATGACAATAGGCAACAATCACGTCAGCCAGGAGACTCCCAGACACTAACATAATGATTACACTGGCCGAGTCGGTGTGTGGCCTGCATGCTATCCTTGATTGCATGGACGAACCGGTATTCCAGATCTGCTCGGTTTACCAGTTCAGTCGTTCCGAAACATAATGCGGCAGCCCCTACTGACTGACTGCGGCTAGCCTGCCTTCACAGTCCTTGCTTGCATAGCAGGACTGGCGTCAGACGGTCTTCTCGTGCACTCGCGCCGCGTGATTCGTGCATGTGTCAGCATAACTAGACTGAGTCATACTCATACGAGTCATAGATAGAGCACCATAAAAGGCATAAGTCTACAACACGATGGACAGCTGGTAGATCTACATTACAAGTCATGGTGTCTGTGCATATTATGGAGGCCTTGTCAGGAGTGTGCATGCCGACCTCGTGCATCTCAAATTAATTGTAGACTAGACTGGGTAGCACCACGCATTGGGTATATTGGAGCCAAGGACAACCAGATCACCATACCACTGCAATTGGGCAATACTAGTATTGCACAAGTAGAGTAAAACCTGTCAAGGCGACCACTCGGATAAGACGACCACCTGTCCTAGAAGACCACTGAAACCAAGACCAAGGGATGCTAACACAGTTATTTCCAGTCAAATGACCCTGGATAAGGAGATCACCTGGTAACAGAGACCACGTTTTGAAGGTCCCATGAGCGGTCGTCTTAGACAGGTTCCACTGTACTGCACTGCTGTATACATAATATATATATTATGTACAGTCATGAGCGATATTGATGCCCGCAGTAGACTGAGCGTGAAGTCAGGAGTGCACATCACTGAGCAAGATAAGCCAGGCATGTGGTGAGCAAAGACATGTGGAGCATCTATCGCAGCCGTGGTTAATTCGCTCGTCTGCCGACAGAAATACTGGCAACATGCCCTCATTCACAGTGATAACTTCATATGATGCGGCCGCCCTGGAGCAGACATGGTGCAAAATCAATATGCCAAGCTTATAGTAAGTACCGGTGTGTTCAGTGAGTGTATCTAGCTGTGCGTGCGCGTGTTCAGGTGGAAAGCAATGTTGAAACATAACAATGTCATACTAAATGTAGCATAAAGAAGCGAATGGAAACGTTCTGGTCATGGAATAAAATTTATGCTACAAGCGGAAAGTCATGGCTCAAGACGATGTCATATAGTGCAGAGCTTAGTAAGGGCGGCGATGATGAGGCCACCAATGGATAGCTACTCAAAACAGTAGACGCAGTGACGTCATGACAGCCTATATCATACCCTACTTTAGAATATCAGAAATCAGGCTATAACGTGTCAATGGGAAAGTTGCCAGGTACTAGCATAATTCTAACGAATCAATTCAACCTTCTCAGTCAGAGGGTTAACAGTTCAAATCTGTACTTTGGAGTAAAAAGCAGTAAGAGACTCAAACGTGAAAGTTAATTTTATAAGTGGTGTATGTAGTGCAGGAGGTGGGGCAGCAAGCAATTCAGATACAAGAATATTCACCACAGTCACAACTCAATCTGTAGCCAGATTCAAAGAATTATTATTTCGAAAAGAGCTCTACTAAATGAAAACCAATGACATGCCGTAGCCATGCAAATGTTCAATTTTTCTTGGAAAATTCAATTGGCAATTTCACGTACATTATTATAGACAGTTGCAGACTGGGACCCTCCGGCTTATCCTCGTATCTTGTGACTGTATCCGAACAAGCCATGCATGTGCATTGCCAGAGCACACGGCTACATGAGTACAGCGACATGGCTTCACACTACGCTGTGGAGTAGCCGTTCTCTTCCATTTCCTGCGAGGTAAGTACCAGCTGCCGCAGCTCAAGGTTAGTGGCCTTCCGTGCCATCTCCTTCGTGTGGCTCTTGGCAGAGTTCAGCCTATCATGTAACTTCCTGTGCACCACAGCAAGGCAAGAGAAGAGACACAGTCAGGAGCTAGCCAGTGAGAACATACCACTGGAGAACTCACACAGGACAAGTCTAGTCACAGGCTATGATAAGAAATTACGTTTTAAAATATTTGTAACCAGAACTCAGAAACATAACATAGGATTCAGTGAAGCCTGTGTAATTCACATTACAGTACTGTTCGGTTCTGAAGAAGTTGGGGGTCAGCCTCGTAGCCTAGGCCGTAAGTTAGGTTATCTTCAAGTGGAGGCGACGGTTTCAAATAGGACACAGGTTGCAAACCGGAACGGACTCAATATTCACTTTCTCTCTTGGTATTTTGATTAGAAAACATATGTCACAGTAAGACTACGATGTGTTATACTCCGAGCCAAAATTTCATGGCTCTGCGATGACCAGAAGCGCCATACCAAGCAGGTGAGTTTTTGACGTGTTGCTTCGCACTGCGACTTGAGTTTTACGACTTTCGAAAAATCAACTTCTTGTCGCAGGTAAACAGCGGCTCGCCTCTCGCCAATAAAGCACCGCATACCAATCAAAACTGATGGAAGCACACACAAGGCTTATTGTTACTCTGTACTGGCCGTCGTGGAGCGATAGCAATTACCTAATTTCAGACCCAGAGTGAATTTGACGTGCACTCTAAAACGTGTCTGGTTTGGAGCCACCTCTGATTTGAACTTTTTTGAAGCGAAAAATCGGGCAACTTGGAGGCAATGGGTCAACACAAAGGAGTGGCTCAGTTCGATTGACTCTGGCCCCAGAGCAAACTTCAACATGCCAGTTTCCTTCCACAAACATAATATTATTTCGAGTGAAAAATCAACGCTGATGATCGGTTTGGGTCTATACAAATTTGGCTGTCAAGGCGTTCCCGTATCGAACCATCTACTCTACTATGGTCTATGCACAGTTGAGTCACCATGTATACATTAGTATGCTGTGCTTTGGTGAAATCCTAGCCTGTCCGTTCTCCGGCACTACACACCCCGGCGGCACCTGACAGTACTGTAGTTTGCCATGAGTAGTGAGTAACTTACACACATTCACAATGGCAGGAACCTTTATGAGTAAGTAGACAGTCTACATAGCCAAGGAAGTGCTGTATGTTGTGTCCAATGGCAACTAGCCACTCTAGATCCTTACCTGTTCTCCAATTCCAGCTTTGCACGCATGAACTCGCTCTCAGCCAGCTTCGCTTTGGTAGAACGAAGGGTTTCGTGAAGAAACTCAACCTGCACGCAATGCCAACCGGAGTCACACAACACGCAGTTTTTAAGAACTGCTGCATGCACACGTCAGATCAAACCGTTGAGAAGAATATTCCAGTGATGTGAGACGGTGACGCTGTATCTCAATTTGCGCTGTGAAACCAGTAAACTGCCACCACAGTTTTCAGTGTGTTTTCTCAACACTCATCCTCAGAGTCATGACAATGCGTCGGTCCCTTTCTTATGTCATGTGATGGTCCAAGTTGTAGTGCTGTAGATATGGGTGGTACTACTGTAGATATGGGTGGTACTACTGTTTTTCTTTTCTTTTTAATGGCTTTCTCTTCTTCCTCGAATGGTTTACAATCTGAATCACAATTATTTGTGGGTTCAGCAATAAAGGATGTGAGTGGTGGTACTACTGTAGATATGGGTGGTACTCCTGTAGATATGGGTGGTAGCGTACCTCTTTTCTCAGTTCCACTCTGTCTTTCAGGACCAGCAGCAGATCTTCCCATTTAGGATCTGCAGCAGACATGAAATGGCACAGAGAAAGGGAGCTATGTCAGAAAGGGAGGGAGGGAGCCGGGGAGGGAGGGAGGGAGGAAGGGAGGGAAGGTATGACAGAGATAGAAACAAAGAGGAGGAGGAGAGAAGAAAGCAAACATGAATGCCAAAGAACCTGAATAGGTCTACTCCTTCTGCCTATTCTGTTCTCTGCCTTTTTCACTCTATTCGTTGCAGTGCAGATCGTAACTCCTGTGCCAACATAGACAGCATACAAGTAGACCGCAACAGTACTAAACCATGATGCCATATCATCCAAACAACTGAATAGGGGATGAATCTGACCATTGAACCTCTTTGCTCTGGCATACTGTCATGATTAGAAAGAAATAGTGTGAGTAAGTAGCCATACTATGATTCGGACTCACCTGACTTCTTGCGTGTCCCAGCTCCAGTAGTTCCATCCAGGTTCTCCTTGGCGGACTGTAGGAGCACACAAGCAGGGCACGACTGCTAAGACCAGAGCATCTTTAGTTCTTTACCACAAGTATACATACAGTGAAATTTTTTCGTCCTTATCAAGCACTCAGCCCATGTGCTCAGAAACCAGCTTCTATAAAAGATAAAATAAAAAATTCATGGTTCGCTAGAGGCTCAGTTGGACTGAGTTTTCAGTATCCATAGGAACGCCACCGCCCTGCAAAGATCTAAGGCTCAAATGCAGCTCCTAAAGCGGTGGCCTGGCACGAGGAAACCGTGGATGCAGCGAATGGGACTTTCGGTCTTTGACCACTTCGCTGGTGGGCTTATCTACTTACCTCCCACCACTTTAGGAGCCTCTGTAATATAGGTGGTATTCTGGAAAGTGCCTACGCTGTTCCTATTTGGAGCAGTGCCCCGTCATCAATCGCGTTTGAGCAGTCTCCGGCGACGGCCAGGATTATCACAAAGACTAAAGGTGAAAACCTGTGTGACAGAAGGTGATGATGAATCAACTACATGCGTAGGCCGCGTGACACATGTACATAGACACTTTAGCCCCCGTCCCTCACACAAACAAGTCAACAAAGCGGCATCTTTGGATTGAGGGGTGCTGGTTTCGAAACAACTGGTTTGAAGCTCAAGGTAGAGCTGCGGTTAGCTCAAAGTAGAGCTGCTGTTAGCTCTAAGTAGAGCTGCGGTTAGCTCAAAGTAGAGCTGCAGTAAGCTCAAAGTAGAGCTGCTGTTAGCTCAAAGTAGAGCTGCTGTTAGCTCAACGTAGAGCTGCAATGCTAAATGGATGTACTATAGCTCAAGGCAGAGCTGCAGCAAATAGCTAGATACAGTCGACCTACCCTTATAACGATAACCTCTATAACGATACTACCCTTATAACGATATTTTTCTGCCAAACCAAATCACTCCATTGACTTGTATATACAATGGCTTACCTTTATAACAATATTGCTATAACGATATTACCCCTATAATGATATGACCAATCGATATTTTCCAATTTATAACAATATCTAGCAGGGAATATATAGAGCCCACTATCCAGGTAGGGCAAGCTTCACTTGATAAGTCGCTGGGACATGTTGAAATACAATGGGGGCACCAGTGAGTCCTTGCTGTGTATGTAATGCGCATGTACGTCAGTTTTTTATACTATGAAGAGTGTAAAAAAAAGAACAAAATCAATGCAATATGACGTGCATGTCTGAAATGAACCAGTTACCCTTATAACAATATTACCCTTATAACAATATTTCTTGGTCTGATGCAAATATCGTTATATGGGTAGGTCAACTGTAACACCAGTTGTGAGAGTGGCCCCGATCAGTGGGTACGATAATCATAATGATTGTGTGAGTAAGTTGGATAGGGAGGGATGGTGGGAAAAGCAACACTGCGGAAGCACGATCTGCTGTCTGGAGGAACACAACAGGGCAAGCAAGATTCTTTTCAGCAAAACGGGCTGAGTGCCATTTGTGATTATGCAGCAAAGCAAAGCGCATGACGTCAGTCTTGAAGGCAGCACAGAGTAATGCAGCGCGGTGTATGCGCTAGTTCGGATTGTTGCTAACGAGTACTAGCACAGCTAGTACCCCAACAGGAATTGGAAGCATACCTCGGTTAGTGCCTGACCGGAGGTTACATCTGACTGTGAATCCGGTTTCCTGCATGTGAAAGAGATTGAGAAAAAATATAAAGGATTGGTGTCAAAACCACTCCAAGATACACGACCAAGGGAACCTTTCATCAGCTGTTGGCAACAGATTGCGGTAAGCCACTTGGCAAGAAGAAAATCATGCTCTAGGGCACTTATCAGCTGTATGCAGATTCTAATTTACAAATTACCTGGCAATATCGGTTTCCTCGTTGTTGACTGAGGCGGCAGTTTCTTTGCTGCTCGACAGGTTCAGAGAGTCTGATATCCACACCTCCACCAGAACAAATCCCTAAATATCACACACACACACGTACACACACACACACACACACACACACACACACACACATACACGTACACACACACACACACACACACACATACTTGTACTTGTACTTGTACTTGTACTTGCTCACTGCCAAAACTGGTCACGTGGGTCTCCCCGGGAGAGGGGAGAGAGACTCAAAAGGAATCTTGGAAAGATGGCTCAATTGGCTATTGAACCGCCCAACGACCGACACCCCCTGAAATCCCCAAAACTCTGGGTGGACTTGAAAATGATCCCACTTATGGGCTCACCACACCTCAGTAAGTGGGTGAGGACAAGGTGCAGAAAAAGGATTGACGGCATCAGGGTATCCGTCCCGGGATCCAACTGCAGTTACCCCTGCCCCCAGTGAAGGTAATACTTGCTACTAGTGTGGGTGGCTAAATCAGAGTGAATCTGATATAAGCGTCACTAGCACCATAGATTACACAAGAGTTAATCTAGCCAGAAGCAGTCCATGGTTAACAGGTATGTATACTTCAAATAGAAAGTATATGAACCCTGAAACCAACAAAGGTGGCAGATACAACAATACACCATCATGCAGCCGAGCCTGTTGGCAACAGACCCAACACAATCAGGCATACACACACACACACACACACACACATCAATCAACATCCATATACATATGCATGGACCTCTGTCAAACGAATGCTAAGGGCAAGCTGATCGCTCATTGACACACTTGTGAACCAGGGTCCAGGACCTACACGCAGACTCTTTGTAAATTATGTTCCTCAACAACTCTACTTTGGGTAGATCTCTCAGGTGACCACCCTATACTGCACGATCATGTCACCCCGGGGGATAGAGCCATGTGTTATGCCTGTAAGGAAACTCTGCAGTCGCTGCACCCGATAGAGACAATTCTGCAGTCGCTGCACCCGATAGAGACAATTCTGACAATTCTGACAATTCTGACAATTCTGACAATTCTGACAATTCTGACAATTCTGACAATTCTGACAATTCTGACAATTCTGACAATTCTGACAATTCTGACAATTCTGACAATTCTGACAATTCTGACAATTCTGACAATTCTGACAATTCTGGCGGTTACGCACTCTTAAAAATGATATACTCTTCCCACGATGTTCTCCATGTACTTTGACCTGAGCACTAATGCCCTGATGTACTTTGACCTGAGCACTAATGCCCTGATGTACTTTGACCTGAGCACTAATGCCCTGATGTACTTTGACCTGAGCACTAATGCCCTGATGTACTTTGACCTGAGCACTAATGCCCTGATGTACTTTGACCTGAGCACTAATGCCCTGATGTACTTTGACCTGAGCACTAATGCCCTGATGTACTTTGACCTGAGCACTAATGCCCTGATGTACTTTGACCTGAGCACTAATGCCCTGATGTACTTTGACCTGAGCACTAATGCCCTGATGTACTTTGACCTGAGCACTAATGCCCTGATGTACTTTGACCTGAGCACTAATGCCCTGATGTACTTTGACCTGAGCACTAATGCCCTGATGTACTTTGACCTGAGCACTAATGCCCTGATGTACTTTGACCTGAGCACTAATGCCCTGATGTACTTTGACCTGAGCACTAATGCCCTGATGTACTTTGACCTGAGCACTAATGCCCTGATGTACTTTGACCTGAGCACTAATGCCCTGATGTACTTTGACCTGAGCACTAATGCCCTGATGTACTTTGACCTGAGCACTAATGCCCTGATGTACTTTGACCTGAGCACTAATGCCCTGATGTACTTTGACCTGAGCACTAATGCCCTGATGTACTTTGACCTGAGCACTAATGCCCTGATGTACTTTGACCTGAGCACTAATGCCCTGATGTACTTTGACCTGAGCACTAATGCCCTGATGTACTTTGACCTGAGCACTAATGCCCTGATGTACTTTGACCTGAGCACTAATGCCCTGATGTACTTTGACCTGAGCACTAATGCCCTGATGTACTTTGACCTGAGCACTAATGCCCTGATGTACTTTGACCTGAGCACTAATGCCCTGATGTACTTTGACCTGAGCACTAATGCCCTGATGTACTTTGACCTGAGCACTAATGCCCTGATGTACTTTGACCTGAGCACTAATGCCCTGATGTACTTTGACCTGAGCACTAATGCCCTGATGTACTTTGACCTGAGCACTAATGCCCTGATGTACTTTGACCTGAGCACTAATGCCCTGATGTACTTTGACCTGAGCACTAATGCCCTGATGTACTTTGACCTGAGCACTAATGCCCTGATGTACTTTGACCTGAGCACTAATGCCCTGATGTACTTTGACCTGAGCACTAATGCCCTGATGTACTTTGACCTGAGCACTAATGCCCTGATGTACTTTGACCTGAGCACTAATGCCCTGATGTACTTTGACCTGAGCACTAATGCCCTGATGTACTTTGACCTGAGCACTAATGCCCTGATGTACTTTGACCTGAGCACTAATGCCCTGATGTACTTTGACCTGAGCACTAATGCCCTGATGTACTTTGACCTGAGCACTAATGCCCTGATGTACTTTGACCTGAGCACTAATGCCCTGATGTACTTTGACCTGAGCACTAATGCCCTGATGTACTTTGACCTGAGCACTAATGCCCTGATGTACTTTGACCTGAGCACTAATGCCCTGATGTACTTTGACCTGAGCACTAATGCCCTGATGTACTTTGACCTGAGCACTAATGCCCTGATGTACTTTGACCTGAGCACTAATGCCCTGATGTACTTTGACCTGAGCACTAATGCCCTGCTTAAGGGTTTGAAGTACTAGATCAGTCCGGGGAACCCCCCAACAATCCATTCCAGCATTAAGCAGGTACCTGCGGCTCAAGAGGTATCCATAACTCTTGCTTTATCGCCCTGCCGTAGTCGCTGCCAGAGTTGTTTGGCGTGGACGACGTCGAGCCCTTGGCCTCCACCTGCCTCCTGAGTGCCAGCCCTATGGGCAGCACTCCACAGCCAAGCCACTTCCGTGTCAGGTTGCTGCAGACAATGACAGGTCATACAGTGTGATCTACGCCAAGAATTACACTCAGCATCATGCGTGCGGTATTAGGAAGCGCTGCGCAGATGGGATCGTCGCAATGTTTGTATTTGTGTGTATGGCAGTCCTGTGCCATGCAAGAACTCCAACAAGACACCTTTGTCCTCTCTGCCTTGCTGATTGATTGTCCACTTTGCTTGAAGAACGATCATAACAATCGAGGACTGTTTTGCAATGAAAAGATACGGCTGAAAAAAGGAAGAAAAACGTGCTCATGATGAGATTCGAAGACACAAGTATGGTCCAGCAGATTCTGTGGATGTGGCCAAGAGTACATGAAACCCCGAGTGTGTACCTTGGGTGGGTTGGTGTCGCAGCGCTATTCCGGGATTACATCATATTAGTGATGCAGTGCGTACAGGCAGGATTCAAGCAGATCTCTTTCTGGACAACTGCAGGTCAGTTGTACGCACTATGGCACTTCCCGCCGCTTACCTGCACCAACTATGATGTAATCCTGGAATTTCTCCATGACAGCCACTCATGCAGGAAAGGTCACAAGCTGCATGCTCTGGGTTTCATGTACTCTTGGTGGCCTCCTGCTTCTTAATCATGGTCTAAGACCATCCCACTATACCTGTCTGCTTTTACTTATATAATTCCCGCCGGTATGCAACAAATCTTACGTATCAATTACTCAAAATGCACATGAAGAGCTAGAATGCAAAACTCGTTAAATCCTTTTCATCACCTTTTCGGATAATGGCCAAAGCTGAAAATCTGATTTTCTCAAAGTTGGCGCATGGCGGGTGTTGCATCTCAGCTGTTCACATGATACCTTTGGCACAATCAATCATGTGTACATCCTGACAACGAAAGACGCCAGGGGCAAAACATAAAGTCAAAGAAAGACATGCCCCCCTCCCTGTACACCTCCCCCCCCCCCCCCCCACACACACACTCAAGTAGCACACAAAATCTTACCAGCGTGCCCACAAGTGCAGCTCCAGATCCACAGCATCACTCGCTGACACTTCGCACAGCTGATCGTGTGGCCATGTTGAAACACCTTGTGCAGACACTTCGCTCTCCGAGCTCATACCCTAGCACAAACAGGACAGGACAGTTTCAAGAAAAATCCTCAAAATACCTCTCCAAGACCCACTCCTCTTTCTCGAAAGCCACCACAGGGACGTCGGAAGCAGTTTAACATTGGTGCGGCGAAAGTGTGAGAGGGGGGTCGGGGGGGGGGGGGTCCTCCCCCGGGAATTTTTTTGAAAATTGGGCCTAAAAAGCCATAATTATTTTAATGCTACAGAATAATATGAGAAATAAGAATATGCATGCAGATGATACACCGCATTGTCGATGTAAACCATGGTACCTGTACAACTACAAGAGTCGACAAGCCATCAACAAGGCTTTTAAGGTTGAAATGCAAAAAAACAAACTTCGAATATTATTGGTGCGGCTTTGGCCGCACCTGCCGCACCGGTTCCGACGCCCTGCACCATAATAAATAAGGTAACGCAGTTTTTAGAGAGTCATGTCCTCTCGTGTGATTGCACGTGCATGGCACAATGTACACAATCACAGTACTCATACAACTCTATGTCCCATGCTCAGCCCATACCTTGAAGACACCGTCCACCTTTAGAGCACAAGATATCTGCTTGATGTCCTTCGCCACATCAAGACCTGACGTGGAAAGGGCCCGAGCTTTCAAGCATCCGCAGCAAGGCTGCCTCTCGGGAAGACCTGATTTGATCAGGAAAAAAGGGAGACAAGACAGAAATCAGACCATTCAGTACTCGCATATTTCTGGAACAGACTCAAAACTGTGTCAGATACTCAACAAGAAAATTGTTCTCGACACGTGACCGTGATAACTGCACTTCACTTGACCGGCACATCATCACTGCAAAATGTCATGTTCAAGTCCTGCTTTTTGAAGCCTTTTTCTTTTTTCATTAATTTAGTTTTTACAAGATAAACAACTCCTCGGCAAGCAAAAGGGGTAAGGATGAGGTGGATGGTGCTGGTGGGGCCTGCCATGCTTGCTGTTGTAGTAAAAGTTCTCATTCGGAATTAACTTTGGTGTCTTCTGTTTGCCATCCCAAGTGAGTAATAGGTTGTTTGAATGAAAACGGCTTTGCGTACCAAGTGTAGTACATCGGGTGAGGATCTGCAATCGTTCCTGAAAGGAGAAAATATGCTAGTGCTGTGGACATAGAAAAGAGATGGGTCTTCTAGGAGTGGGTTTCCTCTGTGATCACTCGCAAATAAGACGTAATACACCCCTTTCCCAACATACCTATAACAGATATAATCCTTAACCGAGGGTTCTATTATTTTCAGACAGTCACATCATGGGCGAAGGAACCGGTCCGGCAGGCCCGGCGGTCGCGGGACCAATAATTTTCGAATTTGTTTTTTTTTACATTTCAACCTTGTTGATGGCTTGTCGACTCTTGTACAGGTACCATGTTTTACATCGACAATGCGGTGTATCATCAGCATGCATATTCTTATTTCTCATATTATTCTGTAGCATTAAAATATGGCCATTTAGGCCCAATTTTCAAAAAAATCCCAGGGGACCGTCCCCCGGACCCCCTCTCACAATTTCGCCGCACCAATATTAAACTGCTTCCTACGCCCCTGCACATACACTTGAGCATTCAGGCAAATCCCACTAAGACAACTCAGAGCCGAAAAGATGTGCAGTTTGACTGCTCTTTCTGACTCTGGGAGCACATTGCATGTACAGTAATGTACATATTAGATAAGCCTTGATTGGTTGAAAACACATTGTTTGGTTGACAGTATGTTACAAGGCGGAGGAAAGAGCACTGTTTTCGAACACTGTGCGTCCTCCGCCTTGTAACATGCTGTGCGCCAAACAGTAATGTAAATGCAGACAATAGTTACTAAAGACAAGGCCCTGAACAGCAAACATTGTTCTCCTTACTTATGAAAGCGACATTCACCGCTGCTTTCCCAATCGGTGTCACTGTTGCCTCAGTCTGCAGCGATGTATCATTTTCTACGAATGTCATCGGGGCAGGCTGGGCATAGGTCAGCGGTAGTTTGTCTGACAGTTCCGTGACAGAGTTCAGGGGGACGTTTGCCAGACCATGCAGATTGACATCCTTCTCCTTGACAATAGCCTTTGAGCCTGGCTGAGCCGAGTACAGCGACAGGAAGATCTGGCGAGACTTGAGTGTGTAGAAGGTGAACTGCGGTTGCTTTGAGTCCCATGTGAGCGGCATGCCGGACGTGAACACGGCTGGCTTTGAGCGTTGCTTAGTCAGGCCACCATTGATCTCGGCCGACAGGATGACCTTCTCTCCGTCGGACAGTTGCTTTCTGCTGGGTGCCTGTGCTGTACCAGCCATTGCGTTGTTGCACTTCATGCTGCAAACGGACACGTGCAGCAGGCCGAGCCGGTTGAACTCTCCCTCGTACGCAAACGCCGCCGTGGTGTGCATCGGGTCGGCGCCCATCTCGCTGGGTGCGTCGGTGGCGGACACGCGACTGGTGCGGCGAGGAACGATGGACTTCTTCTGAGCACCGACCGCACGCATTGCTATGGCACTGGCACCACTCTTGCGCACGTGCCGCTTGGCGGGCGCGGAATGCAATTTGTCTGCTCCGTCTGGCACTTCGTCTCCAGAGGAGTGCGCATCTTCCGAATCATAATCATCGTCTATGTCACTGTGAAACTCAAACACTTCTTCGTCAAAGCTGCAGTTATACAACAGAGCAAAGCCGGCGGCACCACAAACTCCAAAACCCGTAGCAGCTGTATTCCTTGCAGCCAAGGCGGTATAGTAACAGTAGCAGTGGAGTCCAAAGTGTGAATCTTGCTTCATAAATCATGCATGCAGGTACAGTATGTCCTGGAACGTGTAACATTCGCAACACAACAGCGGAGACAGCTAGGACACTCATATTTCTTGTGGGGATATTGAGTGGCAAACCAGCACTAGCGCATTGCTGCGCTGCGGCTTTGCCACTCCATATAATGCATCGCAAGTGATGATGTAATCGTATAACCTCTGAGGCTCTATGGCTCTAAGCTACTGTGTGCCTTACCTGAATTTCTCAGTGGTATCAATCTCGCTGTCATGTTTCCTCTGCAGTATTGTTCCAATGATAGTGCAGTCCAACACACAACGACTTGTCGTACCTGATTGAGCCTGGTGCATTGTCATCTGCACACTTTGCTGCTGACTGAAGCGTGTGACTCCAGACTTCATGATCTCTGTAGGGTCAAGGCTGCCGGTGGCTAGGGGACACCATTTGACCTCCCCGATGCCGTTCGACTGCGTCAGGTAATCGCGCTTGCCGTACTCCATCGTCAAACGTATATCCTTGCTCAGGTACCGTTCTGGGTTGTCATTCGACACACCAACCACAATGGGCAGTGATATAGCTTGCTGCAGTGATGCGGAGAAAGTGTCCTCCTGTGGACCGAGTGTCCTGGGAGATGTCTGCACTTCCTTCTCCAAGTAAAATGGAGCAGACGTGTCCACGCGAGGTCCCAGACTGGCGGATACATTGACTGAGCATTTCGAGAAGTCGACTCTACGCTGTCGACTCAAGGCAGAGCGTGACTGGATCAGGGAAAACGAGTGCAGGTGAATATCCAGGCGCATGGTCAGCTGTTCCTTCAGACTGCCCGAGCATATTGTGCTGGTCTTACGAACACTAGCCTTTCTGGTTGTGCTGGTTCTGCTCTGCCGTGCCAGGGCTGGTCCCAACCCAGAGCCATGGCTGGGACGGCGTGTGAGCACCGGCGCGGAATGCTTGGACATGATCGGTGCGGGCCCGCTTGGTAGTGAAAACTTCTTTTCTCTGCCATGACGTGTGGGTGAGGCCGTTGGTGGGCTCAGAAGGTCGTCGGGCACCACGAATGAACCGCTACTGGTTTCGAGTTCCTCTGCAATTTTGCAGTCTGACACTGAGGTCCGTGCGCTGCCCGTGGGTGTTTTCGCCGGTTGTAGCTGGGTAAGTGGTGGAGGAGCTGCATGAGACCCGTAACGTCGTGTTCTAGTCGGTGATGGCTGAGCATCTGTCTTATTACTATCAACCGTGGCTAGTAGGCTCGGTCCTGATTTCTTCGACAGCGGCACAGAGGAAGTCTGCAGCTGCCCGTTGGGGACGGACGGCAGGCGTCGACCAGGAGTCGTCCTTTTCTCCATCGTGCTGGACGATCGTTCTGGCTCCTCCGTTGCGGGGGGCTTGGGAGGTTCAACAAGATGTGGGATGGCGTCGGGTGTTCCTGCTTTGCTCGACTTTCGCCGGGCTTGCAAGTCCGGCACGTAGCGAGACACACTCATTCACAATCACACCAACCAATTCCGCCGGTAAATCAATGAAAATTTTAGGACATCGGTGCACGGGCTCCGTCCACCATCTCTGAAGTCAGGTCGAAGTCTTACCACCATGACTCATGAGCACCCTTAGATCCGAATATACATCCTGAGAAGGCTGAATGAAACTTTCCTTTTTCATTTGGGGCTGGAATCTTGCATGCCTGCCATGCACTTTGACCTGTTGAGTATCCTGGTGTAGAATCGACCATGATGCAATTATACCAGCCGGCAGGTATTTGTTGTCAGTCGTTGCTGATATGATACCATTTCTGGAAACGTGCCATGTCAACCGCGTGCTCGCTGCGATCCACCCAGAATCTCTGACTCCGTTTTATTTCCCTTTTTTGGCAGCTGCTACTCTAGAGCGAGCAGCAAGCGTGATCAATGCGCAACCGGCATATTATGCTAACTATGACGCACAGTCATTCACAAGCACGCACTAAACTACACTACATGTACATAAAAGTCAAACTCAAAGACAAGACTTTAGACTTAGTACTAGTAGTATCATACCTGATAAAGAGTAGACCTACAACATAGTGGAAATGCTGACAACACGTCAACACAAATCGCCAGACAAAGACGTAAGGTATCGGCCACATGCACCACAAGTATTTAGGCAGGCCCAATGTAAAGTTAAAACCGTGTGAACAGCTTCGTCCTACCGGTAATAGGACTACGGGGGGGGGGGGGGGGGGGGGTTTGTGGTATCCGTATCATCTTCCAAATTTCAAACCTTCTACCCTTCATGAGCCAGGCTGAGGAGGCCGAGGGGGTTCTCTACAACGTGCATTCCCTTCTATCGTGCAAGTACTTGGACGCAGTGGCACATATCCAGAGACAAACGAAAGTGAACAACAACAATAACAACAACGACGACGACGACGACGACGACGACGACGACGACGACGACGACGACGACGACGACGACGACGACGACGACGACGACGACGACGACGACGACGACGGCGGCGGCGGCGGCGGCGGCGGCGGCAACAACAACAAAAACAACAACGGCAACAGCAACAGAAACAGCAACTGTGAACAGCAACAGCAACAGCAACAACAACAGCAACAACAGCAGCAGCAGCAGCAACAAGGAATGTCAGTAGTACATGGCTGTATCGCCTATTGACTTGAGATGATTTCCGGAAAACCTTAAAATAGCAATTGGAGTTTACTAGAACTTCACCCAGAGTCCAAAGTGTTATCGCCCCATCACCACCAGTGCTATGAGTACAGAGAAAGGATATGGCCTTATGGGCTTTGTCACAAGTTTGTGTGTGCCTCCATTAGTTTTCATTGGTGAAAGGTAGCTTTCGGCAGGAGGCGACCTGCTGATTCATCTGCTAGAGGAAGAAGTTGCTTAGCAGTGGAAGCCCCTTTGGGAAGACATGATGTGGTGCACATACCAGCGAGCTCCACTGAAACTGAAACAGAAAGCGACCCTGTTCCTTTGCAGTCATAGATCTATGAGCAATAAGTAACGACACGGCCGGGCCGCGCCGTCCTTACGAAACTTCTTCGCCCGTTTAGATTCTGGTAGGTTTCATGCATGTTTGGTACTATGAGGATAAAGAAATGGAGCAGAATTCGAGGAATTGCCCGCCATAAGGTTTGTATGGTTCTGCCAATTTCACTGCTTTTCGAGCAGAATCTGCCACCTTTTCGAGCATTATCCGCCAATGCCTAAGTTGAAAAATATACACCCGAGGACCCATCCGGACGGGTCCTATACTACTTACAGTCAACTTCGCTAATAACGACTGCGGATATAACGACAATTCGCGAATAACGACAGAATTTCCATGCCCAGAGCAAAGTTCCATCCAACTGTAAATACATAATGAGACTTTGGGTATAACGACACTTCGCGAATAAGGACACCTTTTTGATGCCCCGCCGAGTGTCGTTATAAGCGAAGTTGACTGTACTATGTACTATTGTACAGAATACACTGTACACTGTACACTGTACATTATCTACATGTACATGTACGACCGACTTGCCAGGGGTCATTTATCACGATTCAGTTGTGGAAGGTAAATTTCACTGTTCTTTATTAGGGAGTAATCTCAGTATCATCATGTAAGACGCTTTGTCCCGCCTCCACGCTGACACAGTGACCATGGTGACAGCGACTCCTCATTAATTTTGATATGTTGCTGTATGGTGGAGGAACTAACTAACGACGTTGTTACTTGGGAAGATGCAACACTCACCATTGACTGTTGCATGTTGTTGGTGTTGGATAGTAGATCTACCGAGAGTTTAGGCTGTAGTAGGCATGGGCGGATAATGCTAGCATTATGGCTGGCATTATAGTTTTATACTAAGTACCTTTTCAGTTCCAGGTGGCATAATGCTGGGCATTGCTGGCATTATAACACCATTTCGCACGCAAAATTGGTATTACAAGCATAATTGCCGGTCGACAAGTAAGACAACGGTGTCATGCATGAAGCTGGCTAGGTCCAGTTCCGAAAATCGTGCATCTGAACCCGTCCGGCTTCGTCCGGTGACTTGATGGCCTTCTGAAATCGACTTTTCCAACTTTCAAACTGGCATTATGGAGTAGTGTGAGCATTATAAGTGGCATCATAATCCTCATAATGAGCATTGCCTTTAGCATTATCGCAGTAAATACTCAGTAACTAGCATTACCTGTCCATGCCTAGGCTGTAGTCTTGATTATACAGTCAGTGGTCCCTATTCCTACGCCACTCGTGCTGCTGGATTAGCCGGGGAGGGTGCTGGATTAGAAAATCTGATTTACTGACTATCTCACAGTCTCAGTGTCTGTGCACAACTGTGCTTCGTACTTTTTTCGCTGTCACGTCGGTCTAGTCGGAGTAGTCCAGCAGATGATGATGATGTGGTTGGCCTCCATGGTTACTGGTCTTCGGCACAGTAGACTACAGAGTACAGTACAGTAGCTTGTAGTTACCAGTCACACTGTCTCAGTGTCTGTCAGTGTCAGGTGCCATAATCGCTCAGAAACACTGCAGTTTTGCTTTTTGGGACAGACTGTCCTAGTATTCAAGATTTTGTGTTTTCTCCTCTAAAACTATTTTCGTTACTGAACAGGGCAAAGTGTGTTGTGATCATTGCTTACATTCCTTCGTGTTCGCTACCATGAGCACCTAGGAAGCTTCGAAGTGCAACTGTGCTTCAGCTGATACTCTGCTTTTGAGCTTTACGGTCACCACCCATTGAGTTTCCATTCAAAATTGTTCGCTATGGATTGGTTGTCACGAGCGGTCCAGTGGACCCGCTGTCACAGAGCCTCAGCTGTCCTCTTGCTGCCAGCATGTCTAGTTTTGAGTAGCTGCTTTGAAGCGTCTGGTAAGTATGGTCGTTGTGTAATGGCTGACCCTGCAGTTGTTTGCTAGTTTAAAAGTATTTCCGGTGGCTCGGACCTGACAGCATTACCAGTTTTATGGCTGGTACTGTACTGTCGTAATTATTATAGTAATAGGAGTTATATTTTGCCACCAGAATGCAAGCATAGCAGTGTCATCCTTGACTTGGCCATCACTACCAGTAACAATTATTCAAGTACACATGTGCAGATGTACATGTACACACCATTTAGACATTATGGTCCAGAATCCGTAGTGCCATGTGTGTGACTCCTGGAATGATTGATTATCGTACTCGCGCGATTAGTGCCCCTGGGGCACTATTTTTTCAATCTCCATCACAGATGGGCAGTATTCAAGAGAGGGCACTATTTTTTCATTGCCGGTACATTTGCGTCATCCAGCATAAAACAAAGAAAAACAGAGCCTAAAGTGTACTGTAAACGCTCACGACTCCACAGAAACGGGAACAAGGCTTGCTATTTTGTTCCTGAAAACACCAGTGCAAAGCAATGGCCAAAAACATTAGCAAAAGAACACCAAACTTGCACATGGGCTTGGCTAGAAGACCGGGGGGGGGGGGGGGGGGGGGGGGCACTATTCAAGAGACGGCTTTATTTTTCACTGGCTCTTAGAGACCAGGGCACTATTCAAGGAGGGCTCTATTCGCGCGAGTATGGTATTATTACTAATCGAATCTGCTGAAATTTTTGGTAATCGGCCTCTGGTGTTGGCGACCTTCTACATGTGCTGTCAATGGCCACATTTCTCTATTTTCTCAAGCACGCACCGGCGTCACATGCAAACTGATTGATCTGTTCGGAGCAGCAATCGCATGTGTGTGTGTGTGATGAGCGGACATGATCTTATGCATGCAGGCTACTCGCCATGCGCCAGCCTGGTGTAAGCAACTGCCACATTCTAGGCTTGTTGATAGCACACTAGCAGAGTACTGTGAAGGACACAAACAAGCGGTGTTGGTCTATTAGAATAGTCAGGCACACCAGCATGTTCAACGGCATCTAAGCAGGCATTCCTACGACGCTCAGTTGATTCCCATATGTTTTGCCTGTGAATACTATGTGTTGTTTCAGCACGAGACAGTATGTACAAGGAAGAACACGTGGTGCACTCACTACACCGTTTTCAGAAGTTGAAGGTATCACATCTGCAGCATACCGTCGAGCACGGGACTCACAGAGATGATGGTCATGAGAGGAGAATACGGCTTAGGCTGTTTGACAGGTGAGTAAAGTCTCCCTGCTTTGCTTGGATAGCAATAAACCTTCCTTCACTGCAACACACTGCTTCCTAACCGGGCTTCTAGCGAGATATTAACAATATGTTGCAGAAATATTCCCCGCCCACTCTTCACCAGTCATTGGCTACACCAGTACATGTACAATTATTTCCAAAAAAGATGTTCACCCATGAGGGCATCACCAGAGACTAAAACATAAGGTTTCTGCAACTATAGAAATGCTACAATGGAGCTTCAAAATCCTTCAAAACATGTTAACAATGGTAGGAGTACGTTACAATGAAGCGTAGTGCATGAGCTGCCATAAGATCACGCCAATGATAGTGTGAGAAACTGTGCAGTCTGTAGACACTGCTAGCAACTTATCATGTGCCCATGTATGTTGCAGGTGTAGAAATACTTGAGAGTGGGTTTATTCACAATTGCGTGAAACCATAAATAGGAACCAAAGCAAAACTTTTGTTTTCTTGCTGTGGCTGTCTCCGCAGTTGTCTATTCTGTGATGAGTGTGTGTGTAGGAGTGTGTGTGTGTGTGTGTGTGTGTGAGAGAGAGAGTGTGTGTGTGTGTATGTGTGTGTGTGAGAGAGAGAGTGTGTGTATGTGTGTGTGTGTGTGTGTGTGTGTGTGTGTGTGTGTGTGTGTGTGTAAAAAAAATTCGCGGAGAGGAAGCAGATTTGTTAGCTCCTGGTTTTTCTCTTTGTTGGCCTCCTCCACGGGGCGGCCTTGGCCTTCTGGTCAGGGTCGTCCCTGGGTATTGACTGGCAGTAGGCTTTTCATGCCTTGCAGCCGGTTTCGCTCGCGCGGAAGGACATTCAGTGAGCTGACGACCAGGGCGGGTAATTTGTTGCCGTCACCGTCTTCTTGCGTCCTTTCCGCATCCTCCGCAGTGGCGTGGCGAGCCCTCGGATCAATCCCCAGCCTGTAACAATGCAGTGGCGTTCGGCAAAACAAGTGGATTCCTAGATGATAAAGGATACAGGTCACACTCGCAACAATTTATTCCTGCGCGGTGATAGCTGGAATTGTGAATTTGTCGTGTTGTTTGGACCTGAGTGGCCAGTCGTCGTGCGGCGATGGTGTAGTGATGTTAGCTTGCTGCGCATACTCCTCGTCGTTTCGTGAAAGTACGTCTTGTGGAGCCCTTGTGGGACGTTCGGTGCCCACCCTCCAGCTCAAGATTGTGCTTTCCTGGTGCATGAAGGCCGAAGCAGTACGCGTACAGACGTTATTGTTGAACAGAACATCATGTTCACATTAATTTTGTTCCTTTTTCAGTCGTTGCATGTTATACTTATAGTGGACCTACAGCAGACTGTTCATCTGGTTTGTGATATTTCCTTCCTCTGTTTGTGAGTCCCTTTCCATCAATATGGCAGCTTGTTTTGATTTCCTTTTTTTCATTTTGCTGTACTTCCTGTTTTGTTTGCGCCACTGCCCCTCACCTTGCGCTCAGTTCTCTGAGTGGAGGGCGGCGTGACCCCAAGGGGTAGCTGATTGATAGTAGTAGTAGTAGTGTGTGTGTGTGTGTGTGTGTGTGTGTGTGTGTGTGTGTGTGTGTGTGTGTGTGTGTGTGTGTGTGTGTGTGTGAGTATGTGTGTGTGTGTGAGAGTATGTGTGCAGGTATGTAAATAGTTTTGACTTGTGACTGAGAAAAGAAGTAGAACTACTTGAGAGTGGGTTTATTCACAAATTCAATTGCGTGAAACCATAAAATAAGAACCAAAGCAAAAGTCAACCCAAATTCGGCAATAAATGAAACACTCAATTGAAGTGTAAAATTGAAGGAAAAAAGCTTGACAAGAAACCGTTACCTGGGCCAAGTGGCCTACTGACATGCAAAGGCAAAGGCACGTCTCTGCCCAAGCGTAGAATACTTGTATCATGAAAAAGGTGAAACGTTACTGAAAACCTACCTGCTGCTTTGCAACGGTGCATGAGATGTCTGATGGAGAGCGTGGAAAGATACAGGCGACATAACTGTATATACGTGTGCATGTTGCAGGGCCTGTGCTTTGACACTATACGAGTCGTCGTTATGTCATTTTGGCTTGTTCTACATGTTACACTGGCCACACCACTACTGTCATGTGACGCGTGATACTTGCTTGCAGTAGACACATGACAGGCAGGGGGAAGCATTAGCTGGCATGCAGAGTTCTGCGCTGGAAGCAATCAACAGATGACTAGTGACTGATGGCAGGGGACCTGAACATCAAACAGGAAAGAAGTGGAGAAGTTATCACTCCTGGCTTGGCATGTATTACGAACATTCGTGTGCAGTATGAAGAATATGAAGTACTTGGACTAGAGTTTTTCATGATCATATTACAAAATTTCAGTCCTTGTACGAATGTTGTCACTGATCATGGGAGCAGAGATTTTACTGATGCTCTGACTGGCTATAATGCCCAGTATTAATCCTGATGAGTGCACCAGTCCTCTCAGACAAATGGCTGCCTTTTACCAGTAGTAAACGTTGTGGCTTCCAGGGGATTATATTCCAACAATTTGGTATGCTTGTTAGTAACTGCTTCACTTTGCCAATGATATAATGTTCTGCTCCATTCAGGGACCTTCATCTACATCTGATTGTTCATAAGAGTCTCTTCCATCCAAAATTTGTTGCTCATGAAGTTGATGGCATGAATCGAAAGACGCGCCGGCAAATCAACAGAGCGGCATTCTACCATGGCGTTGTTCAAGGTAGGGACCATGACTTTATTGACTTTACCACTCTTTGTCCTTCGGGTATCCCCGTTTGTGTCCAGCCATTTGCATGCTGTTGCTTTCACTAAGACCAACTGCTTTCACAGTATGTAACAATGTAGACTGAAAGGGTTTTTGAGAGCATGCATAGTGGTAGATCTGGGCACTTAGGCACTAGTGAAGCGTGTATCAGATCCACTCTGATTTCGCTACCCACGCTAGTAGCAAGTATTACCTTCACTGGGGGCAGGTAACCTGCAGTTGGATCTCGGGACGGATACCCTCATGTCGTCAATCCTTTTTCTGCACCTTGTCCTCACCTACTTACTGAGGTGTGGTGAGCCCATACGTTGGATAATTTCCAAGTCCACCCATAGTTTGGGGATTTCAGGGGCCAGTGTCGGCCGTTGGGCGGTTCAATAGCCAATTGAGTCATCTTTCCAAGATTCCTTTAGAGTCTCTCTCCCCTCTCCCGGGAAGACCCACGTGACCAGTTTTGGCAGTGAGCAACAAGACTAGTATAGTGTGTGTGTGTGTGTGTGTGTATGTGTATGTGTGTGTGTATGTGTGTGTGTACTGATTTGTGTGTGTGTTCTCGTGTGTGCGTCTTTTCTCGTGTGCACGTCTTTTCTTGTGTGTGTGTGTGCATGGATGCACATGGGTGGGTGCATCTGTATGCTGCACTCGATACTGTTACCATGCCAACACACTGTGTTGGATTTCGCTGTGGCTTGAGTTTTAAGTCTGCTTCCACCACAGTGTGTTGTTTCTTTCATACTGTGTGTGTGTTTCCATCCTATTCGTAACTTATATGTCTTTGACAGTGCATGTACTATGAAGGTCCAACGTTAGATCATGACATGATGGAATAGCATAGTCTTGCGTGCATACAGCATGGGGAATGATAGGAAAGCTGTGTGCTCTATCCATCAACATTGATGTTTTGTGTGTTCACTGTTTTGGCACATGGGTGTGTTCGTTCTTGCTAACAATGCTATTCATGCAGGTCAAGAAAGATCACGTGTTGTTGCTCACGTCAGTGATGAAAATGTTGTGAGTGCCTCAATACACTTACCGGACGAAACATACTCGATTGAGGTGAGTACAAGTCGTATGCCGATGGCTAATAAGTTCTACATGCGTGCGAGGGCCGTATTCTTGCCCAGTCATCCATGTTTGTGGGGCACTGTAGCGATGGCTGCAGTTTAGTTGTGAGTATGATGGCAATGGTGCATTTTTCTCAGGAAGTATGCATCAGTGTGTGCATAATGTATATACGGTATAGAGGATGGTGATTAGTATTGGTAGGTAGCAACGTGTGCTAGTGAGCTTCTGAGCTTCATGTATATGGGTTCATCTTCCAGTTGTACTTGTACAACAAAATACAGTCCGGGAGTGAAATGTGCATTTGATAATTCCATGATACTCCTATGTAACTTGTGTCTGAAACAATCCCCCCCCCCCCCCCCCCCCTTTCTTTCCTATACCCTTTGGTGTGCAGCCATCAAGACGTCACTTCAAATCACCACACAACTTCCACATGATAGCGTACCGCGACTCGGACATCAAACCCAAGCCGTACGTCTGTCTGTCCATACATGTGCATGTGCGTGCATTGAGGAGTTGGATTGTGGTGGTGCAGCAACTACGTAATTTTTAAAACAGCATTGGGTAATTCTGTTCTACCTGTATCTGGGTGTACTGAAGGCAAAGTGACGGTCACATCTAAGAAACATGCATAGTAATGGGTTTGCTTTTACATCCGCTAATCCGAGCAGTGTTCACAGCCGCTAATCCGAGCAGTGTTCACAGCCGCTAATCCGAGCAGTGTTCACATCCGCTAATCCGAGCAATGTTCACAGCCGCTAATCCGAGCAGTGTTCACAGCTGCTAATCCGAGCAGTGTTCACATCCGCTAATCCGAGCAGTGTTCACTTCCGCTAATCCGAGCAGTGTTCACAGCCGCTAATCCGAGCAGTGTTCACATCCGCTGATCCGAGCAGTGTTCACATCCGCTAATCCGAGCAATGTTCACAGCTGCTAATCTGAGCAGTGTTCACATCCGCTGATCCGAGCAGTGTTCACATCCGCTAATCCGAGCAGTGTTCACAGCTGCTATTCCGAGCAGTGTTCACAGCCGCTAATCCGAGCAATGTTCACAGCCGCTAATCCGAGCAGTATTCACAGCCGCTAATCCGAGCAATGTTCACAGCCGCTAATCCGAGCAGTGTACATCCACTAATCCGAGCAGTGTTCACAGCCGCTAATCCGAGCAGTATTCACAGCCGCTAATCCGAGCAATGTTCACAGCCGCTAATCCAAGCAGTGTACATCCGCTAATCCGAGCAGTGTTCACAGCCGCTAATCCGAGCAGTGTTCACAGCCGCTAATCCGAGCAGTGTACACAGCCGATAATCCGAGCAATGTTCACAGCCGCTAATCCGAGCAGTGTTCACATCCGCTAATACGATCAGTGTTCACAGCCGCTAATCCGAGCAGTGTTCATGTCCGCTAATCCGAGCAGTGTTCACAGCCGCTAATCCGAGCAATGTTCACAGCCGCTAATCTGAGCAGTGTTCACATCCGCTAATCCGAGCAGTGTTCACAGCCGTTAATCCGAGCAGTGTTCACAGCCGCTAATCCGAGCAGTGTTCACATCCGGTAATCCGAGCAGTGTTCACAGCCGCTAATCCAAGCAGTGTTCACAGCCGTTAATCCGAGCACTGCTCACAGTCCCGTGCTTAATGACGTTGGTAATGACACCGAGAATATAGAAGTTACCAAGAGACAGTGTGCCATCTGACATGGTATTCAAAAATCCTCTCCCTCCTTTATCATCCTCTTGCTGCAGAGAGGCACGTGCTTGTGGCCTTACACCAGAAGATGAGGAAACTGGAAATGACGTTGCAAGTCATTCACATGGTGAGGGTGCTCTGTGTAAGATGGTTAGCCTGCTGTGTAACTGTTATGTATGCTCCGGTATAATAAATAATTGTATTGAACACTACCTGGTCTGAGTGCTGGTGGTGATACTCACTCTTTTCTTCAGACATTCCCCGTTTGCATCTTTCCCTCAAATCAGTGACTACCACTGGAGCTAGTATTTCCGTGTGTCAGGCGGCCACGATTTTCAGTAGTCTGACTTGGTCCAGAAGGGCTGTGAAAATGTCTAGCCGTGTTGTCATGATATGGAAAATGTGTGAAATCTGGCACTGACTTGCGTTCATTGTAATCTGTGCTGGGCCACTGTGTGTGTGTGTGTGTGTGTGTTTTTGTAGATCTGCTGTCGTCTATGTCACCATGGAAGCTCTTCAAAGACCTGCCTTCCAATGCCAGTGACCAATCACACAGACCCAGTGCGCATGGTGAGCATCACCGACTACGACGTCAAGCAGTCTCCTCCGGGCGTGCTTGCCCGGTCACCTTGGTTGCAGACTCGTTCTATTCAGACGGAGTCGGCGCTGGGGATTTCCAGACTTCTGCTTCGTCAATGGTAAGAGAAACTGCATTTGTGTCCATGCATGTACAGTAAAACCTGTAACTAAAGACCACCGTGACTAGCGACCGGCCTGGTACTACAGTAAAACCTGTAGCTAAAGACCACCGTGACTAGCGACCAGCCTGGTACTACCGACCACTTTGCCAGGCACGGACGGACGGTCTCACATTCATACATGGTTGTGCGGTGCAAACCTCTAACTAAGGACCACCTGCCACTAAAGACCGCTTTTTCTGGCCCCAAGGGGTGGTCACTTGTCATAGGTTTTACTGTACTGCGTTCTGTACTGCACCCGGATGACTTTGTGGACAGTGTGTGCGCTCCACTCACCCCGAGGCTATGTTACCTCTACATGCAGATGATTGCATTGCTATTGACTTCACCAATCACTGTAGGGCTGTAGGCCAGTTAGCTTTCTTCTTTTTGGGCAGAAATTAGATTGAGTACCATCCGCCGGGACCTTCTGTGATTAAGCTAGGCTTGGTCAGAATAGCCATAGCATGGAACATTGCCTATTGCCGTTGACACCACGTGAGATAAACATCCCTGGCGGGTTATGTTGAGTGCTGCCTGTGAACAAACGTGGTTTGACGTGTACATGTGGTATGTGTGTGTGTGTGTGTGTGTGTGTGTGTGTGTGTGTGTGTGTGTGTGTGTGCACGTACCCCTTTTTGGATGCGATTTCAGATTCAGCAGTTGAACTATGCCGACACCATTGTGTTTGCCAGGTCGACATTTGTTGGACGGGGCGGTTCAAGCCTGCAGGCCACTTTTGGCATGCAACTGAGAGAGGTGAGGTGCCTTCTGCAGATACAGGGACAATATTGCGATCAATTTCCATTCCATTATGTACGGGAGTAACAGAACAGAGCAATTTGGAGGATTTTTCACAAAACAATATAGCAGTCCATTTGTCCAAGCAAATTGCTGAAACTCATTTTCTTCCTAAACGGTAGAACCATAGTTGGTCCTGGTGCCTTCACCAATCTGCAGTATACTGCATTTGTTTGCCTCCTCTGCACGTTGCAGCTGACAAACAGTAATACAGCCTCTGCATTAAGGTGGACATGATTCTGTGAGGAGTTGTTGGCCTTTATCAATGCTGGTTTGGGAGCTTGCACGTCATTGTGAACCTGATGAAGGCAAATTTGCCGAAACGTTGTAATACTGTGAAATGAGTTGAACTGTTGCAGTGTTAATGGAAGAGAGCGTGTGGGCTCGACTACTTAACTGTTTATGAAACTGCAGGAAGCCTCCCCACTTTTACTTAGATGATTCCGTGGGTCACCTATTTCTATGCTTCATGATCTGTTTCCATTCTGCAGGATCTTTCATGCCAAATCTATACATGCATGTCATACAAAACCTCACTTTCCATGCAATACGTATACTTCGAAGTAGATATGTACTGTACTCACAGTTGACAACACAGCTGTGAGGTTGATAACAGTGCAATGACCATGTCCGAACGAATTGAAGTGACCGGGATTCTTAGTACCTCCGGTATCAGGTTTCTGTTGTTCCTCTATTTCAATTTGTACTTCGTAGTGCTATCCATTCATGTTCCCCTCTTGTCCTTTCATCTGCAGGTCATTGTGCATCAAGCACCCAATACGTCTATTCCGTACAACACCGGCGTAAAAACCGGCGTACGCAGTCTGTTGACGGTAAGCTAGTGACGATGAATCTAATGATTCAGTCGTGTTCGCAGTGTGAATACCTGCCTGGCCACTGCACTACCTACGAGTGTACCTCTTCTTCAGGCCTCGCCATTTTGGGCTGCACATGTCCCAAATGCAGAGAGCGATGTGTGTGTGTGTGTGTGTGTGTGTGTGTGTGTGTGTGTGTGTGTGTGTGTGTGTGTGTGTGTGTGTGTGTGTGTCCAACCTGTCGGAAGGCTACCCTCTTGCCAAAGCTTTTTGGAAGTTGGACTAGTTTCGGCTCCACAATCCAGTGTGTCGTTGCTATCATAGCTTTCATGGCTGGGATTGTTGGTGTGTCTGTTGGCTCTGGGTTCCCAGTACTCACTAGCCGAGGCTGGTTGGTAAAGTAACTCCAATTTCACTTCAAGGTACCAGTGCATCTAGTGTCTGCTTTTATCAAAGCAGCGTGCTGTCTATACTGGTTACCCGACCAAGTGAAGGGTATGCATAGGTACTAGTAACTGTCTTGGCTGTCCTATTCCGATGTACTCCATGTGGTGTAGACCAGGTGTGCATTGGAGGGTCGATTCACATGGCTTCGCCAGTTGTGTGGATTAGACAGTTATCTGGCGCTTGTCTTGATCTGTTTCAATCAGAATCAGATCTGCTATTGTTGCTATAAAGAAAAAATCTGTGGGTGCACATCCAGTGCATTTGCAGATTTGGGTGCTTCTCTTGCGACGGGCGTATACATGGTACATGGTGTGTATGTATGTGTGTATACTGTACAGGCATTGAGCAGAAGCAACTGGAACCCATCGCGACGTGCCGATGGAATGCCAGGAGTGTGTTTGGCCCACCTCTTCACGCATCAAGGATTTGCAGGCAATATCTTGGGACTAGCGTACGTCGCCAGTCCGGGCAGGAATTCCGTCGGCGGGGTGTGCAATATTGGTAAGACATCACCAGCAATCCGGTACTAGAGTGTGTTGATACCCGTTCTGACTGCATTGCTGGAAAGTCACCGTATGTGTGCTGATCACGATCACCCGTGCAACATACTAGTACTTTGCTGTTCTTCGCGGATATCACCATTGCTAATACTTGTATGTGCCGAGACTTCGGGAGTGTGTCTGTGTATTTAGTTAGTGCTAGTCGGTATTTTTTTCTCAAATTGGCATACGGGCAGACCATGACTAAAACACATAGGGTTCAAGTTCTTCTTGGAAGCAAAGGGACGCTTCAACTGCACTGCAAGTCTGCAACCCACATTGAATTGGGGAATCATAACCTGGCATGTTAGCACTTCAAAAGTAACACGGATGCTGCAAGTGTGGCTTTCGGTCTTCGACCACTTTGGTAGTGGACTTGATCTACTCACTGTACGCACACGTACGTACTGCTTTAGGAGCTGCACCTGCACCTTGATCCTTGGGGGGGGGGGGGGGGGTGGTAGCGTTCCTGCAGATGCGGAAAAGTCTGATTGGCTTTCACGCCAACTGTAAATTATCCATTGTGTATACCGTCTCTCACTTGTACAGCATTTCAAGGCAACCGGTGGCTCAACGTGGGCATCACAACCACACAGAACTGTCCTTCAGGAGACATCACCGATTGCCAAACACTGATTCAGAGAGAGGCTGACCTTGTCACCGCTCATGGTAAGCATCCTGAACCAATGGCAGCACTAGTCTACGAATCACTGTGCTTGCCGGTGTTGCAACAATAAAACATCTGCCCACTGGTATTTTGGTTTTCATAGCCCAGCATACACTTGTGCAGCTCCACTATTGGATATGAATTACAGTCATATCTCTCTTATCTGGGCGGTTCGGGGGGCATAGCATGCACTGTCTATAACTCTGCATCACGTACGTTGTGATGATGTCACTATTTCTGCAAACATTGGCAAAAAGAGTAGTAATACTTCCACTTTAAAACTTGCAGGGTGCCCGGTAGACCGAGGTGCCCGTAACTTTGAGGTCCGGATAAGAGAGATACGAGTGTATTGGCACTGGTGAAATGTGTCATGTGTCATGCATGCTATTCTCCATCTGTGTACATGTAGATTACTGCTGAATGAAATCCGATTGCGTTTATCAAGTTGGCGTAGCCCTGTGCCAGCTCACACCCCAGTGTCCACAGGTCTAGGGTGCCGGGCTGCACAGCACTCGGCGTGCCGTTCACACGCTTTTGATCGAATTCCTTTGGCATTGAGCAGCAGTGTACAACAACCGTGTCTTGACAAGTCCGCAAATTACAACTCCCTTACAGATGCATGTTGTAATGCTGTCCATGATTTGTTTTGTGTTGTACTGCTCGTGTTGTGTCTGCTACTTCACATCGGGACCATCTACTGCGGCACGGGTCACCTGCTTGCTACATGCGCTGCATTTGCCCCACAACCCATGATCAGAACTGGGTAAGTGTTCCCCGTATTCATGATAATGCTCGGTCACCACCCTTATTCAAGATAATGCTCGGTCACCACCCGTATTCATGATAATGCTTGGTCACCACCCGTATCCATGACAATGCTCGGTCAACACCCGTATTCATGATAATGCTCGGTCACCACCCGTATTCATGATAATGCTCGGTCACCACCCGTATTCATGATAATGCTCGGTCACCACCCGTATTCATGATAATGCTCGGTCACCAACCGTATTCATGATAATGCTCGGTCAACACCCGTATTCATAATAATGCGCAGTCAACACCCGTATTCATGATAATGCTCAGTCGCCACCCGTATTCATGATAATGCTCGGTCACCATCCGTATTCATGATAATGCTCGGTCAACACCCGTATTCATGATAATGCTCGGTCACCACCCGTATTTATGATAATGCTTGGTCAGCAGTAGCAGCAGTCACCATACTATAATGTGTAGGCCAGTGCTGTTTCATGTTGCCTTCCTTTAAACTAACTGGCACACGCAGGTTGATCGGTACATCTGCAATATGCAGTGACGGTGTTTGCACTCGTACTTACATAGCCATAGTACAAAGTAGCAACCCCACGTATGCCCGTACACATGCCCCATCGACCTCCCGGTTCCGTTTCAACACAAGATGCATCTTATTATGCAAAGTTGGGACAAATTGTGCGTTGTGGACGCACAGGATCTGACCCGGCATGTGGCGAGCATGACCGTCGTGGTGTTCTGTTGTCACTGTTGCATACGTGCTCTCCTGTGTGCTGCCACGGGCCAGGTCACAACTGGGGGTCTCAGCATGACTCAACATCAACATGCATATCAGATAGCAATGGCCGCTATCTAATGAACCAGTATGCTTTGCCCGGCACAGAGACGAACAACAATGTAAGTCGGCAACTTTCCATCACATTGCTCCATGAGAACAATGTGTTATTCAACAGCAACAATAAAAGCTGGGAAACTTGCACAGCTGGCAAAACGGGTTTATATCCCTTCTGGCATCCTGGCAACCTACATTTGTTTTCCCATGACAAAACGCATTGTAACGTTATACATGACATTTGCATGCATGCATGCATTGTGGACTAAGTGTGTGCTGCAACATTGAATGACAACAACTTCCCCCGGCGAGTATTTTGGCCTGAGCATTTACTGTGGAACTTCAGTACCTTGGAGCAATCATACTATACTTTGGGATACGACCTACTTACAGGACCCTACGTATGCTTATCCAGTCACCTAGCCTGGGGTGGATAGAGGAGTTTATGATCTTGGTGTTCCTGTTCTATGCTTGGGTTGTTTAGATTTTCTCCGCTTGCAGTCTTCAAAGTATTGGCACGGTCCTTGTTGGAAAGCAGGATACGTGCTTTGTTGGTAAGTCATCGGAGTGTTCTCCCTCATGCATGTGACAGTCTGCCATGATTTTCCGTGTGTTACAATAATACGATTGTGCCATGTCCAATGCATAGCATGTATCCTATTATCAATATAAAATCGTTTAGCTCCAAGTCTATAGACTTAGCAATCGCCTGCACTTGACTCTTACGCTATGTTTTCCCCTAGGTAATTCTGGCCTTGCTTCCTCTTATGTTCAGGCCGCAAGTTCCCGTTTTGGAGCCATCAGTTGCCTGATGATCGTGACTATGTGAAGCTCAGAGTTGCAACACAGCTTCCCCTCAGTCTTGTGTAAAATCAGTTATGCCGGTGTGTGTGTGTGTGTGTGTGTGTGTGTGTGTGTGTGTGTGTGTGTGTGTGTGTGTGTGTGTGTGTTTGGTTTCTAGATCGTGAGGGTTCGTTCTGTGGCAATGCGCTGCGTGAGGCTGATGAGCAGTGCGACGCCGGCTTTGGCAATCCGAATGACCCATGCTGTGCTGAGAACTGCCGATACCGGGACCCTACCTTCCAGTGCAGGTCAGTGCTTGAACACACTGTAGCTGGCTTGCAGCTTATCACTTTGCTTGTGCAAATGTGTTGAGATAATACGCGCAGGGCCGCTGACGCCAGGTCCAACGTATGGATAACTTGTGTTGAAAATGTATGCAATCTTACAAACTCTTGTTTAGAAATTGTGTCCACAAAACAAGAAAGAAGTCAACTCGAAAATATTGACTGGGAATACAAAAGGAAAACATAGGGAAATGTTTCTACCAAGTGCTGGAAGCATCTCCGTATCAATGTCCCGATCAGCGATCAGGTAGCGTGAAGATGACATTTCTGACATTTCTGTCAACCAGCCACACCCTTTGCGAGCACTGTGTGGGCCGCATGTGGCTTGGTCTTCGCCACACCGGCCACAGATGTAAGCAGGTCTGCCCAATGATGTTACGGTATAGATAAGTTGACGTGCTGCCAGTCTGCAGATGCCAACTCGCCACTCCGCGAATAGAGAGTGCCTTCCGAAGTAGCCACTACACCAGTCACGGCTTACGGAAACCTTCCCGTACGCTATTGGGAAGGCTCAGGTTTGGTCAATAGAACTGGGTTTTTTTTTGCATTCGTGAGCTAACCATAGTGTATCTCGCACACAAATAGGACAGGGAAAGGAAAGGACGTTGGCAAGACCCCTTTGACCATGCCCTTCTCTCTTTCCTAATGCGCTCAATCCTCTCCGGTGTCAAACTGTCAGAGAACCTTATTCCCACCCGGTCACTTCAGGAAAAGCGAAAGCAAGACACCTTTGACCAAGCATCTCTCTCTTTCCTGATGCTGTCAATACTCCTCGTGTCAAGTCGGAGAACCTTTCTCTCTTTCCTGATGCGCTGAATCCTCTCAGGTGTCAGAGTCGGAGAACCTTATCCCCAAAGTCTATCACTTCAAGAAAAAAACAAGAGCAAGATGCCTATCAGAGCATTCTGAATAACCGGTTTGCAAAGTTGTGCCATCGAAGTTGTGCCATGTATAGTAATCTCTAGAAGATGTCCCATGCAGGACGACGCAAAACACCTCTAAATTATGTAGGGTGATATACATGTAAATGAGAACAACAATGATTCGTCAACTAACAGCAGCTATAGCATGTAATGTATGCATTTCCATCAACCCAATAGGGCTTGAAAGTGTTATGTCACAGCATAGCAACAATTTCAAAAATTCAAAAACTGGATCCACTTGGATCCAGTTATTGTATGAATCCAAGCACATTTCAAGCCGTCTTACTCACGGCAAGGTGATGTAGCCAGTGAAACTGACTGATTTGGCTACTGGGGGCGGGGTTACAACTGGTGGCGAAGTAAAAGTCACCCCTGCATACGACATGAGTGGGTTGCTATGCACCCACATACTGAGGCAATAGCAAAGTCACACCTTAGTGGATCCAAAATAGAAATCTGATGTCAACTTACTACTCCCTGGCCGTTCTTGACGTCATCACGTTCAAGCCCTATAGAGAGAACAGGGAAACCGATTTGGGAGAGAACCTTCTAGAAAGAGCTAGAATATATACCACTGATAACAACATGTCAACACAACTACTAACAGCAACATGACTTGTATGCAGAGAGAACTGCTGCTGAGTCATACGTAGCAGGTAATCTAGACTAGGATCATCATAATCATTATGCAATGTGGGACTACAGAAGTAGCTACTTGTGAGCATCCAGACTACAGATTATAATAGAGCCAGTGCTGATGGTATATGACCTACATGTACTGCAGGCTATTGTCAGCACGGAGTACAGTGCTAACATTTCCCCCTTCACACAAACCCACATGTCCAACCGCTGAAGTGGCTTGCGCCCCCGAGAGGAGTGACGGTTCCTAGTTGGTGAGATTGACTGGGTTAGCGGAGTACGTGAACTCGGTGGTGATCCAGTCGGAGAGGGCGGCGGAGAGGGATGACAGATCACTGAGATCACTGAGATCAGGCGGTGGCGACGCTGCCAATATCCGGTCCAAGTTTCGGCGTTGCTGGACTCCATCATGAGTTTCCACCGTGGCCTCATGGTTGTTCACTGAGATGCAACGGCGCGATCGATTGCCCCCGAGGGTTGTTTCACGTGGACCGAATTGCCTGCTACTAGAGATGTTGCAGCAACGTGATTGTGCACATCATGGCAGGCCTTGGTAGCTACCTTAACTGCTGCACCTCATCATTGGTGTCCATGTCATTGTCATCAGCATGGTGTGGTTGGAGTGACTTGAGTGGGGTAGAGTACCCACCACGAAGAAACAAGTCGCCCAGAGTCTTGCCCGTGGGGGCATTGATGGTGGCGCGAACCACTGCCGCTCGGAGAGCGCAGGAAGTTGACGTCTTCCCAGACTTCCTCATGTGCCGCTTGAGAGTCTGCTGGAGGTACTCGGCCGGATTCTGGCAGGTGTGTAGGGCACAGTTCACTCATGACTAGATTCTAGCGGGGGTTGTAGCATGCTCACTATCTCATCAGTGGTCAGACTCCAAAACCCTTCATCTGCCAATTCAGATGGGTTACTGCCACCCTCAACCACCGTACTCGGCTCGCGCGATGCTTGCTTTTCCGGATGCAGAGGGGCCAGACGAACATACGGTGGCTGATATAGCGATGCCGGTCTATGCTGTCCCGGTCTTGTCTTTCGGAGCCGAAGAAATCACAGAAGTGTTAGTCCTCACCAGTGCCGAATCAGGAGATGCAGAGGCAAAGCCCGACTGCTGTGATAAACCCGACAAACAGCTTGACTGCGAGGAAGTATCCACGCGGTCGCCACCAACAGCTCGAAGAACAGGATGGTTCCGCTTGTTCCGCAACGGACACCGACACTGACACTGATGACGGGGCAGGAACTGAAACCTGGGAAGTTCCAGCCACAGACTGGGGTCCCGACCTCCCCGTCCTTGTTCTAACTCCAGGAACCCAACCCGGGTGGGCATCCGGTGGAGCATCAGGAACACAACCCCGGTCTCCACAGCTGTTTTGTGAAGATCCGCATTGCCGAAATTTGTGCAGCGGCCGTCCCGGCCAGGGTAAAAATTCTTGCAGCACCTGCACTTGGTCGAACAAGAGCAAGACTTGCAGGTGCTCGTGCTCCGCCTGCATGCACAGCAAGTGCGTGCACCCGCAGCACGTGACTGGGACATGGCTGCACGACACCAGCAAACTGTTACTTCAAGCTAGCACGGGCGTGAAGCCAAGACCCACAGACCCCCTACCCCAGTCCCACCCTTTACCATTTGCCACAGATATAGGTGCTGCATTTCTTGTCCAGCCCGGCTAGCTCAGTCGGTAGAGCATGAGACTCTTAATCTCAGGGTCGTGGGTTCGAGCCCCACGTTGGGCGCTTGATTTTTTCCTTTTGTAAGGACCGACGGGAACCGACAGAATAATCATGACAAACGATTGACGGCGTTTAGTTGAGTGTGAGTGCCAGGAACGGAAACTTTTTTTAGTACCGCTGACAAAGTGGTATTGTGAGCATGATTTTCAGCAGCTTCAATTGAGGAGAAAGAATAGAAAAGAAGTCCCAAGAAACAAGAAATCGGGGCCGAAAGTCACCCTGTCACAGACCATGCTCCATGACTCTTGCTGTGTGTACTATGCTGCATGGTATACGGTACACTGTGACCAGAGCACATGCATGTGTGGGTTGAATAGAACTGAAGTACGGTCAAGGGATCCTCCTGCAAGTCCCGTGTGCACGTTGAATTCTAAATATAGGTGCCAGACCCTTGGCCCAAGTTTTGGCCTTGATATGTTTCCGAAAATGTTCGACATATATTTTGGTAAATACGGTAGAAAAGGCCTTGTTGCCAGGACAAAACAGATTCATTCCAATCAGGGAGTGAAGTCAACCTTGGGTATCACAACAACTCCTGACTGACTGGCCTACCAACCATTTCAGGACTGTGACATATTTTCTACCTCACGACTCTGATCAACGACAGCTTGCGGACGCTTTCTCATGCAGACCAAAGATTGTTCCCCACAAGGTAGACTGTATTTTTACTAGTTCCTGGTTCAACAAACCTACCTATAGACTTTGGTCACGGAACGTTCGTGCCGGTCCACACATCCCGTGTATTGAAATGCACAGCTTATACAATCACCAGTGCCATAGTTGTTGGTATGAAGTAGGGGATAAAAAGGTTCATTGCCGCTGAACTCTTAGTTTTACACACGAACGTTTTAGTTGCTGGTATACTTCAATACTCATATGGTGTTCACTTTATGTGTCTGTTTGGCTGCTCAGTGATGGCAATGACGTGTGCTGTACCAACTGTTCATTTGCCGCGACTTCGAAAGTCTGTCAGAAGGCATCTTCTGAACGGGACTTCAGCTGCCAGGAAACGTCATTCTGTCCATATCCTGCTTCAGTCTAGCTATCATAGTGCAGGGACGATGTGGGATAACTATATGTTATGCGGAGCCGATGTGGAATAACTTTATGTTATGCGGAGACGATATGGGATAACTATGTTTTATGGCGGGACGATGTGGGATAACTATGTTTTATGGCGGGACGATGTGGGATAACTATGTTTTATGGCGGGACGATGTGGGATAACTATGTTTTATGGCGGGACGATGTGGGATAACTATGTTTTATGGCGGGACGATGTGGGATAACTATGTTTTATGGCGGGACGATGTGGGATAACTATGTTTTATGGCGGGACGATGTGGGATAACTATGACCTAGTTATCCCATTGTGTTACCCAGGCACGATGTGGGATGATTATGTGTTATGCAGAGACTATCTCAGATCAACTGTGTGGTATGCAGATACTGTGGACGGTTACTGTGTGTTACGCTGGGACTGCTGTCCTCAGTGGAACACCCCCCCCCCCCCTCCCCCGCATTAATTGTATTATATGGGCATTACTAAGGCATGCACGTGTACACCGTGATGTATTATGGGTGTCCCACGTTGGTACGGTGGCGTGATTGACCAGCATGGAGGCTGTTGGAGAACATGATTGGGTTGGCTGTCTGAGACGGTGATAGCAATAGGTCTGATGCATTATTTCCTTGACTATTGCCGCTGCCGTTCTTACTGGCAACAGTGCAAGTTGTAGCATTCAGTTCAAGACCAGCGGAGCCTGCGGTAACTTGTAAGTCCTGGACTCGCAAATCCCAGTCAGTGTTGGGCTGTAAGGTCAAGTGCATGTATGTGTTGAAGCGGCAAGTCAGCGCTTAGTCACACAATATACCATAGAAGCAGATAGAACGTCCCAATGCATGTGTTTCGTATGAAGATCCACAGTTACCTTTGTGAATGAACGTCATGTTGTGCTTTGTGACCGCGTATACACACAGGTGACTTGTTGCTATTGGTTACACAACCAAGACTGTATGCTAGTGGCAATATCATTGAATATGTGAATTAAGTCATAAGGTTTTTTTTACCGAGGTAACTCTGTGAGACCTGCACTGTGCATGAGCTGGTCACATCTTGCTATTCGGAAAGGCCAGTAATTGTTGAATGTGGCTGCTCCGTGATGCTGCATTGTGCTTTGTGCCTACTCACAGCGGCCAGTGCAGAACACCACCACAGCCGGAGAGTGCACGGTGTCAAGGGTTCTGTGAGGCGACTCGCAATCAAATCTCATGTATCTGCTCAGGTATGAGTAACTGACTTTCATCATAGTATCCATACTCAGTGCACGTAGTCACACTTCAAGTTCATGAAGCCCTGATGTACAAGTAGTTACAGTGGTTGTATTTTGGCAGCAGTGTCTGCAGTGTCTGCAGTGTATGCAGTGTCTTCAGTGTATGCAGTGTATGCGAGGATCGACTAATGCACCTGATGGAATACCTCCGCGATCACTGAGCCTATGAGGACTAGCCATCATCTCGGATCGATCGATCGGGTAGATGCATGACATCTGCTTATGTGGCTGTTCTTTAAGGCTGTGTGTGATTTGTGTGTGTGTGTGTGTGTGTGTGTGTGTGTGTGTGTGTGTGTGTATGTGTGTGTGTGCATGTATGCGAACGAAAAGGTGTTCAAAACGAGTGCAAGATTTGCTGCAAGGCGAGTGCAGGAGCACCGTGCGCAGTGGCTAACAGCTCGCTGAATATCCAGGATGGTGCTGGATGTAGCCAAGGATTCTGTCTAAATGTGAGCCATGCACCCGGCAGCACATGTATTCCTGATTACCCATTGAATTCCTGTGCATGTGTTCAATAATCAGAACCAGTTGGCAAGTGTCCAGGTGTTTGGTGGGGTGGGACTGTGGCAACCCCGACTTGATGGCGTATCTTCCGAAAGGGTGTACCTGGGTAACTTGGTCAACTTTTCAAGTTCATGTTGGACTGTATTGTCTCCGCATGTCAGTCAGGCTGGTATCTATCAAGCCTTTTTTTGTTGAGCTCGGGGTTAAGTTGTGTATGTATGTTGTCTGTCTTGTAACTTGATTACAAGGCCGTCACAGCCGGGCGGCTGGGGCGGCTGAGGCCGCCCCACTTTTTCGGCCTTTTTTTTTTTTTTTTTTTTTTTTTTGGAGCACATTACAACAAAGCACAATGATCGCAGGTTAGCGCAAACGTGACAAATCCTTGTCCCCAAGCGTGGTTTGTTGCAGAAAAAAGTCTTTCATTGCGGTTACACTGAAATGGCACCAAATGCCTGGAAATGCTTGCAATTGGCTTCAATTTTTGAATTTTTTTCCCGGAGGAGGGTAATGTTTGTCAGTGTCTTCTTCTTTTGTTGCAGAATCAAAAAGACTTTCATTGTAGTTACCGTACACTGAAATGGCACGAAATACCCGGAAATGCTTGCAATTGGCTTTAATTTTTGAAATTTTTCCCGGGGGAGAACCCCCTTCTATGGCCGCCCCACCTCCAAAGTCGGTGCGACGGGCCTGGATTATGCATGTCATGTGCCTGCGCGGCAGAATCTGCTGTCGGTATACTGACTGTTTACTGTATGTTATCTGGTTCTGTGTATGGCACAGGGAAATTGCCGAGAGGCTGTCTTGGACTCGACGGAGAGAATCTTCAGTTTCTTTGATGGTTTTTCAGCAGACACAATTGGTAAGGAGATATAAAAAGGACAAGAAGTATGCAATCCAACACGCTCTGGATCGAGGTCATGATGTCTGAGGCTTGATTGGGCATGCACCCTGAGGGCTGTAGGCTCTAAGGGATTCCTAGCAGTACTGGCCCGCACAACTGTCGACAGCTGTATTGTTGTCCACTTGTTATGCTGCGAATGGGATTATCGGTTCTTGGTCACTTTTAAGGTCAGACCGACTCTTTGTGTGCCATAACTGAACGCATCTAATTTTTGGTTTGGGTGGGTGCCGCTGTTGGACCAGGTGTCAATCATGCAGCATTTTAAACATTGGTGCTGTTCTGGCAATGGAGACATGAATGGAATCAGTCACTGTCAGCTAGAAGAGCACCGTATGTACATATTGTGTTTATGGTGCATGCTATGGAGTGCTGAGGCATAACATGCAAATGTTCCCGCCGCCTCCTTACTTGTCATTTTTGCCCGTATTTGTGTATATTGATTTGTCCTGCGGTTTGTTTTCTTGTTTCAGCCCGTTGGTTCAGGGACAACATAGTCGCTGCTGTGCTTGTTTGTACGTTCATAGCATGGATTATCGGTGGCTCGATAGTCCGATTTTCGGTGAGTGTTTAGTTCTGACTACACAACCCGTGATCGATCACCTCTTTTAGTGAAGTAGTGCAGTAACAGTTACTCTGCTAAGAATCGGTTTCCGGTCCTCACTAGGGGGGCCATGTCCTATCCCATGCCCTGTCCCATCATGCCCTGCCGAGGACCGGAAACTGATTCTTAGCTGAATGTTCAAATGTTCATGTATTGGACAAACAGATGGTAACTGAGGAAGAGACAATAAGGGGATTTAGTCGATCACTGTCAAACACTGTACTGACTCCACTGTCACTCAAAATGCTGTAGTAAGTAGCTTGTGTAACTTGTGTGCCATTGTTTCAGTTTGTTGGTATATATAATGTCATGTATATGTACCATCACTCGAACTTGACAATAGAAGCTGCTTTTCGTATGTGCAGTTACATTGAGCCATGGTGTTTTTGTCTTATGTTTGTGAATCCTTCCCGGAAGCAAATGCTGGTTTTTATGCATTCGTGTAATTACTCAGCGTTATTTGCAATAATAATAATAATAATAAGAAAGGGTTTGCTCCCCACACCGGAGCTCGCGCTATTCCGCCGACTTTACTTGACACATGACTGACGCACGACTGCCATCCAGGGCACACGAGAAGTCCATCGAACCTTCGACTCGGCAAACCTGCAAGAAAGCACCACTCCCTGCTCAATACACAGTGTTTCGGGGAATTCACCCCTCATCAGTTGAGCTTGAGTAGGCTGAGGAAGATTGTGCCTGAAGAGCACCACTTATATAGTGCTCTCCAGGCACAAACATCACCAGGGATACAAACTTACAGAGACGCTCCGTGAACACCAGACAGCAGCGTGAGTCGGTGTCCTGCTTTCTTGCAGGTTTGCCGAGTCGAAGGTTCGATGGACTTCTCGTGTGCCCTGGATGGCAGTCGTGCGTCAGTCAAGTGTCAAGTAAAGTCGGCGGATTAGCGCAAGCTCCGGTGTGGGGAGCAAACCCTTTCTTACAAATCATCGCCGAAGTCGCAACCACTACTTCGTAATAATAATAATAATAATAATAATAATAATATGTACCATGATCAGTCCTGTACTTCTAATGGAGCCAGTCTTCACTATAACTACAATTGTAGCCTTTCCTATGTAGTTTTTGACTTTCTGTGTGGGTATGGAGGTAGCACAGGCTTGGAGCAGGACAGGAGTGAGAGACAGTCAATGTTCCATTGTACAATACCGACATTGCACAGTGACTAGATATCTTCGCTGAATGAGTCCGAATGGCTGTAAAGCCACTTTGTGGATGACTGATAACATCTAACAGGCACTGATTTCTTCTCTCGTTTTCTTTTCTTTTTCTTATGAATCTTCACACATGCCTATGGGTCGCTGGGGAGCAGGACAAGAGAAAGATGAAGAAATTTAACCGCGAATTTGATGTGTACAAGGAGAAGTTTGATGAGGTATGTGGCATCTGAACTGTCTATTGTTTTGCTATTGCTTTGCTGTAACCCGGGACATGCTAGAAGACACCAAGCATGCATCAGCCCAGAGCCCAGTGAACTGAGGGGGTTGTGCAAAACTGGCCATTCTGATGCACTTGGTTATACTGCGTACACTTTCAACTCTTCACCCCGGACCTAGTCGCAGTGTCCACTGATCAAGCCACTTCCATACTAGTTTTGAACAATGTGTTCAGAAACACAATGGATTCCGGAGGGGGGGGGGGGGATTCCTTTATATAGAAATCAGGTGGGGTGATGGGTTGCTTTTGGCAGGAACCTTTGCTTTGGCAAGTGAAGTATCAGTCAAACCATTGGCCTTCACCCCAAAAGTAAAGTTTGTACGTTCGTCTTACCACTTGCTATTACAGTTGTGTTGAGAAACACAACCCCTACTAGGCTGGCTATCACTCGCATGGTTATGCCACCCACACGTTCCATGCACGCATCATGTGTCGACGCTGGAAGCATGGCCATGTTTAGCTGTGTTCGTCGAGGTCAGGAGCCAGTTTATGCGCCTGTCAGCCTGCGCAGGTCGGAGCGCTTGACTATGGTCAAAACTACTCATCCCCACTTTGCATGGCATATGGTCGGCAGATGGTGATAGAAACGTCACACCACATGCTGGTACGACGTTTTGGATGAGCCCCCCCCTTCTCCGACTCACAACATTCCAGATTGCTCGGTCGCTGTGTTGTGGGTGAAGCACTGTCGAAGCGCTGTGTCACAACATCGATCCTTGTTTTTTTCTGTGTGTGTGTGTGTGTGTGTGTGTGTGTGTGTGTGTGTGTGTGTGTGTGTGTGTGTGTGTGTGTGTGTGCATCGTGTGTGCATGTGTGTTCGTGTATATACGTGTGTGTGTACGTGTACGTGTATGTGTATGTATGTGCATGTGTGTTTGTGTATATACATGTATGTGTACATGTACGTGTGTGTATGTACGTGTGTGTATGTATGTGCGTGTGTGTGTGTGTGCAGTACATTGAACATCGTAGTATCGATCCACGCGTGATGACGCGCCGCACATCTGACCGACAACGACGTTCTGGCCAAGGCGTCAGGACGGATAGCCGGAATTTTGAGATGGCACCGCTCATGGAAGAACGACGGATGTGAGTAGTAGTACAGTCATTAACTGCTACTTGGAAGTAGTAGAATGCGGCATGGTGAGAGTATGATGAGAGTGGCATTGCTAGCACATGTACTGTTAGCCTGGTACTCAACAAAATGTGCTTACGAAAACCTAGGATATGCATGGGCATAAGCATGATCGATGCCACCATGAAGACAATACTTCCATCGGGGGCTCCCGTAAGAAGACCATAGGTCTGTGGGAAACACCCTAGTAAAATAAAAGTTAATAATACATGTAATAATAAATTAATAATGTACCGTGAAACCGTGATGTCTCTCGTAAGATGACCGCCCAAGGGACCTTCATAACGTGGTCTCTGTTACCAGGTGGTCTCCTTATCCAGGGTCGTTTGACTGGAAATAACATTCCTTGGTCCTGGTTTCAGTGGCCTTCTGGGACAGGTGGTCGCCTTATCCGGGGTCATTTGACTGGAAATAACATTCCTTGGTTCTGGTTTCAGTGGTCTTCTGGCACACTGGGTGGTCTCCTTATCCAGGGTCATTTGACTGAAAATAACACTCCTTGGTCCTGGTTTCAGTGGTCTTCTAGGACTGGTGGTCACCTTATCCGAGTGGTCACTGCCTTGACAGGTTTTACTGTGTCTGCCAGTGTAACACTGCATGCCTAGTGCAATTAACATTGAAACTGGAGAGTCTAGCCTATACTCACTGACAGTGTATACAGTCGTCCCTCTCTAATCCGGCACTTTATAATCCAGCACCCTCGATAAACCAGCACGATTTTCAGTAGCCAAAATGTCCTCTTCGTACACATTGCAGCAGTCAATCAGATTTGTTAATCCAGCACCCTCCCTAATCCAGCAGATTTTCGTGGCACAAATGGTGCCGGATTATAGAGGGACCACTGTAGTTCGAACGAACCACTCACTTGCCATCCTCTTTTATAGCTATTACCACGGATAAGTAATGCCTGACTTCGCTTATTTCCTTTTTTGCTTCGTGATAAGTAATTAGTTGCATCGATAGAGTTTGGGGACTTGGAATTAGCTACAAGTACAGTACAGGCCCGCCGGAACCGGTCCGGTTGGTCAGGTTATTACCGGACCAACTCATTGGCCATCAACACGTGTTTACCACTGTGGAGGGCATGTGTATCCACCATATCAATACACAAAGTATGAAAGGCCACAATACCACCAGACCAATCGAAACTTGCCAGCTTCCAGCGGTCCTGAAGTATGAGTGTACTTACTACTCGGAGTGATGATATCATGGATGCAGCTAACGTGCTTGATTTGCCCCCTTCCGGGCACTGATTGTGAGACTTACCACCTCACCCTCACCGCAAGGAGCTGCATCTGCCACCCGATGGCATCTCAGGCATGGTGGTGGCCTGACACAAGGAAACCTTCCTTTTAATAAATCCGGTAAATGCTGGTTGTGTTTCTCCACACACAATTGCATAGTAGGTGGTCACGCAAACATGTGAACTGCACGTTTCACATGTTACTTTTTTGAATGAGTGTACCAACAGAATTTGGCCATTCTTTGTGTTTCGATCCTCCGCAGGATTCAGTGAAAGTACTCATCCACGGACCCGTCCACAAACTGACATCATGGCTTTCCCAATCTCCGTTGTCGTCCGCAAGTTCCTGCAGTCAATGCTAGTGGCGGCGGCTCTAGCTTGGTTGTTTGTAAAGTAGAACAAACGCTGCACATTTTGCATATAGCCTGGGGTCCAGATGACTTGCTTGCGTGCTGATGATTCCTGCCCGTGTGCGTGCTTTCGAAACCTGCTCAGACAATCTGATAGCCGTCTGCCTGCATATTCCCATGGCAATTTGATCTCAGTGCTGCGTGTGCTTGAAATTGTACTTGTAATACCCATAGGCTACCCACCTCGATCTCCCAGGATACGGTGTTTTAGAGTGATTTATTGATAAAGCCAATGATGGCGTCTAGGAACCCCCGTTTTCTCAGGAAACATTTGATACAGCAAATTGGACATATTGACATGAACATCATTTCAGTTAGTCGGACTGCCAAGGTGCCGTCCACTAGGTATAACTTTGCTGAAAGCATGAACAAAACAAAACAAAACAAAATTAGACCGTTAGTAAACTATGAGCTGGAACTGCCTGCAATGCTTTCAGTGCTGTGTTTTACACCAGTCTTTGTGGTGCTATGCCATGTTATCATACCTTGTCTCCAGGCAGCATTCAGTCCTATCATCACGCAAGTCTTCTCACTGCTTCTAGTTCTGGCCTGTTGCAGTCACGCTGCTTCCTAGCACTTTGCAGAGCAACACTTTAATTTTAAAAGGTGTTTCATATCATGATTTTCAGCTGGATACAATTTTGACAATCTCTGTTTCACATTAGGTTTGAAGTGCTAGTCTGTAGATGAACCGGTCTACAAGTCCATTTGAAAAACAGTTCATGCCCTTGATTTGTGTTTGATAGACTCTACTGGGAACTGGCACTGGGCCCGGTACATGAGTGGCCTGTCAGGACAAGTCATGTTCACAACTGTACACTGCTTCACTGGATGGTGTTCTCTCCGTTATGTGTGATGTCATAGCGTAGACCCATAAGTGGCTTTAATAGTGTTGGCTCAGAGTCTGAGCATTGACAAAAAACACAATGCAGTTGGGTATACTATGCAAAATACTTTCTTTTAACATCTGGCTCGCTTCCTTTTATGCATTCAGACCTCACTTGTATCAGCTTCCGTAGCCAACCCAATGTCATAGATAAGTTTCATTCAGTTTTGCTATTGCCAGAGTATTGGGGGTTGGCAATCCCAGGTAGAAATAGCATGTTGTATATTAAATTTGTATCACTGCAACAACATCATATCCTGCATGAGTGCATGCTTACAGAAACACTGAACCCTTAGTTTGTGTACTGCTGAACCGATTGCACTGGAATGATGTTCTCTTGTCATGTATACCACCACCAGTGACGTGACAAGGATTGACTGTAACCATAACAGCATTATTGCTTCAGGAAATCAGCCGGCATCGATTCATACTTTGTCTCCATCTTCGAGAGCTCTTGCCTGGTGACCGTCGAGTGGTCGCCAATGCTCTCCTGGCAGAGCGCCGCCAGCATGTCACTACGTCGCAGAGCAGCCACCAGTCCCGACGACGTGGACAGTGCAGCGTCCAAGCCGTGCTCTAGGCAGTAGTCAATGAAGCCGGCCATCCAGGCACTGCCGCCGCCCAGCTGATCTGCCGGCCTGTGGTGGATGTAGACTGGCTCTGTGCTGAACACACCACCATCCAGCGTACACAACACACTCCAGCGTTTCTGCGTGCCACCGGACTCGGCATCGCGCGATTTGAAGCAGCAGACGAGACGCTTCACGCCGAGGTGCTTTGCAACGTCTTGCATTCGCCGTATCTGCGACGCGTGTGTGCCGTCGTCGTCTTCATTCGCACTGGTCAGACCGTTGAGTTCGGCCAGTTGTCGTAGCGAGTCCAGAGCCACGACGAAGACCTGTAGGTCCTTCAGGTGTGGCTGCACACACTGCATGAGCTCAGAAAGCGGTCCAAGCTGTGCACGGTGATTCAGATCCATGCTGCATGGTATGCCTTTGTCGCGAGCCGTTCTCAACGCCGCGTGCCAGCTTGTCCGCGGCGCTTCGGCAATCATGGGTGTAATGCCCGTCATGTGCAGCCAATGCTGCTGACTTGGCCCGGCCAACAGGTCACTCCAAGCAAAGCGGCCGGGGTCGTGCAGGGAGAATGCCGAGCGCCGGCGCTGATAGTGCACCGTGCGCTGCTCGGGCAGGACGGTGAACGTGCCGACGTCCGCACCGTCCGTCGCCAACACTGCACTGGTGTCCACGCCGCAGTCCAGCGCACTGTCCATGATCACCTGGCCCATCGGGCCCTCGGGTAACACCGAGCACCACCTGGCCTGCCTGCCTAGCTGACACAGCGCCACACATACGTTCAGCTCGTCTCCCCCGACCGACCTCAGGAAGAGGGTGGGCTTGTGTCGATCGCTGGCACTGCGACTGTCGTCGGCCGGCGCATACCGTATCATGGCCTCCCCGAAGCTGATCAATTCGCGAGACATGGCTACACGTAGTTTTGATCAGTTCGCAGTTTAGTTCGGATAGAAGGAGGGAGAAGCCCGCAGTGGTCTCGGATCGGGAGCCGCCTCTGGATCACCACCGCAGTGTGGTTCTGGGGTCGCTCACCAGACCAGTGACCTGCTGCACCGAGCTCAGTAGACTTCTCGATCTTACCGATTCCCAAACTAACTTGTAGTCTACTGAGTTCTTCTGCAATTCCGGTTCTTCGTCTCGAGCAGAAGGATATTTTGGATAGCGATATTGCAGAACGAATGAATAGCGAAATAGTCGCCCCTAGGCTATAGTATAGGCCTACAAGTACAACTAACGTTACCTTTCACGTCAAGCAATCTGTTCACGCCACATGGCTGGATTGGATAGCGCGTACATGCAGACATGATTGAAGACTTGCAAAATCAATTTTTTTACAAGTCCAGGCGCTAGGCGCTAGGCCTAGGCAGTACTAATGCCAAAGGCTAATGCCCAGGCGCTAGGCAGCTGACTTTATTTTCGGAGAAACACTACTCATTGTAGTAAAAAGTAACAATGAATAGCGACATCATCTAGGAAGGATCGCTACCCTAACGCAAAGGAAAGGCCTTGCGCGGCTGCTCTACGAAGTGTTGAAGAAAGACTCATCAAAGTTAGTTGGTGGACGAACAACTCGCTGGCGCCGGAAAACTTGGCCCCCACAGATGGTGTTTGGTGAATCATCAAGCATAATGTCTTGTAGCAGTGTTCACCGAGGAAGGAGAACGCTCTAGCCGCTGCTGTTGTCCGTTTCATCCACGTTGGGCGTTAGCTGCACCGCGCCTATTGTGTTTTAGTATTCCATGGACACAATTAGCATTCAGAGCGATTGTGGAGCCACAATTTACTTCACACAGCGTTGTATTGTCCACGAGCGCAAACTTCATTATCAGCAGTAACTGTTACTCTTCATCCTACATGTAGATTTGGAGTATACACGGCCTTGTCATGACAGCGACAGCTCTACAGAGTGTTCAAGTGAGAAACATTAATTTCAATTGTTGGTGGACGAATAAATGGCTGGTTCCGAAAAACGCGGCCTGCACCGATGGTGTTTGGTGGATCATCAAACAGGGTGACCAGCAGTGTTCACCGAGGAAGGAGAATGCACTCGCCACCACTCCGATTCATCCAAGTGGGCGTTAACTGCGCCGCGCCTATTGTGTTTTAGTATTCCATGGACGCACACTAGCGTTCTCAGCGATTGTGGAGCCACAACATATCTTCATGCGGCGTTGCACTGTCCAAGAGCAGAAACGTCAGCAGTGACCCATCATCATACATGTAGATTTGGAGTATACACACCATGCGCCAATGGGCCTTGGCACAACAGCGGCAGCTCTACGGAGTGTTCAAGTGAGAAACATTTGTTTCGACTTTTGGTGGACGAACAAATCGTCGGTGCCGAAAAACGTGGCCTGCGCCGATGGTGCTTGAAACATCAAGCATGGTATGTGGTGACTGCGCGAAATACACAACAGTAGCACAGCGGAAAGAATAACTGATTGAACAGAAGCGTTGCTTTGTGTGTTTGCGCACAGGGCACCGGTCAACTCAGTGCAAGGCCACCCGCAAGTGTAATGTGTGTTCTCGCATGGGTCACCAATCAGAGTCACCATCATGTCACGATCTGCCCTGAATCGGTCCCTTTAGTCCTTCGCCGAACGCGAAGGACTAAAGGGACCGTCACTTAATTTTTGCCGACTACCCGCCAAAAAAATCTCTTCGTTTCACGTGTCAGGCACGTCCGCGAGCGCGTACGACTCGCGCTCGCCCGCGTTACCTTTCACGTCAAGCCTATGTAACTTACTGCATAGGGTGCAAGGTGACCGCTGTCGGTTTACATGTACTCCAGTTATTACACCGTGCATGCACTGAGTCTGTGCTGCAATGTGCATCCATAGGTGTTCGTTTGCGGTAGCGCAAGGTGACACGTAAGGTTGATGTATTGTTTTGTCCGCTGCTATTCGAAGCTCTCGGAGTCGGAAGCGTTACCTCTGTTTCCCCTGTTCCTCCCTGCGCGGAGTCTGTAGTTCTGGCTTGCAGTCGCTGTTACATGCATGTTGGCAGTTGCATGTGTTTTGGTTTTCAGTTGTCTTTATTTGTTTTGTGTGGACGACAGTTCAATATTCTAGCAGTTGTTGCACTTCCTACATTCCGTAGTCATTATGCGGTTGGTGTTCGAGAGAGAAAACTGTGTTCTTCTCCAGAGTGGAGTAAACCATTCGCTTGTGTCTGAGGAAAACCCTGTGTGTTGACGAAGAGGTTGACTTGGCTGTAGAGTGAAAGTACCACATGGTCACATGGTCCACAAAATCTTAGAACTATTATATATAAACTTAGGGTCTTCTGGCGTATGGTATAATTATATGAGCAGCATGAGAGTGAAGTAAAAGACTATTAGCTCAAACATTCAGTCTTTCAAGAGTAGGTGTTTCATCACGGAATAGGTTCTGCAGTTCACTTACACACTGCAACAATGGACCAGCAGTGTCCAGCATACAATAGAGTCATGTGAATATGTACCGTATGCATACTCACAGCTGCAAGGCCAGCGCCCCGTGGCTGCTTGACTTCTCAATCGATATAAATATTCACAACAGTATTAAAGACTCTGTGATCAATCAGAGCTGTGCTTCGAAGTAGTCACAAATGCCCCATGATCAGTCACAAAACTAAACTTGGCAACCAGTCACAGCTTCCACGGTGCCCCAAGACCAGTCACCAGAGATGACCGTAGTAAATCTGCAGGGAGTTTCATAATCTGTTCATTGCAGAGTCCACTATACAGGTCGTCCCCCGTTAATACGAGTCCGGTTAGTACATAAACCCCGTTAGTACATAAGAAATCTCAAGTCCCGGACGAAACGTGGTCACTTCCATACAAATTTTGTCGGTTAGTACATAATCCGTTAGTACATAAACCCCGTTAGTACAGTCATAACATTTCTCCGTACCCGCATGTCACCTACCTCAATAGTACATAATTTACTGGTCTTTTGGCCTTCCAGTGGAGGAACATCATGTTCTAGTTTCTACTTGTGGACGCAATTAGCATAGAAATCAGAGCGCACATCACAAACCGACAAAGCTCTGTTTTTTTTCGAGTGACTGTACAGGTGCGCGCGGCGGGGCATGTACAATGTCAACTGTAGAATCTTCGCTAAATGTGACCATTATAACATAATTTTTATGTTATATCGAGGGAATCAAGAATATCTCGCTGCCTAGTCATGGAAGCAAGAAACACTCAGAAAAGTTGAAAAAAGTGAAAAATTCTGCTATACAAGCAAGTTATGTACACTTTCGTTTAGTACATAAACCCCGTTAATACATAACATTTGTCAAATCCCAGAGATTATGTATTAACGAGGGACGACCTGTACTATGATTCAAGAGGGGGGTAGCGTTCCTGCGGATGCGGAAAACTTGGCTGGAACCCGAGTGTCACGTGAACCCTGATTTTTAAGACTTTTATTATTTGTTTTACGATGAGCCTATTATACGCGATACAGGCTCAGAACACACTTTTCGTCTATTTGGCATATCAGGGATATAGGGCGGAGCAGCCCATATCCCCAATTATGACACGCGAGTTATAGTGAAATACGATTGGCGTATTGTGCTGGACTGACTGCGGTAATGTAAAGCTAAAATCAAGCAGTCAGTTTGCCCTTAGCATGGCCTTGTCATGAGGGTGCCACATCCGTGGAAAGGCAACATGCCGGCTAATCTCCCTGAGAAGTTGAGTGGTTATCAGCAGGCGATGACGCTGTGTCGATGATGACCTGTTGATGCCCGACAGGAACCTTGCGAGGAGAGTCATTGGGCCCGACGGGTAGGTAAAGCCAACTTCCACAGTTTGCGGATGGCCGACATGTAGACATGGACAGATCGGGGCTGAAAAGTTCTGAACAACTCGGCAGCAAAATAACACATAAAGTAAAAAGTCATCACCTGGCAATGGATTCCAGTCATGCCCTTGACAGAACTGGAAGTAACGGGTATCGGCGGAAAAATATTTCCGGCTGGTGCCAGTGCTGCTAGCTGCAGCACGGAGTCCGGCAACTGAGAGTTGGCAAGACTGGCTGATCTGGCTCAGCTGCTGCTTCCGGAGCCCTCGATGGTTCAAACACCATCGGCGCAGGCCACGTTTTTCGGCACCACCGATTTGTTCGTCCACCAAAAGTCAAAACAAATGTTTCTCACTTGAACACTCCGTAGAGCTGCCGCTGTTGTGCCAAGGCCCATTGGCGCATGGTGTGTATACTCCAAATCTACATGTATGATGATGGGTCACTGCTGACGTTTCTGCTCTTGGACAGTGCAACGCCGCATGAAGATATGTTGTGGCTCCACAATCGCTGAGAACGCTAGTGTGCGTCCATGAAATACTAAAACACAATAGGCGCGGCGCAGCTAACGCCCACTTGGATGAATCGGAGTGGTGGCGAGTGCATTCTCCTTCCTCGGTGAACACTGCTGGTCACCCTGTTTGATGATCCACCAAACACCATCGGTGCAGGCCGCGTTTTTCGGAACCAGCCATTTATTCGTCCACCAACAATTGAAATTAATGTTTCTCACTTGAACACTCTGTAGAGCTGTCGCTGTCATGACAAGGCCGTGTATACTCCAAATCTACATGTAGGATGAAGAGTAACAGTTACTGCTGATAATGAAGTTTGCGCTCGTGGACAATACAACGCTGTGTGAAGTAAATTGTGGCTCCACAATCGCTCTGAATGCTAATGTGTGTCCATGGAATACTAAAACACAATAGGCGCGGTGCAGCTAACGCCCAACGTGGATGAAACGGACAACAGCAGCGGCTAGAGCGTTCTCCTTCCTCGGTGAACACTGCTACAAGACATTATGCTTGATGATTCACCAAACACCATCGTTGGGGGCCAAGTTTTCCGGCGCCAGCGAGTTGTTCGTCCACCAACTAACTTTGATGAGTCTTTCTTCAACACTTCGTAGAGCAGCCGCACAAGGCCTTTCCTTTGCGTTAGGGTAGCGATCCTTCCTAGATGATGTCGCTATTCATTGTTACTTTTTACTACAATGAGTAGTGTTTCTCCGAAAATAAAGTCAGCTGCCTGGGCATTAGCCTTTGGCATTAGTACTGCCTAGGCCTAGCGCCTAGCGCCTGGACTTGTAAGTTGTAACAAAATATTGATTTTGCAAGTCTTCAATCATGTCTGCATGTACGCGCTATCCAATCCAGCCATGTGGCGTGAACAGATTGCTTGACGTGAAAGGTAGCGCGGCCGCCGGGCGAGCGCGAGTCGAACGCGCTCGCGGACGTGTCTGGCACGTGAAACGAAAAGATTTTTTTGGCGGGTAGTCGGCAAAAATTAAGTGACGGTCCCTTTAGTCCTTCGCGTTACTTTACAAGTCGCCGTAACCCAGGTAACACTGACGAGTGACGGGAGAGGACGTAAGAACCAGTCGGGAAAGCTGGGGGATCCGGGACGGCGGGAGGGGGCGAGCTGGACACGACATACCGGTAATCAAGGTAATCAGATGCAGACTCAGTAGCTGGCTGTGCTGCACTGATGATCATGATCACTGATGATGTATCCATGGACCATGGTATCTGTGCATGCTAGACCGGGGGCTCGATACCTGTACCGCGCCGCGGTACAGGTATCGAGCATCCGAGGACATGAATGGTAGATCTACGAGCGAGGCCGAGGAGGCCGAGGGCGAAAATCTTCAAATCCAAAATCTTCGGAGCTTCCTCTCTGTCATCATGGTCATGACTAAGATCTACATGACCTGACCGATAATATTGTCGCGACCCAGAGGCCAGACCATGGACTGGTAGGTCTCCGGATAGCTACAGGCCAGCCAGTAGCTCCATCAAGGCAAAATGCCAGGGTTGAAGCCATGCGATGAGCACGAGATGGCAGCAGCAGATCAGCAAGAAGGAGAGTGACAGGTAGAGATAGGAGTCTGTGGGATGGTCATGGGTAGATCTACGTTTTGACACCTGTGTTATTTGGAGCGAGCCAGTTGGTGAAATTCACTGAATGATCGCTAGCTGGGACGCAATTATTTACCGGGCGTATTTTCCTCAAATAATTCATGCACCGCATTAGCGTGCGTGCTCCTGAAAATCCAACACTAAAACAGTCGTTCCAAGCCACTCAACTCGTGTCCGAGTAATACCAGAATGGATCCATCCGAAGCTAAGGCGCGAGTGGAGGAAGCGGTTGAGTTTGTGAAGCGCCACAAAATCGTGGCCATTCTGCGAGCTGCCAATCCGGAGGCAGCAGTTGCACGCGCCCTGGAGCTTGCCGAGCTGGGATGTCGTCTCATTGAGATTACGCTGGACACTACTGACTTTGAGAAGGTGGTGAGAGAGCTGTCAGAGAAGCTACCCAGCTCATGCATGCTCGGTGTCGGCACGGTCATGGAGGCCGACAAGGTCAACGAGCTGGTTGCCATGGGACTGAACTTCCGCTTCTGCCTGTCGCCCATCAACCCGGAGGGCTTTGTGGCGCGCTGCCATGCCAACGGCATCATGGCCGTTCCGGCGGCGTTCACGTCCAACGAGATGTGGAAGGCGCATCACACCGAGGGGGCGCGCATGATCAAGCTGTTCCACGCCAGTCTGATTCCGCCGGCAACGCTGAAGGGCATGCTGGGGGTCGGCCCGCTGGGTGCAATGAATATCATGCCGTCCGGTGGTATTGATGCTGATGCTGCTCCAGCATGGTTGGCTGCAGGTGCGGCCAGTCTCGGCATGGGCAGCAAGTTTGCCGGCAAAGACATCCAGCTGGTCGAGGGTGATCCCGGCCTTGAAGCGGCGAAGCAGGAGTGGGCGCAGAATGGCCGAGGAGCGGTGAAGAGGCTCATGGATAGTTTGAAAACCCAGTAAGCCATGCTGGCCGCTGCTCAGTGTCTGCTGATATGTGTGGACGACACACCGTCTTCTCACGGTCGCACGGCCTTATCGACCGTGATCATGTTTATGATTCAGACATTGTTCTGTGAGCCTATCCACCGTTGCTTAGTCAGCATCTACTACTGTGACATATTGCTGGATGACTCGGATCTTTTGCTTTCTATCGTGACTCAGGCATATTGTGTCGGTGACATTCAGTCAACCTTGCGAATACCGGCCCATGGTCCATGGATCAGGCATGAGAACAGTATTGCTATTCGCCAGGTTAGACTGGTGAGTATGCAGGCAAATCATGAGTTACTTGGTCTGAAGATTATAGGTCGTCACTCATTCATGAGTTTTTGTTGTATCAGTGAGGGTGTATATGCCGGATTCGTGGGGCTGCCGTACTTCAAGCTGTAAAACCTTCTTGCGCCGCTCAGCTGACTTGCTGCTGTGACTGTGAGCTGGATGGTGTCAAGTAACCCCTTGCATGCATGATGGTTGTGTGTGCAGTGTGTATGCATGTGTGTGTGTGTGTGTGTGTGTGTGTGTGTGTGTGTGTGTGTGTGTGTGTGTGTGCGCGTGTGTGTGTGTGTGTGTGTGTGTGTGTGTGTGTGCGGCGGTGTGTGTGTGTGTGTGTATGTGTGTGATGTGATGTCACTGGTTGTTGCCAGCCGAAGAGAAAACCAACAATAATGGCAGTATTGAAGTTGTCACAGTGTTGAATGTGACGCATCATACGGTCATGATGTGAGCCCGGCGAAATCATTCTGCAGAGCAGCAGTATTAACTGTTTACTTGGTCTAAAGAAATCATGTGACTTGACCGGCATACGGTTGAGTTGCCGAAGCAAGGGTTCATCTAAATCTGGCAGTGGCAACAAAACTTGAACTCGAAACGCCTGGATGACCCCCTCGGCAATAATTGTAACAAAAGTACGATACTTTAATTAACGTGACTGTATTCATTTAGGCTGTCATCACACCATGGTACAAAGCGCTGCGTCTACGTCCACGTAAGGAGTTTTTGGTCGGTTGTCATGATGATTCGTATACGGGGTGAAAACGGAGCAGAGGAAACGGGAGACGTAGACGTGGTATGGTATACGACTTTTTGTACGAACGTGCGTATCTCCCCCAGCCTTTTTCAGAGCGACCCTGCACTTCGATGTACATGTACGTGCGTTCAAATTTCTCCAAAACCGGGCCCTGACTGTGTGTACGCGTCAAGAACTGTTGCTGTCTGAATCTGATGAGACGACCACCCGTTTTGGTTTTCCATAGACGTGGACGTAAACGGGAGTCGGAGAACGTAGTGTGATGATGGCCTTATTGCACAGTTTGCCACCCCCCCCCCCCCCCCCCAGGCCCCAGTCCGGCTGCCACGGGGTGCGGACTGCTCATCTCAGTGCACTGAGGTGGCCACTGTGATGATCATGCCGGTATTGGCTATCCCCCGGCGTGTGCTAGGGTCACTGACACCGACAGCCCGCCGACTAGTCCCACTGAAACGTTCGCGGCACTGGTTCCGGCGTTACCATGGTTACCCTCACGGTTCCAGCTCGGCAAGGCACCTTGAACTGGTACTGTCATTACCGTGGCAAACTGCGCTCCCGGGCCGTCCACTGAATGAGCAATTAGTACTCCCTGCTGTACATCAAATAATTCAACTGTTCTTTATTATTATTAATATTATTAAATTTTGAATAGGGCAGTCCTTGCTTGTGAGGAACTCAGTTCTTATTCTCTAACTTACAAAAAAAGGAGTGGTTGGTGGACGGTGTCCGTGGTGTTGCCGGGAAGCCGACAGCCTGGAGCACTTCCACACTCAGCCTCCAGATTGTCAGTTGGAGAAGGCGCGTGCCCCGCCGGGTTCCTGGGTGCCCGGAACCCCCCCTTTTTTCGCTCAAAATGCAGGATTTTTTGAATTTTTCCCGGGAAGGCCCCCGGAATCCCCCCCCCCCTTGAAGGGCACTGTGGAGTAATCCGTATAACCGTGGGGAGTTCCTGCGCCTTCAAGACTTGAGTCAGAGACCGGGCCATGGTAGACTGTCTGACTTGATACCATGGCTTGAGCCCCGGCCCCGTGAGTGAACCTGTACCGGTCACCGTCATCAGATCATGCGGCCATGGAGGCCATAGTCATGGTGGAGTATAACCTCCCTACATGTAGGCCCTTGGGAGCTTATTCAATCACCCTCTAGCTCTTGGCCTTGGTGGCATGTCTGTCAGTGCAGTGTCACAGTCACTATGTGTAGGGCGAGTCCCTGGTTGGTGCCCCCGCCCCCCTCCCCCATTCCGCAGATCATGATCCGCTCAGTCTTCCCAGCATGCCACCCAAACCATGCAGATGCAAACAGCACTTGACTTGAACAGTTGAACTAACTAATACTTGAAGCAACAAAAAAAGGACTGCAGCCTGGCCTGAGCAACTATCGCAAGTCATCATTTTACGACCTACTACAATGTCATTGCGCAACTGCCACAGCCGATCGCACAATCGTGCGGTTTTTGATTTCAGAAAACTGCATCTACGAAATTTTAGTGCTGAGAACAATTTTGATTGAATCTAAATACAGTAATTGGCAATATTCATCTCGTACTTCCGCGATCTGTGTTTTAGTATTGCCTGTTAAAGATTGCCAGTATCGTGGTTGGAGAAAGAGTTACTAGTAGATTAGTTTGGCCAATCTGGGAAACATGTCCCGTCTCAATAAGGGACATCAACTGCTGACTGCGTGTCGTCGCTTGTCCAATGTCAAGCTTCACGAGCAAGACGCTCACAGCAACCAGCAGGCCTTTGCCCAGACTCGTGCCGCATCTAGCTGTGTAGAAACGATCCGTCAAGCAAGGCCTTCCCTTGATCAGCCAGTACTCAGCTCGGGAGATAACGTTCAATTCAAAGTTCCTGAAAAGGAGACGAAAATTTCAAATCTCCAAAATGGAATGAAAGTAGCCACTGAGAATTCCTATGGGCAGTTCGTCACAATTGGACGTAAGAACCACTTGAAATGTAGTAACCTAAAAAGTAACTGTTTTATGTTACTAGTATCTGTGACTCACTCATATCGAAATTCGTCGTTGTACGAGGGTTATGGAGAATATCGATAAGTTCTTTCAATTGATTAATTCTGATGGAATCCACTGATTCACCATTGCACCAATCACATTGTAGGGCGAGCACTGGATTAGTCACAGCCATGACCAAATCGACCAATTACATCCGACGTTTGAGAATACACGCTTATGTTCGAAACAGCACACTACAGTACGTTACATACAGTCGACTCCGCTTTATGTAACGAACTCGCAGATAGCGAATTCGATATAACGAACTAGTGTCCATGTCCCTGTTTGGACCTATACAAAATTGACCCTTTATGGTGAACAGCTTTCGTTTATACCGAACCATATCTCTAGTCGTAGCGCCAGATGTAAACCAGGTGCCCTAATACTGCCATAGGCCACATGCCAGTCATAACGTGTTGCTTCTATGGTGTGAGCGCATTTTGGTTTATATTAGAACTTTGGCTATAAAGAACTCATTGTCCTGCACAATGGTGTTCGTTACATCAGGAGTCCACTGTATAATTATAATAGATGTTAAATGTATATCATTGAGAGCCTGAAACAGACACCACATCTCTCTATATTTTTATGGCTAAACCTATCCGACACCTGGTCAAGTTGTGACATTTTTCTCACTGGTGTGCATCATGATATCTTTGCTATCATGACTGATCGAATCACAAATCCAACAACCTCGTGTCTAAGCAGCCTGTGCAATACATTTCCGGATTTGCGACTGGACACAGCCGATTGCCACAAACTCCAGTGCATGTAGTCTAGTAGACCCTGTGCTGAAGTACATGATATGATTATGCCAGCGACCCGTCTCTCTGATCTTCTCGGTGTGTGTGTGTGTGTGTGTGTGTGTGTGTGTGTGTGTGTGTGCGCGCGCGCGCGCGGAATGAGTGAGTACTGAACGCTGCTCCGAAGACTTGACCAATGCCTCCTGTACTTATCAGATGCCTGTCTGTGTTTTTTCTCGTTCTTGGCTCTTGGCGGGTGCTTAGTTTTCCCTCGCATTGGTTCACGCTTCGACGATGGCTACACGCCAGGGATATCGCACGTCCTGGAACGTATGGCCTTCACGGTATGTCCACAGTGTTCAGTGTGCATGTACTGCATGTGCTGCATGGTGTGTATCGACCGCAATGGAAGTGCTGTGCTTATTTGTACACTTGATTTTGATAGCCACTGCGGAATGTACGTGTATGTTGCATAGTGTTAGCAACTCAAGGTAGGCAACCGGCATGTACCCTAGAACTAATTTACTAGACCAGCCAACCTACTTTGAAGTACTAGTACTAGGTCTCGGTCCCACTATATTTTTCGTCCTGTACAGTGTAGTATGTGTATGTTCATGAGGATGCCACCGCTTGTGGTGTGTGTGCGTGCATGTGTGCGTGTGTGTGTGTGTGTGTGTGTGTGTGTGTGTGTGTGTGTGTGTGTGTGTGTGTGTGTGTGTGTGTTATCACTTATCAGTGTTGCTTGTACTTTGACATGGAGAGTTGTCCTCTTCTACTGCATTGCACGCGCCTATATTATAGGCATTTAAATTGTGCAATGCTCTGAATAATGTGTACAGGGATCTCGAAAGTACCCATCACGGGCACACGTGATGGCAGAGCTGGACCAGTACGGTGGCTTAGTTGACTGCCAGTTTCACAGGTTGGTCGTTGTTGTCTTCAATCCTTCTTTCTCTGCTTCTCCATTGCATTGCTTTGCCTAATCTTAGTTCTTAGAAGCTCCTGTCCAAATGTGTCTGTATAGACCTTATGCATGCTGTACAGATGTGCGAAATCCCGTGGAATCTAGTAGAAACCGCGTAGAATCCCGTAGACCCGGTTGGGTGTCGAATGTGCAGGACCCTATTGTGTTTACAGCTATGTCCACTAAGAAACGGGCCCTGAAGGCATTTCATACGAAAAACTTTTTTCGGACAAAGATCTAGCTAGTCATTAGTTCTATCCAAAAGTGACGAAGCTCGAAAAGCGATTGTCTGCCGTTGCTAATTGGGCTAAATTGTGCAAATGCGCATGTATAGCACACAATGAACATCCAACCGGGCAGGTACACATACACACCTGCAGTCCATTTCAAAAATATAGACGCATGGTATTTTTGAAATATTTCAAAATTTGGCTGGAGTTTTTTTGAGAATTTTTTGAGAATATTGCTCAGGTCCTTCCCGCAATTGCTCTCATATGGATTTTTAAGTGATCTGATAGCAAACGCCCAATTTCGAAATTTTTATGCACAAAGTGAACACAGATTTTATGTCGTATAGGTGCTGGCCTAACGGTTTTTTGAAATCACGCGTCTAATATTTTTGATAGATCAGCCCTCCCCTGGTTACCTAGGAGAAGGAGAAATTCCATACTGAAGAGCAATAAATTGTTGTGGCTCTTCCATGGAGGTGGAGCAATGACAAAAGTAGCATGTTCTCTTTACATCGGTTGGTTGGTTCCTTGTTGGACGTTTTGAGATATGCCGTGCACACACTTTCCCCATACCATTGCATTCTGTGTATCATGTATTGCTGTATTGCTATGCAGGGAAGTCGGAGTGTACACATTGTCAGTCCTGGCCAATGGCCTTGAGAAGGCCATGGAAATCCTAGCAGACGTCACACTGCACCCGCAGATATCCCAGGAACGAGTATGTATATTTGTATACTCTCACTAGTATTGTCTTCTGAGAAGTTAGATTTATCTTTCGAAATTGCTATTCAACAATGGCAAGCGATTTGAAGAGAAAAGGACTGGAGGTCCACTTTAATTTCTCTCATTTTCTTCAAAATAAACCATGTTCATTTCGAGTTTATCCTCTCTGCTCAAACAGCCATTTTTAAAACACCATACTTTAATATGCAGTGTACATTCGGATTTTCTGTCTGGTGTTCCTAATGAACAGCCCCCTCCCCCTCCCGGCCCGAATATAGGTTTTAAATTCAGGAGTTTTAGATGACATGTGTGTGTGTGTGTGTGCGCGTGCGCGCGCGTGTGTGTGTGTGTGTGTGTATGTGTGTGTGCGTGTGTGTCTGTGTGTTGTAGCTGGAAGAGGCACAGACTGCAGTGATGTTTCACTTGGAGGATCTGGACATGCAGGCCAACCAAGAGCAACGGCTAGCTGATCTAATTCACCGGGTACGCATGCTGTAACCGTAACCATTCTGATATAATTCACCGGGTACGCATGCTGTAACCGTAACCATTCTTTCTATACCAGTGCCTGGATGCTCTGCAGTGCAACTTCTAGTATTCCTGTTTAGTGTAAGAGTTGAATCTCTATCGGGGCACAAAGTCTAACAATTTTACGGAAAAAATCCATCGTTAACTCAAGAAACTTGGCTATGGTGGGAAACTTTTGCAAACCGTTAAACGTTAGACTCGTCCCACTTTCAACTCCTGCAGTATGTAACTGTTATAACTACAACTGTGAGGCCTCATCTGATCATGTTTTTGCACGGCACATGATTTGTGGAGAATTGTAGTTTTGTAGTATTGGCTATGCGTGTAGCACTGGGTGTGGTAGGTACGTATACTTGAACGGCGTGTTTCATGTGCGCGTGTGTGTGTGTGTGTGTGTGTGTGTGTGTGTGTGTGCGTGTGTGTGTGTGTGTGTGTGTGTGTGTGTGTGTGTGGTGCCTGCATGTATGCATATGTGCGTGCCAGCGCTTTGCATTCCTATGAATACATATGACGGATGTACAATGATCATGTGCATGCTGTGGCCCGTGCTCATGCCATGCACAGGCTGCGTACGGTGACAGTGGTCTGGGCCTGCCTCGCCTTTGTCCCGATGACAACGTGAAGAAGATCACGAATGAAGAGCTGGTGCGATACTTGCGCGCAAAGATGTGCCCGTCCGACATGACCCTAGCAGCTGTAAATGTGGACCACGAGCAGTTTCAAGCACTGGCCGAGCAGTACTTTGGAACAGGAGAGCCCAGCTGGGGCAAGATGGCAACCAGCACAGAGCCCTGTGCCCCCGCAGTCTACAAGCCATGCTTTGTAAAGGTAGGTACTAGGTAGGCACAGGTACACGTGGCGTTATTCTGTTGCTTTGTTTCTCTGAATGCTGTGTAGCAAGTGAATGAGAGAACTGTAACGTGCACAGCCTCCTGTCTTTCCCCAATCCATCGTTGCAATGCGCTTTTCAGTACGTGTGGAGCTCTCCTCACTTGCAATGTAGCGTTTTGGCCCCGGTTCAGGGTCGTTCTTCAATGGCCTGTGTAGTGGAGGTTACCAACTGCTGGGACAAGTGTTGCTTCTCTCAGTCCCCACTGTCCACTGATGCCCTGCCATTGTCCTGTCAATCTGTGCATTGCAGGATGCCAGGAAAATGGAGCGTGCCGTCGTGCATGCTAATCAACTGCCGGACGTTGCTCACTACTCCATGGCGTACCGATCGTGTTCGTATCGTGATGATGACTTTGTGGCCACTTGTGTCCTCAACACTTTGATGGGAGGTGGAAGTAGCTTTTCGGCTGGCGGGCCCGGAAAGGGCTTGTTCTCGCGTCTTTACACAAATGTCCTCTCGCAGAACTTCTTCGTTATGAGTGCCATCGCTACAAACTACCCCTACGCCGACACGGGTCTTTTTACCTTCAACGGCAGTTGCTCACCCGGGGATGTAAGTTAAGCATTTGTAACTTTATATTCTCTTTCACTTGCTTTCGTTGTCCTGGTGGTCTGTAGTGATTCACATAATATAATTTAGGGGGTGTCGGAAGGTATTTTTGTTGGTACGATTAGCTACCTGGAGTACAAATTACTCGGAGGGGGTTGGGGTGGCTCCTCTGAACATGTTTCGAACTTGAGACCCCAAATCAGAGCTTTTTATTGATTCACAGGGTACTAGTATCCGGGACGAACAGTGGTACAGTCAATGCCGTAGTGACCGTAGCGTGTCCGGCGCTCCAGCATATGCACACACACACACGTGTGCCGATCACTGAAGCGACGATAGTGAGCAAGCTATGTCATGCACGCTCACACACACACACACACACACACACACACACACACACACACACCAGTCAGGAGTATGATGTTGGGTTTTGCTGGAATTGGCATGCATGTTCAATGCATGATAAATTTCTCTCGTGTTCTTACTTTGCAGCTGGGGAAGCTGGCACATGTTATGTCCGCTGAAGTTGGACGGTTAGCTAGAGATCCATTCACAGAGGTCAGTTTCTAAATACTGCTGCTGCTGCTATTACTGCTTCTGTTACTGCTGCTGCTGCTGCTGCTGTTGTTGCTGTTGTTGTTGTTGTTGTTGTTGTTGTTGTTGTTGTTGTTGTTGTTGTTGTTGTTGTTGTTGTTGTTGTTGTTGTTGTTGTTGTTGAATTCTTTATTCTCATGTTGTTGTTGTTGTTAGTGTTGTTGTTGTTGTTGTTGTTGTTGTTGTTGTTGTTGTTGTTGTTGTTGTTGTTGTTGTTGTTGTTGTTGTTGTTGTTGAATTGTTGAATTCTTTATTCTCACGATGGCACCATCGCCAATTAGAGATTGTTGTTGTTGTTGTTGTTGTTGTTGTTGTTGTTGTTGATGTTTCAAATCTTTATTCTCACGATAGCCAGTGGCCAATAAGAGATCGTTGTTGTTGTTGTTGTTGTTGTTTACTGTTATTACTGTTGGCTGCTGCTGCCCAGTTTGTGTAGTTCTACACTCTTATTTGTTATTAACTTGTATGGAGAATTGTTTGTTATTTCTCTTCGAGTTTGGGTGGGAGCACTTACTACAGTGGTCCCTCTATAATCCGGCACCATTTGTGCCACGAAAATCTGCTGGATTAGGGAGGGTGCTGGATTAACAAATCTGATTTACTGCTGCAATGTACATGAAGAGGACATTTTGGCTACTGAAAATTGTGCTGGTTTATCGAGGGTGCTGGATTATAAAGTGCCGGATTAGAGAGGGACGACTGTACTACTAAAAGAAAATGCTAGCTTTGCACAACTCAATGCAGTCTGTATTGAGTCAAGAACAGGTAGATACTGGCAGAGAACTCAGCGCAACCTTTTGATGGTAGAAACAAGACAGTAGTGTCCAATATACTGAAACTGGTAAAGTCGTTCACACAGCTTCAGATTGCGATTTTCTACACCACAAGCGAGGCAGGTCTACTTCTACCAGTATACCCAGTGTGTGTGTGTGTGGGGAGGGGGGGGGGGGGATAATGTATGCACCCTAAAGGTGCCATGCTGTCAGGTGAGGTGAAGGTATGACTGTGACACGGTTGTGGTGTACGGCAGCTGTTTGAAACCTCAGCTTTGAAGTCCTCAGCTCCGCAAGCAGGCGCCAAATCTATGCATAGCGTGTGCGCGCGCACGTGTGTGTGTGTGCTTCAATCAGCTGTGTGGTGGATACCAGGCTAAAAATAGTGGCGGTCAATTCATCAGCCTTGCGAGCTGTTGAATGGTGTAATCCCAGCACAAGTTGCTATGTCTAACATAGCTGTTCGCTATCATCGCTTCCGCGATGGGCAGGTCTGAGGTGTGTGTGTGTGTGTGTCAATGACTTAGCTTCCCTTGCTTGTTGTATTGGCTGTGAATGGGAAGGTGCTAGCTCTATAGCTACTGTGTAGTTTCACTAGTTTTCTCCTTGTCACGTAAGGTGGTACTTTCTCTCTGATGTGTGCAGTTTACCGTGCACACTGTAGGGGCGTAGCCAGGATTATGTCCTTATACTCTCAATATCTCAACCTCTCACAGTTTCCTCAGTGTTGTCTTTCCTTCAGTGCGGTTCTTCAAAGCCGAGGGGGTTATTTTAGAAAGCAGCTCCTCTCCTTCGTGGTGTTGCTGTCAACTCTAGTATGCCAGTCTTTGGATTCCTAGTTTTCATCGTAGCTCTTCATGTTGAAGTACCAGTTTACTGCTCCTGGGTGGTTTCTGTAAATAGGGTAGTGTGATTGCAAGCATTGCTGCCGGTTGCACGCTATCTGCTATACATGCCGTCAAGAGTACATAAACCAGAGTGTGCAACTGTGCATATCAGATCTGAAACCGCGCAGTTTGTACACTACGTCACCCTAATGAGGTCAGCCAAGCCGCGACTGCGTACGGCTCAAATGTTCGTGGTTCATAGCCCGGAAATCAGTCAAGTTTGCTTGATTTTAGACGTCCTATTTCAGGATTTCGGTGTTTTTGTGTGACTGTGTACGCTGCGCACATCCACCGACAAGTAAATTCACTAGGCTATCCGTATAAAAAACCGCAATCAGGACGAACTCAGTGATCTGCACCACCGTGACTGGTTACACAACTTTTCACCGTACCTGTGGCTTACCATGCCGTCATAAATGACGTACTGCATGAATTACGCTCCCACAGGAACCATCCCGAGTTACACACACTCTGGTTTATGTACTCTTGCTGTCGTGAGTAATAATCAATCATACTTGACTACTTAGTACTTGTGTATGCCTACCTGTGTTGTCCTACTGCTGGTTTGTGTGTAGGAGGAGGTATCCAGAGCAAAGCAGCAAATGCTGAGTTTGCTATTCATGAACCTGGAATCGCGTGCCATTAACTTGGAGGATATTGGCAGGTCAGTTCATGCTGTCCCTTTTTCACTTGTTACCGAACAGTTAGTATGACTGTGAAGCGTGTGCCCTGTGCTTGTCGCCATCCCAAGTAGCTACAGCCGGGCCACTTGAAACCCGCGCCGATGTACTCTTAGGCTCTCCATAGGCCTTGGATTGTGTGTGTGTGTGTGAGCGCGCGTGTGTGTGCATGTGTGTGTGTGTGTGTGTGTGTGTGTGTGTGTGTGTGTGTGTGTGTGTGTGTGTGCGTGCGTGCGCGCGTGCTCAGGACATTGGAGCTGAGTAGCCATCGACCTCACATGTGACATTGGTGCTGATTTCACTTGCCACACCTGCACTACTGTCATGTATCATGTCCTACTGTAGAAGAGATTTTGTCCTGCACCTGTTTACTTCATGAAAACCAGACAGCAGCGAATAAGGGAATGCAACGTTTGGCATTTATCTTCCCCATGTGCCACTGAATACCGTCCGAGACTTGTTATTGGGTGTACTAGTATGCATTTAAATAATACCATACCGGAAGCTGTAGGTTCCAGTTTGACATGTACTAGTATTTGATTTGGAACGTGGAGTTGCTACTATGGCTGTGCGCAGATGTGTTCCCGTAGTGAGGAAAGTGACCGAGCTCTGGAATTCGGTGCACCTGTAGCAAGAAGGACCCATGAGTGTGTGTGATCCCTGGTAGCCTAATCGGTAGGGCATTGTCCCGGAAAGACAGGGGTGCTGGGTTCGAATCCCGCTCGTGGCTCCTTCTTTTGCAACATTGGCGCCTGGCAATGGCTCGAACCCACGACCCATCGTACCCCCCGCGAGTAGGTACGGCGTGAGGACACAGCCTGTTGGGGCGGGGGAGCAGTGTAGCAAGAAGGACCCATGCGTGTGTGTGATCCCCGGTAGCCTAATCGGTAGGGCACTGTCCCGGAAAGACAGGGGTGCTGGGTTCGAATCCCGCTCGTGGCTCCTTCTTTTGCAACACACCGGCTTTGTAGTGCGCAGCTTGAATGAATGTCCTGACCTGTGTTTGTAGAAACAAAGCTGGCCCAGGGCATGAATATGCGAGCATGGCTTGAAGAATTGGGAGAGTCTAGTCGGTCTGCAGTGATGTGCAGCTGCAGAATGAGCAAGCTTAGACTCATGATACTAGTAGATCCTGGCAAGTGTTCTGCATCAAGCCATACCACTTGCACTTGTCATTACTGAAGCTGACTGTTGACGTGCGTTGATCTCTTCACAGACATTGTGAGGACAGCTCTCTTATGGGGTACTAGCAGCACCCCAGGCCAGCGTTGCCTGGCCGAATGTGGCATGCGGGTGAAGCAAGTACATGAACAGCACACGTGCTCAGCACGTGGTGGTGGCCAGACCGCTGAAGTTCTGGTGAGGGAGGTTCTTCATGGTTGGAAGGAGAAGGAGGGACGTCTGTTACGCCTTCGGGAGGCTGGTCAGGGTTGTCCATCACCTGGTGGCGGATGAAGCGGCTCAAAAAATTCATAAACTTACGAACAAAAGTGCGATGCGCTCTTCGCTGCAGATCAGATGCAGAGTGCAGTCAGTGCAGATCTTTTGTATCCTTTTGTTGCAGATGTTTCTATTTGCAGAGAACGGTTCACGTGGTCCGCAGCGCTTGTGCGGCTGCTAGTGCTACCTATGGCCTAGGCTAGGTGGCTACATGATTCGCACGCTTCGCGTGCTCAGTGCTTCTGCGCGCGGCTGCTACTGCTACTCGTACTGATTGTGTCTGCTAATATATAAGCGCTACCACGTACACTGTGGTGGTGGCTACACGATTCGAACGCTTCGCGTGCTGAAATTTAATTTGCACCCTCCTGCGGAGCCCACGCTGCTTTGGCAGTGGCGAAGGCTCGCTTGCCGACGTAACCGTAACCGTCGGAGATCATCATGAACAATGGACTGACTAATTATACACTTGTCCTGCTACACGATTTGCGGAGCCCACGCTGCTTTGGCAGTGGCGGAGGCTCGCTTGCCGACGTAACCGTCACCGTCGGAGATCATCATGAACAATGGACTGACTAATTATTCACTTGTCCTGCTACACGATTCGCACGCTTCGCGAGTTCGCGTGCTCAGTGCTTCTGCGGCCGCTAGCTACACTGTGCTACACTGTTCGCACGCTTCGCGTGCTCAGGGCAGCGCTGCTCCGCAGCGCTTCAGCGTGAAAGACACACACACGTCACAGGTGCCTCTTCTTTATAAGGAGCGTGACACACACACAGACACACGTCACAGGTGCCTCTTCTTTATAAGTAAAGATTCACACGACAGGCTAATCCACGTGCACCGGAAAGTTGCTATGGTATTTTACCTGTGAGCGAGAGAAGTGCCTGAAAGTGGCTGAAAAGTGAAAGCGAGCTGGGGGCCCACTTTCACGATAATCGTGGCGTGCACGAGTACATTTTCACCAAAAAGCGCGAAACAAGACTTGATTTTTTACGCGGCTCTTTAGAGCATGATAATTATCGTATGTGTGTTTTGAAAATTTGAAATACCCATGGCTACTGGTCGGTGAAGCATTCAAAAATGCAAACGTGCCTGTCGTCGAGTGCAGCTGTGTGAATCCACACGGTCACTTTTCTCGTATGTCACTACCTGTAAAACGTGCAAGTGCCTATCGTGTGAATACCCCATTACTTGTTGTACCCTGCACGAGCATTAATCAAGAATTGTTCTGATGCGACAGTTCTACGTGCACTTAGGTTATGTTCGATTTGTTGGATCCGGATCCCGATCGATTGCCTGGATCATTCGGGTCCTCCCAGGTCCAATAGAGTGATTTCACATCTATCACATGAGTATACGGGACGGCCATGTTGGTTTCAACTCTACTCAACTCCCGCTGAGGAGTCCTGCACCGATGGGTCACGTGATGGCGGCCATGTCGGTTCCACTCTCCACATAATTATGTACATGTACATGGTACTACATACCATGATCACTTTCTTCACTAATGTAGTCACATGACAAAGATGTGAAACCACTCTATCTAACGAATGTGGAGTTTTCGTGCCAAAAAGGTTGATTGGCAACAAGAATCTGTTGGATCCGGTCAACCCTGCTTCCCGAGCGCGAGGTGGGTTGGTCGGATCCGAATCCGGATTCAACCAATCAAAAGGGTGCGAATCCAGTGGATCCAGATCCTACCAATGGAACATGCCCTACAATAGTGCACTCATTGCATGTGCAACTGTTTCTGGTATTTTCGTTGATTGCAGACAAGTACTGGAGCTGGGGCTGCGGGAAAATGGCGAGCAGCTAAGGCAGAAAATTGTCAACGTCAGCGTGGAGGACATCACGCGTGTTGCTCGTAAACTGTTCGACTCACCGCCGGCATTTGCCGCGCTCGGTGATGTCAGTGCGTTGCCAGCAAGCATGACCTAGAATAGGATTCAGCACTAACTTATTATTCCCCAAGTACCCGGGATACCTTTGAAAGTGTGCCCACGTGCAGTAGTGGGTTTCCGTAGGGTAAGGTTCCCAATGAAGAACATCATCAGCTTGAGTGCTTGCTCGTGTGCTCTTACAGTATTACAGATACATACCACGTGTTCTCTAGTGCTTTTCTTGCTCCGGTATTTTTATATTTTGATTTGAAATATTCCTAGCTGACCCCTACCATGTTGGTGCCCTGCATGCAGTGTAACACTAACGCACAAAAACAATAATAGCTCAGAACTTCTTCTTGGATTCCTTTCTTTTCTCCACTCATCATTTTTTCGTCTGATGTGGAGAGATTAACCAGCGATTAAATCTGATGATACATGAAAAGCACAGAATAAAAGCAATTGCAGTGATGCAATGTGCAGTACCAGTCGTTAAATCACTAGCTATACCAGCGGCAGCTCGGCCAGGTTCAGGGTCGTCACAACAACGGAAATATACAACAGAATGATGAAATTGAGCAGGGTGGGAACACAAGCAATTGAATTATAGCAGGTGGTGATAGTACTTTTTGTCCTGCCAGCGGATACGAGAAAATACACACAACTGCACACAAACACACACACACACACACACATATACAGGGTACATGATACGCAGAACCTACAAGTGACGAGTAGCAAAGTACGGAACTATGGCTAAAAGGACGATAAAGCTGTCTACCCCAAGCCCCGTACGATAAAGCTGTCTACCCCAAGCCCCGTCATAGAAGAGATAAAGCAGAAAAAAGGGAGATAAACATATTATAAACACATATCACACGTCCTTCCTAAAACTAATGCAGCGTAGAAATCTAGGTGAATAACGATGATGATGATGATGATGATGATTACGATATTAGGAATGGTCTGTTTTATGATAGCGGTCAAGCTAGGTACATGTAGGTGCATGCAGAAGTATGTCCCGAGTCCCTTGAGTCCACAAGTCTCCTGGCGGTACTTACACTACTCTAGTATACGGATTCGAAGTGAGACGCGCAATGCTGATTGACCTCCTCGATAGCCATATCCCATGGCAATTCAAGGCTGCAGATCGGACAGACGCGAGCATCGACCTCGGGACCACTGGCAGCGCTGAACTGCGGCGCAAGTGGGGCGGCGGCTGCCTGTGCAGCAGTGGCTAGGGTCTGTGCAGGCTGGGCGTTCTCCAAGTGAAGGGACTGCATAAGCTGTCGGCAAGACTCGCGCCTCAGACGCTCATTATCCTCCCGCAGTCTCTCCAGCTCAGACTGTGGGGAACACGAGAGTGAGAGCAACACAGCACAAACAGCACAATCGTGAACCCTTTTAACAACAAGGGATGCATTGAGAAGCAAATGCCACAAAACTATACAAGCTCGAACAAGTGATACATGTACCACTCACTGGCAGTAGGTATCAAGATGATACTTCAACAAAGACAATAAATTAGGACGGACGGCGCAATTGTGCACTGGACGTAACTAAGGCACAGTTACACAGAATGACGTCAAATCACAACTAATCTGTCCCCATAGGATACCGCGATTCCGCGGCCGCGCATTTTCCGCGTTATTAGCATTCATACGCGCTTTCGAGAAAATTTGCAGAAAACCCGCGTTATCCATGGGAATGTACAAGAAAATAGTGAATGATGTTGAAAATGTACTACAAAGTCGTACCCGCCCCCGAGTTTGAACATACTTGCATGAAACCAGTAATTGTACGCTAGAGTTGTACAAATAACTCGTGCATAATGACGCATTTTACCGCCTATTTGCCGCATAATGGCCTGTTTTCGCCTGCATAATTAGGCACATCATTTTATGATTTTGTCCGCGTTATTCTGTGGGGGCAGACTAATCACCGTCTCTAAGTGCGTACCTCGCACTCATCCAGTTGCATGCACTTCTGGGAAGCGCTAGCTTCAGCCTCCATCAGCGCCACTCTTAGTTCCGAGTTTTCTTCCAAAAGATCCTGAACAGGCAGAGAGCAAAAAAACGTACAATCAAAGAGAGCCAATGAATCGATGACAAACACACGCGCACACACTGAAGGACAGCAGCCTTCAGGTGTGATGGTGTTCGAAGTATATCCAATAGTATAATGGCTCAGAAGTGGCTCAGACCCCACAACTAAGGCCATGCCAGAGTTGTTATATTCACAAGGGCAGGGTTTCATTTCCCAGCACTGTACATGTATTTGCTGTGGTCATGCCGAAATGCACCCCAACTAACTCCTTCCAGACGTCTCATGCACAGTCAGAATGGAGGCGGACTGCAGCAACTACTAGTAAAACAGAAGTCATGAAAACGAAAACCAGACTCGCATGCGGGCCAATACTAGTATACATGGTAACGCCAGTGCAGCCAGAAAGTGGCGGCGGCCTACATGATTGTAGTAACAGCCGTCGGCGGAATAGCGCGAGCTCCAGTGTGGGAGCAAACCCATTCCTAAACAAAATCATCGCCGAAGTCGCAACCTCTATTTTATACGTGTGTTGGTAAGAGTAAAGCAACAGGCAAGTCAGCTAGACGAAAGCCAGGGTACACTTACAATGTTTGCTGAGTCAGTAGATGCATTGGCCGAGCATGCGACCATCTCCTCCAGCTTTCTCTTCAGCTGGGCGCACTCGCGGTACTTGCTCCTGTAGTGTTCGGCACCCTCCTGCAGCTTGCCCTTCAGCATCTTCACCAGCTCGTTCAGACTTTCAACCTCATCCTCCAGAGTCTTCACGGTGGATTCGGCAGCGCGAGTAACACGCACTTGCTGCCGGTTGGCGGCGTGCGCCTCCTCGCACTGCCTCTGGGCATCCTCAAACGCACGGCGCAGTCCAAACATGGCTGCTCCACCTACACGGCTCGAATAGACTTCTCTAAGTTCAGCCATTTCTTCCCTCAGTTGAGCCATCTTCTCGCTTTCCAGTGCGGCATTCTCTTCTGACAACTGGGTCAGTTCCGTAACCTTTCCGGCTAGGTCCTCATTGTCCCTTTTCAGGGCATTGTTCTCACCAATCAACTCGGCCATGTTTGCATGAACAATATGACTTTCATCCACACGGCTCGCCACACGCTGTGTTTCAGACTCCATCTCCTCAGCCGACAAGCGCAAGGCAGCCAGTTCGCCTTGCAGGTTTTCAACTAATCTCTGGCTGGTCTCCACAGACTCTCTAAACTTACCATTCTCAGTATAGAGTCTGGCCATTTCCTCTAATTGACCAGCATCTGCTTCCACTAACTTGCAGTGCAATTCATCGATGTGCGTCTCTTTTGCCTGGAGCAACTCATCATCGGCTGCCTTGCGTGCATTGGCAATCTCCAAAGCTTCGTGCAGGCACTCCGTATCACTTCTGCGCTGCTCAAGTTCCTGCTTCAGCCCACCAATTTCTTTTTCGAAGTGCTGAATGGTATCCGTGAGCCTGCAATTGTCATCCTGTGCAGCTTCCAGTTGAGTACTTGTTGACGCCAGTATCTTCACTGTATCTTCGAACGCCAACTTCAGCTCATCAATGGACGCTTTCTTCTCCGTGAGTTCGCTTTCAAGACGCTCCCGCTCCTGAATTGCTACTGCCACTTCGCTTCCCGACACGTCAAGTTTATGGACGACAGATGCCAATCGGGTCTCGATGTCTGCCACCATTTTAACCGACTGCTGGTTTTGGTCAACAGCTTTGGCCTTCTCCTTGCGCAGCAAGTCAATCTCCTGCAGATAGGAAGCTATCTTGCTCTCTATTTCGGCAATTTGAGCACAGGCACGGTCCTTTTCCTCCGAGAGTTTATGTTTCTGTTGTTTCAAGACCTCCGTTCTTTCTTTCCAGTCCTCCTCTGCCACTTGAAGAGAGGCAACGGTTGTCTGCAAGTCAGCAAGACGACTTTCGGTTTCCTGCTCGCGAGCTCTGCGCTCACGAGTCTGGACCAGCACGACATCCGCAGCTTCATCTTCCAACTCGACACAAACGATGTCATCGTCAGAGAAGTAGTCGTTTCTGATTTGAAACGGTGAACTGACGCCTCGAATATCTCCCACCTTAGTCACATAGCAGAACTGATAGAACTCCTGGTCCTTCGGCAAGTAGCGTGGCGCGAATGAAACACTTTGCTCCGTGCCTTCACTCGGAGTTGGTGGGGACCAAACAAACGTGAAGTAGTCGTTCTTGGGCGATGACCAGCCAACTTTGTACACACCAACCCAGTCATGAGCAGTGACTTCGACTTCATCTCCAACACAATACAAAACTTTGATACTCTCACCAGGAGGATATGCCGGACGAACGCCAATAAATTTCACTTGGTCCATTTGACCGTCGGAGTCGGTTTTCTCATCCATAGCTGGATTTGCAAAAGCTTGCTCCGGCTGAAGGCCTTCAACTACTTCTGAGCTATACGCTTCGGTTTCAGCCATGACTTCCAATGCTGAGAAATTCGTATGCTGTACAGCTGGAGTGGAGGTCTGCACAAAAGCAGAACGAAGCCAACAGTGTAACAAGTTTCACTAAGCGAAGACTTTTTGTTGACTGCTTTGCTATGACACGTCTTCCTGCTTCACCTCTGACTTGCAAAGACGAGTGACTTCCACGCTCTGAAGCCCTGCAAAAGCGCCTGGACTGTCTGGAGAGTGGAGTGGAGTGCTCCTTCGCTTCAGTTCTTGTGTTTGAGATCGAAACAAAAGCGCAATACTGTATTGCTGGCTGGCGCTTATGTCATGACTTGGCGGCAATGACGCCATCACACGTGTTTTCCCTGTCACAGTGCAGTGTACAGCATGCAGCAGGTCACACGCACTGCAGTGCAGTCTTGATCTTGCACTTGTTCCGACGGTAGGTCTAACCTGTCACCTGCACAGCGCGAGCGTGAGCTCAGCTCAGCATGCGAGCACTCATGTCATGAGCTCAACGACTTACGTAGATCTACGTGTACAAGGCCTGATGGGAACATGCATGACTCATAATTATACATAATTATTCATAATCAAAAATCATGACAAATCATGCAATATTCATTATTCATGCACACGTGCGCGCGTGGAGCTCCGGAATGTCCGGATTCGACCAGTCGTGCACGCGCGTACGTAGATCTACGTACGCGCGTGGACTCTACTGATTGACGTCATGCCATGATGCCATGCCGGATATGGATCACATTCGAATCCATGCACGTGTCTATTATGAGTTCATAACATGCATACACAATGCATACCGGTATCATTGAAGACTTACACACGTACTATACTATAGATCTACTCAAAACAGATCAAATCAGACAGTCACCAAAAATTAAATGCATGGAATAGTAATTACGTAAGAAAGCCATTTCGGTTGTGGAGAGCAGGTGATTTCAGTGAACCCTATCTCCGACGATTGCGAGTCAAGGGAGCGTCGATGGCCGAATCTAGAAAAGCTGAGAATTTCTAAGAATGTTACTTATGAAGATAAGAAGAGTGCAGTGAGTCACTGACATGATTTCTTCTGTGATTCATTTTTACTCGTAGCTTGGGAATCTCCCGGAAAATTCCAGGTCAGTGTGCTGTTTGAACTTTTGTGTTTTGACCCTAAGTACAGTACTACTACTACTAGTACTGTGTGTTTGTGAGAATACTACTACTAGTAGCCACCGACAGTGGGGTTTTATACTTCTCAGCTACAGTTCTGTGTAGAAAGGAGTCAGGTGCAACACAAAAGCATGACCATGATGATAATGTACTACTTTGAAGCCCCCTCTAAACACTTATGAACATTAAATTTTACTTATATTCACTAGTTGAGGGAACTTTTTGTAACGGTTACCAATGGTGACGGTTACCAATGGTGACATGTTTATTTAAAGACTTGTGCTTTCACTTTCAAGTTTCAGTTGGAAGTCCCTACAACTGACTTGGAGTGTGCAGTATGCACTATGCAGCAAGGTCATGTCAGAGCTGTTGTATTCGTGTGGCCAGGTGTTATCTGCCACGGCTGTAGTAATTTCTCATTGTATACTAGTAGTGTGGAAATGAAACTCATCCAGAGTAGCTCAGGTGCCACGCACACGCACGTGCATGCGCACATGCGCGCGCACACACACACAAACAAACACACACACACACCATGTTCCATCACACACACACACACCTCACACCTCAGACCTGCCCATCGCGGAAGCGATGATAGCGAACAGCTATTATAGACATAGCAACACACACACACCACACACACACACCACACACACACACACACACACACACACACACACACACACACACACACACACACACACACACATACACACACACACACACACACACACACACACACACACACACACATGCACACACACACACACATGCACACACACACACACACACACACACACACAATGCACACACACACACACACACACACACACACACACACACACACACACACACCTTCCTTCTTCCACTGCCATGACTGGTATGTGGCCCCATAAGGGGCAGGCCAGGAGGCGTGTTATCCACCGGGTGGGGAACGCCACACTCAGCATGCGTGGGCTGTGCGAAGCATTACACTTGTGCCTCCCAAAGCACACACACACACTTGTACTTGTACTTGTTGCTCACTGCCAAAACTGGTCACATGGGTCTCCCCGGGAGAGGGGAGAGAGACTCGAAAGGAATCTTGGAAAGATGACTCAATTGGCTATTGAACCGCCCAACGGCCGACACCCCCTGAAATCCCCAAAACTCTGGGTGGACTTTGAAATGATCCCACTTATGGGCTCACCACACCTTAGTAAGTAGGTGAGGACAAGGTGCAAAAAAAGGATTGAAGGCATTAGGGTATCCATCCCGGGATCCTACTGCAATTACCCCTGCCCCCGTTGAAGGTAATACTTGCTACTAGTAAAAAAAGAAGTTGGTTGCTCCAACGAGGAGCACACGCTTCTTGCCGAACTTGACACTTGACTGACTCACGACTGCCATCCGGAGCACACGAGGAGCACGTCGCACCTTCCGCTCGGAAAACCTGAAAGAAAGCACCACTCCCTGCTCAATACACAGTGTTTCGGGGAATTCACCCCTCATCAGTTGAGCTTGAGTAGGCTGAGGAAGATTGTGCCTGAAGAGCACCACTTACATGATTGTATACACTGCTCTCCAGGCCAAACCATCACCAGGGATACAAACGTACAGAGACGCTTTGTTTCCAGCGCGACAAACACCTCGTGAAGCCCCAGGTAGCAGCGTGAGTCAGAGTCGCTCATGGTGTTGTGCTAAACAGACGTTGAGAGCCAGTATAGCTAGTCACAACGCTGTCACCTCCAACAACTAGTCGCACGTCCGCGTGAGGGACAACAATACGAACTTAGAAGTTGCGACTTCGGCGGTAATAGTCATGAAGTTGGTTGCTCCAACGAAGAGCACACGCTTCTTGCCGAACTTGACACTTGACTGACTCACGACTGCCATCCGGAGCACACGAGGAGCACGTCGCACCTTTCGTTGGAGCAACCAACTTCATGACTATTACCGCCGAAGTCGCAACTTCTTAGTAAAAAAAGTTTAAAAAACGAGAGAGCTTGGAAGCTCAGGGCCCTACGCTATGCTTTTTTGCCTTGATGACCTAGACAAAAAAAGCATAGGGATGATATAAATTTCTACTTTTTGTTTTGAGACATAACCTGGGATTCGAACCCGCACTATCGCCCCGCATGCATCCCCCGATACACTTCGCATACATACTAATTCTTCCAAGTTGCTTCACGTTATGATCTTGTATTTGAAAGCCCTATTTGAATATGCATTGTGGCCAGCCGTCTTTGATTGTACGGTACGGGACAGGTACGGTCGAGGGTAATACGACACCATCTACCGCCTTGATGACCGCAAAAAAAGAATAGGGATGTTATAAATTTTTCAATTCTCCTATTTTTTCAGGCATTACCTGGGATTCGAACCCGCACTATCGCCCTACATGCATTCCCCCATACACTTCGCATTCATACTCATTCTTCCAAGTTGCTTCACGTTATGATCTTGCGTTTGAAAGCCCTATTTGAATATTGCGGCCAGCTGTATGTGGCCAGCTGTGTTTGACGGTGCGGTACGGGACAGATACGGGATAGCGCCAGGCGTGACACAAACACACAAACAAACCAAATTAAAGCTGTGTGGACCCTGGCTAGCGCCAGACGTTACTGAAGTAACGTCTTCTGCATAGCTACGGGAATAAATAAAAAAGCTACTAGTGTGGGTGGCTAAATCAGAGTGGATCTGATATAAGCTTCACTAGCACCATGAATACACAAAAGTTAATCTAGCCAGTAGTCCATGGTTTTCAGGTATGCATACTTCGAATGGAAAGTATATGAATCCTGAAACCAACAAAGGTGGCAGGTACAACACGTGTACCTACCCATGTGCACCTTCAAGCAGTCGAGCCTGTTGGCAGCAGACCCAACACTATCTGACATAAGTGTACTTGAAATACCCACCAACCGAACTAGCACACACACACACACCTGGTCCTGGTCCTGGTAAACACTGCCATTACGGTCACGTGTCCCCTCGCGGGGCCGACATGGAAAACGACGCGCGTCGGCAGAAAGTCGGCAGTCTGCCGAGAGATCAGCGACCATGTTCAATCGGCACGACGAGAGAGCCATCTCCGGCAGCTATGGATTGAAAATGGATTGACACACACACACACACACACACACACACACACACACACACACACACACACACACACACACACACACACACACACACACACACACACACACACACACATACACGCACGGCCCCTATGATATAAGCAGTCCATGGAGATAGAGATTGATGGATAGATAGATAGAAAGAGAGAGAGAGAGAAAGGAATGTGCTTTTTTGCTTTCTTGTCCCACAGCACTGTTGTCCAGACATGGAGGACCTAGCGGATGGCCTTGCCGGAGGTCTGGTTGTGGTGGAGGCAGTCAACGACACAGCTCTGCCACACCCCAGGTATGTAGCCGGTCTTGACGACTATGATGTCACACACTAGCCGCAATTAATACTCACAATCACGTGATGCTAGCCAATATAGTTTTGTTATGGGCAGTAGCCAGCTAAATACCCAAATAGAGATTGTGAATTTATCACTTTAATAAGTGGTGTGAGGAGTTGTGTGTACCACCATTACATGCTACTTCTAATAAGTTAAGTCGTCTACTCAATAGCTGACATTTAATGTCCTGATTTTCTGTAGAAGTCTTGGGGCTACTGATTTTCCTTTGTGATAGATGCGATCATGTAGGTGCCTTCTCTGTTGCCGGCACTTAAAATGTCATGCACACGACTGTAGTCTGTATTGTACGATACATAAATACCAAGTTTTGGACTTTATGGGTTTTGCGCAAGCGCTACAAGTATGTCTGTGTTGCTTTGTGCTAGGTTTGACCAGTACAAGTACACTGTATGTCTGTGTTGCTTTGTGCTAGGTTTGACCAGTGCAAGTACGCTGTATGTCTGTGTTGCTTTGTGCTAGGTTTGACCAGTACAAGTATGTCTGTGCTGCTTTGTGCTAGGTTTGACCAGTACAAGTCGAGAGTTCACCGCTCTTCGGACCAGGAATCGCGTCGTCGCGAGCGCCTACGTCGTCAGAAGGAGTAAGCCAAGTAACTTAGTTGCGGAGTTCTATGTGTGTCTGCACCAGGGGAAATAAATGCCATTCTGAGGCCGTACCGCCAGTTGATGCTCTGCTCCGGAAGACCGCACCATTCCCTAGTGGTGGGGGCCTACGGACTGGTTTCACATCTGTGTCATGTGACTAAATTTTAAAATGTAAACAGAGATCATGTCATGTGACTAAATTTGTGTAGAAAGGGGTCATGTCATGTGACTAAATTTGTGTAGAAAGGGGTCATGTCATGTGACTAAATTTGTGTAGAAAGGGGTCATGTAATGTGACTAAATTTGTGTAGAAAGGGTTCATGTCATGCGACTAAATTTGTGTAGAAAGTGATCATGGCATGTGGGCAAAGGAACCAACATGGCGGACATCACGTGACCCATAGATGCAAGGGTTGACTGGAGTTGGAGCCAACATGGCCATACCCTGTGCATGGTCACGTGATAGATGTAAAACCACTCTGTGTTCCTCAGCCCTGGGTAGGCGTTGCCAGGTGCCATAAACCGTGTACACAGTGTCATTATGATGCCAGCTGTACACACTGCCTGGACGAAATGGGCGCTGCTGTCAAGATCACTGCCGGCGCTTTGCAGGTCTGAAAACCATGCAGGGGCGTCGGACACGGTACGGCCACTACGGTATTGACCGTGCCACTTTTTGCCCCAGGTACAAGTACGCTGTGAATCAGTAAAATACCCTGATCTGGGCTCTAAATTTCCAAGATGTCGGCTCAGCAACCCCTCCCCGACGAGTAAATTGTACTTCAGATGGCTGACCGTACCACACTAGAATACCTTCCGACGCCCCTGACAGTGCAACGCACATTTCGTCCTGCAGCTTTGAACACATTTTGTATCTGGTCTTTACCAGTACACCATAGTCGTGTGCAATAGCATGACTCATATAGCAGCTGGATTTGAATGACTTAGAAGCACGTAAAAGGGAAGAGTGCATTGATAGTTTTGACATTAAAGCATGCCTTTGTGCATTGGTTATCAAGGTTCTAGCCAGGGAAAAAATGGTAGGGGTGCGGGAGGGAAAAAACTGTTCACCCACTTTTGTCCATGTTCCACTATTTCCTTCTCACTGAAAATGAAACGTTGGGGCGCGGCAAGCACCCGGGACGATTGATTCGTGGCCACATTTTCGTTGTGTGACCTGAAAAAACACGAAAATCGAAAAATTAGTAGGGTGGTGCGCCATCAGAGTACAGGGGGGGGGGGGGCTATGCCCCCCCTTTGCCTAGAACCCTGGTTATGCATAAAAGTATGCCTTTAACAGCAGCCCGGCTTGAATAAAAGCATCATTTGAGAATAGGCTTCAACCATACTACATACAAAATCACACACACTACAAAATCAAATGCACGCTTGAGTATCCTTTATGACAATGCAAAGTTGCATCCACAATGGCGTTGCATGCAAGAGACCATTGCATTTTGTCAACGTGTCGCCTAAGAAGCGGGATTCCAGAGAGAATGCTTTGATGAGAATATCATAGCGAAAATGTAATGAACTTAGAAATCTCCGGCTGTGTGCCTGTTCTTCCTCCACTTTGTTTTGTATAATTTTGTATAGTTTATTTCAAGGATTCCCCAGAGGCCGCTTAGGACTATCGAGGGGGTCTCCATTTCTGTACAGTTAGGATGAGGATATGAGAATGCAAAGTGAGCAGAGAAGGAGAAATAACACGAAGAATAGGACAGCTGGGAAGGAATAGGGCATTTGATGTTCACTGAAGTGAGCAGATCAATGAGGAAAACAAGGAATATCAGTGAATGCCTTTGCAGTTGAATTGAAACTTAGCCATCCGGTTATGCAGTTCTCTTCTGAACTCAGCAATATTCATGATGGAGGTTATGGTAGGGGGCAGACAGTTCCACAGAGTGCCTGCCAGCCTGAAATAGAAACATTGGAGATAGTACCTTGACGCTTCTTCTTGGCCTGCTCGGCACCCTACTTGGGATCGGCAGTAGCAGCAGAAGAATCCTCATTATCATCGTTGTCGCTGTTACCATCTGCATGCTCCAATGCGGCAACATGTCATGATGGTCGCTTGTTCCGCTGGCCATGTGCTTCCTGTGTATATGTTCCCGGTGCACAGTCAGCCATACCATCACTGCAGAGGATGGCATTGCAGGACACAGCGGAGAGCTTGGATAACCGGGTAGAAGGGCATCAAGGTTGCCATCGTCAGAGTAACCAACCCTTAGTGGTGGCCGCGTCATGGTTGATGATATTCTGGCAGTAGATGAGCCAGGCATGTTGGAGTTGGGTGTTGATGATGATGATGATACCCTAGGGATGGCAGCGCTACTGCTGGGTGTTGCCGGCGTCGAAGAATCAGAGCTGGAAGCAGCCAGGAGAGAAGCAGTGTGTATTGATACATGGGGACCATATCCAGGCGTTTGTCCGAACAGGGAATGCCATGTCCTGAACCTTTCCCAGTAAGCATACGCCAGCTGTAGGTCGTAGGCATCCTCACTGCCCAGGTCTGGTGCAGCAGAACCAGTTTCCTGCGACTTGTATTTTTTTTTATAGAAATCCTGAGCCTTGGCTTTTATGTTGTCGATTTTGAAGTGTGTGTTTTGCGTGAAAAAACACACACCCCTCACCATACAGCTCCTTGGCATATGCGTTCAAGGCCTCGGTCATCTCCTTCTCTCGGATGGTCTGCTTTATCATCTGGCCTTGCTTCGTTTTCTGATACGCTGCCCAAAGCTCTGTGAGCTTCTTTTCGAGATCGTCAGTGGAATTATAGCGCGGCATCTCGGAAACAGACAACAGCAGGCAACAGGCGTGTCCGGAAATGCACTGGAAGCAAAGCATTGGCAGACCAAATCTCAAGCACTCAACCCGACAAGAAAGCGGTCTACTACCGACGTAGTGCAAACCTCAAGAATGCGAACATGGATGGCGAAGGAAAGGACCAATGCAGGCACGTTGCTTTCTCCAGGGGTACCTGGACTGCTGGAAAGGAACACAGCACGTTTTGCGTTTCGCTGGCGTTTCCTTGACGGCGTATACGAGAAAGTTCCTTTTACGCAGTTTGTGCCTAGTGTGGTTGCGGCCTTACACCGGCACTGCTTTACGTCAAGTAGCTACCAAGTACGTGTATTGTAGTATTAGCTTGAGTGTTGGTCACCTTGCTGTGATTAGCTTGAGTGATGGTCACCTTGCTGTGTATGACTTGAGTGATGGTCACCTTGCTGTGATTAGCTTGAGTGATGGTCACCTTGCTGTGTATGACTTGAGTGATGGTCACCTTGCTGTGATTAGCTTGAGTGATGGTCACCTTGCTGATGGTCACCTTGCTGTGTATGACCTGATCTGGTTAGGTTGGAGGTACAGTCAACTTCGCTTATAACGACACTCTGCGGGGCATCAGAGAAGTGTCCTTATTCGCGAAGTGTCGTTATACCCGAAGTCTCATTATATGTGTCACAGTTAGATGGGACTTTGCTCTGGGCATGAAAATTATGTCCTTATTCGCGAATTGTCGTTATATCCGCAGTCGTTATTAGCGAAGTTGACTGTATCCGTGATTTGTTGGTGCCTGTTCTGGTGATTTGCATTTGTTAGTTGTGACGTATGTGGCTATGCTTTCCAGTTGGCCATTCTCATTCACATGCATTCTTATCTTGCCTTGCTGCGAATTTCCCGCCAGGCAACGTCAGGGCATACTCGATGCCCACAGAGATGTCCCAGCAGCTGGGGATGACGATTGTCGAGCTGCTGAAGGGCAGCATGGGGACTCCGACGAGTCCATGGCAAAAGAGGAGTCACAGGTGTCTGCATCAGCATGTCACTCTGCTACAGCTGAAGCAGGCAATGATGAGGTATGTTTCTTCAGTGCACAGTTACGCAGTCAGTACGTGGACCCTCACTGCTGCATAGCCTTTCTGTCTGCATGAAAATGTTTCTCCATTTGTGATGGTTCTCTTTACTCAAACTGTGGCGTGGCGTGGTGTGTGTGTGTGTGTGTGTGTGTGTGTGTGTGCCTGTGTGTGTGTGTGTGTGTGTGTGTGTGCACACGTGTGTAACAATGTCACAGGCCAGTATGGATGTGGAGGACATGGCTGATGGTAGCAGCTCCAGACGGCGTGGACGGAAGAGCAAACAAAAGCACCTGACTCAAGTATCGTATCGTAAACAGGTGAGCTGCGGACTGCCTCTGCTGCCCTGCTGCTCTGCTGCCCTGCTGCCCTGCTGCCCTGCTGCTTCTACAGTGGTGGCAAGTGAAATCCAACCGGGGGTGGGGGCTCTCCCGCTGTACCAACACAGCTTGCGACCATGTCAACCTCAATGCATGTACCGTGAGTGCAAGAAGGTAGCATAAGCCTAGATTTCGCCGGCATGTTGCTTGAATGCCGTACCTAACACCAGAATGTGGTGCTGCATACATGCAAACAACAATACATCTATGACACCGGTGAAGAACTGCCACGGAAGTGATCTTCACGCTTCGCCTGTGTGGCTTGGATATGCACAGCGCTCTCGAGCATTCTGCACACCGCTGTTGCACTTCATGACTTAAATTCAGTGGCTGCATTTGACGTACACTACTGGCAATACAGTCATGTACAGTGCTGCTCAATGAAATCCAGTCGCGTCGCTCAAGTCTGCGCCTTGCGCCATTTCGCAGCCCAGTGTTCGCAGGTCTGGGGCTGCGCAGCCCCCGGCGCGTACTTGAGTGACGGCGCGACTGGATTTCATTGAGCAGCACTATAGTTTGTTCTACTGTACATGTACAGAGTACTAACAGGCCTAACACTTACGGTATGCTTTGTATGGTAGCGTGCTGGTCTAGTCGGTACGTATTTCTTGTGATTGTCAGCACGTTGAGATGGCAGCCAAGCAATATGTAGCTGTTCTCCCTGCTTCTGCTTTATTCCGTATTCGTTGCCTTAGCTCATGATGTCCGAGTGGCTCGTGGACGTTCCTGATGACTTTGCTTCAAAGTGGCTGATGAAGATCTGCCCTGTTGGGAAGAGATGTCTGGTCGTTGCTGGCAGGGTTAGTCGCTGGCCATGTGTTCACCTGTACATTTGCTTTGCAGTTGTCACAAGTGTTGTGTGAGAGTTTAGAGTAGGAAACACCCCCACCAACACCACCACCATCGCCGCCGCCACCACCACCACCACCATTGCCACCACCACCGCCACCACCACCACCACCACCACCATCGCCGCCGCCACCACCACCATCGCCGCCGCCACCACCACCACCACCGCCGCCACCACCACCACCACCGCCGCCACCACCACCACCACCATCACCACCACCACCATCGCCACCGCCACCACCGCCGCCGCCGCCGCCGCCACCACCACCACCACCACCACCACCACCGCCGCCGCCACCACCACCACCGCCACCACCACCACCGCCGCCGCCGCCACCACCACCACCACCACCACCAGCATCTTACTTCATTTTGCATGTTTTTCGTAAATGACTAACACTAGATAGTAGTGCCCAACAGAGTGAGACAGTGCTTGAATAGGAGGTCACAGTGTGCAACAATACAAACCAGGCAGTACTGACTGGCGCAGCCCTACGCTGGTGTGGTCATCCACTGTGCGTATGTGCTGGTGTGGTCATCCACTGTGCGCATGTGCTGGTGTGGTCATCCACTGTGCGCATGTGCTGGTGTGGTCATCCACTGTGCGTATGTGCTGGTGTGGTATGTGCTGTATCTTCTTTACCTTGTTAGAAACCTACCCTGCTGTTTTTGTTGTTTTGTTTTTATTTTGCTGCCGCCACCATTTTTGTGTGGTTCGAAGCAGTGCACCACTTACTGCTGTATGCTGTATGCTGACTGCTGGTGTTGCAGGGTATGACATCAGCGTACAGCAACAATGGACACCGGATCAACACATTCCATTCACTGCTGCCCGGTGGTGCCAAAAAAAGTCCAAGTCATGATGCAGGTAATGTACTGCTCGAGGAAACTCTTCGCAGTTGGTATCATCCACTCACTCACTCACCCACGCACTCACTCACTTACAGCGTTATATTGATACTTCAAATATGTAGGGTATGGCACGTGTTCGCATGTACAACAATCAACAATATAATATCTGCCTTGGCGACAGGACGACCAACATTCCACATGCATTTAGACAATTTGACGGTTGAAGCGATGAGGTAAAATGACAGGGAGAGCAACGCCTTTTGCTGGAGCAGGTTGTGATGATCTACAGCATTGGTAGGGGAAATCTAACTGCGCAGGTAGAGCAGAGCCTCATTCACGGCGTCACGCTAGTATTGGCAGTGCTAGGCTAACGGTGTCGCTTTAGTATTGGCAGTGCTAGGCTAACGGTGTCGCGCTAGTATTGGCAGTGCTAGGCTAACGGTGTCGCGCTAGTATTGGCAGTGCTAGGATAAAGCAAAGCCTCGCTAACACTGCCACGCTTGTATTGGTAGTGCTAGTACCACGCCATCTCAAAGCTGTTATACTGGTATTCACAAGGTTCACGTGATGTCACTGCACCTCATCATCACACTGTGTCATTAGCCAGGGATATTGTGCATCTGTAGGTAAGGTGTGTGTGTTCGGGATAAGGAGGGAGATCAGGAGGGGGGGGGGGGGGGGGGCACAGCCATGTTATACACTAACTGGCCGTAGGGTGATACATCACACGAGCAGTGAAGCCACTGACGCCCTCGTGCATACCTCTTCAGAGTTCCAACCTCAGGCTTCAACTGCGTAGTGCGGTGAGTATATAGCAGTGTTAGTTGTCGCTTGCACATGTGCCTTGTTGGCGCGTGGCCGGAGAAAATTCACACCGATTCTCACTTGCACTGTCTGCTGCTTAAAGAGGACAGGTTCACGCTTCACCTCCTGACTAGGTGTACCGAGCTACTTTGAAGTACGTTATTGCAAACTGCTCCAGAACTGCCGCTCTCGCTGTCCTTTACTATCATTTCTTCCATTGCCTTATCATCCTGATGAGAGTAGGGTGAAACCCCTGCTTTGGAAAGAAGGAATTATGTGCTGATGTTGAGTGGATATTTGTACATGTATGCGTGTACTTCACTTAGTATGTGTATGTGGTGTTGGCTGTGTTCTGTATGTATGTGGTGGCTGTGTTCTGTATGTGTATGTGGTGGCTGTGTTCTGTATGTATGTGGTGGCTGTGTTCTGTATGTATGTGGTGGCTGTGTTCTGTATGTGTATGTGGTGGCTGTGTTCTGTATGTGTATGTGGTGGCTGTGTTCTGTATGTATGTGGTGGCTGTGTTCTGTATGTATGTGGTGGCTGTGTTCTGTATGTATGTGGTGTTGGCTGTGTTCTGTATGTATGTGGTGGCTGTGTTCTGTTTGTGTCTATGTGATGTTGACTGTGTTCTGTGTGTGTATGTGTTGTTGGCTGTGTTCTGTGTGTGTATGTGTTGTTGGCTGTGTTCCGTATGTGTATGCTGTGTAGAGTGCACCTTGCTGGACTGCATCTACGTGGAGTCCCAGTGTCTCTACTGTGTATTGGACGTGCTATGCTGGAATAGCAGCGATATGCTGGAAGTGGAGGTCAGTGCACAATCATCTATCTAGAATTGTACTTCACTAATGCGGGCAAGATGCTGCTCAACATCATGCAATCAGACACATGATTATGGACTATATTACTAAAGGTGGAATGTGATGAAATCTCTATTTTTCCCCATTATCTATTTTAAATGTACGGGTGAAACGAATATTAGAACGTTCGCTAGGTTCGCTCCAAAGGGGAGTTGAAGTGACTTTGATTCGCTACTTCAAGGTGTAGAACGTTCGTCAATGCATGCGTAGGTAGGGCAGTACTGTGCTCGAACTTCTACTCAACGTGTGCATACGTGCGCAGCCCAGTCAGCCCCATACATGCCCCTATTGCCGCAGCTATTCCAATCAAGATCACCAAAACGGTGATCAAAGGTTGTCCAATAACTCCAATTCTTGGTTGTTTTACATTATGTCGAATTATTAATAAGCTTGCCTTCCAGTTTTGAGTTGGAATTTCTCTCATTTTATTTTTCTGATTTTGACTTACTAAAAGTCATGTGTGGACACGGGCATGGGCTTCATTTCTTTAAGAATAGTTCATGAGTTCGTGAAACGGAACGTACAGTTCGTCAGAATGTTCTGTTCGCCTAATTTAGGGTTCTTTTCAGGCCTCATTATTTTACTGCAATAAAATTCTCTCCGTTGCCCGGTTCACGTGAGCGGTCCAAATTGAAAGGTGATCAAACAAGTCATCCCCGCTTTATGGTCACCAGTCGAAGGGGACATGTTTCTAGATGCATGCTCTTGTGCGTTATGCAGAGCCTCTTCTGTTGTTTTCTTGTCTTGTGATCTAGGCAGACTGTCGATTCTTTTGGTTGAAATCTAGGATTGATGAAAACCCAGGAGTGCAGTCAGTTTCCAAGCTAAATCCGGTAAGCGAATGTTGTTGTTGTTGCTGCTGTCGTCGCCGTTGTTGTTGAATTTTATTTAAGCCGCAACACAAATTGGCGATGGTGCCTCCTTTTATGCATGTGGGCGACATAATATTTCTAATACAAGTAGTGTAGCAATGGGCAGGGGAGGGGAGGAGGAACAAATTCCAAGTGAAAGAAATCACAGAAGGGAAAAACTGTGGAAAACACCGAATACATGGAATGTAAATTACTGATGAGGTGTCAAAGCAGTGCCTTTCCTAGAATTCTTTATGTAACAATAGGATAGGATTTGATCTGATAAATCTTGCACAGAAATGGAGACTATCCTCTGAACTATTAGTGAGCAGATACAAAGCGACTTGCTTAGAATACTTTGACGCTTTCGTGAGAGCACAGAAATGGGCCCTGCAATAGGTTCTGGTCAGCTCAATGAGTGCAATCATGTAATAACCCCCGAAACAAGACACTTGAACGGCCATGGGTGCAGCGACGACTGAATATCAAAACTTTCGTTGCAGGACGTCTCTGAGAATCTCTCGGAGAGACCTGTAGTGGAAGTCCACGGCAGAAAACCAAAGAAGACCCGGATCGCAGTTTTTGTCAGGCGAGCTGGGCACCCATGTTTCTGGCTATCAGAGACGGATAGAGTGTGTTGGATTCGTACATTTATGTTAGTTTGGACATAATCATTGCTTGCTAAAATAGCCATTCCGAGGAGACCGTCAAACTTCAACGTGAGCGCCATAGCGCACCGATCTAGGGTCGAACTTGACTATTTCTCCGGGCAACGAGACCATCACAGGGGAGATCATTGTAGAGCTCATTATCAAACATACTCTGAGATAGCAACTCTAGCGAACCTGAGACACGATTGATTGCAGTTTCCCGTCGCAATGGATTTTGAGCAGTTCTGCACTCTGCCGCATACCCCGCGGTGCTGTGTGCAAGACCGGTGTCTTGGTTTGGTTCTACTCAAGGCCACGGTCCTCAAGCCAAGTTGCCAAATTGGTGACGGCGGTGCTTAGGTAGGTGCACACCACTGCTCGACCCCCAGAAACCTCGAGAACGCTATCATCCACGGACTCTTAATGGGTAGCGGGACATTATGGATGTTGTGAATGTACAGTGTGAGCAACATCCGGCCGAGAACGGATCCCTGTGGCACGCCTCGACTGCACGGTGTGTAACTTGACATAGTCCTGCCTATAGCCACCCGCTAGTACTGATCGCCATGGTAACTAGCAAGCCAGAAATCCACAGTGCCTGTCACTCGCATGCTGGAGAGCTCTTCCTTTGTGTGCTTGATAGAGTCGAGCGCTTTCGACATGTCGAAAAACGCAACGCCTGTTTCGTTCCGCTCATGCTCAGCTTTTAACCAACGGTGTACTGCCAGAACAAGGACGTCCGCAGTCCTCAGTACTGTATCGCTTCCTGTACACAAACTGGGGTAGGGAGGAGATCATTTTTCAGTCAAGTATGATGTATGTTGTGCCGTCAGCAATTACCCTGTGTCAGTGATGGAACTCCGCTACCAGATCAACATGCAGAGACCACTCAAGCAGCCTTGTTACTACACATGCTTAGAAGCGGCTTTCCACAATGGCCAACTCCCTCATCGCATTGTTAACTGGGCGATGGTATGCCGAACATGCACCGCGAATGCACATTATTGCTGCCCTGAGCAAAGCGAAGGACAACCGACACCGCACGTAAGCCATTAGCCGGACATAGGGTCGATCGGCAGTTGCCAGCAATCCACACACTCGCTTAATGAATGTGGTACACTCCGGGGCACAACAACCCGCCGTGGTAAAGACTAGAGGGGTAAATGTACCACAGTCGACGTTGTTGATACGCTCGGCGTACTCACTCTTCTTGTGGCGCTCATGTTGCTGGACAAGATCACTTACGGGCTTGTTCTTGTATGACGCTGCATCCGGGTGGAAGACCCGGACGTCGAAGAACGCATTCTGAGCCCGGGTCCGGAATCCACTAGCTCGGACATCAGCGCAGGCGCGTTCGCTGTGTTTGTTGAGGCCGCTAAAAACACCTTGCCTGTGATAGGAGCAAGTACAGGTTTGACTGCCACATCTGAGTACCCCTCCGTCAGGAGGTCCGCCACTATATCTCTCACTTCATTGTGGCGAATCGTTGAGAAATCTCAGCGAGGGCAAATCATCGCATGCGTGGAGTTCAACAGCTCCCCACGTACACAACTAGCTCGTCTCCCCTGGACAGGTGGTGACCATGCTCTGCCAGAGCCAACACCCCGAGCCAACTCGACACGCCTTTCGCGGATAAACGTTCCAGCCGCCGGCGAGCCAGGGTAGGGAACGCACTGCTCTTGATCAAGGCGAAATCATTCACCTCCCTCTTCCCATATTGGGCTGCATGGCGAACATCCTCCCTGGAGCTATGGGACTATTGAACATCATTCTGGTGTACAATCTCCTCCCCCTGTAGGGCCGTTACAGCTCTCGACGCAGGAGCTGTGCCGTACCCATTTGCTGAAAGCACCCCCCCCCCCCCCCCCAGCCGACAGGGCAGGCGGAGAAGGTTCAATTCTTCTGGTAGAAAGGAATCACGGCCCGTCAGAGCAGGGAGAAGCTCCTCTGAGATCACATTGTCCAGGTCGGTAAGGCATTGTGCAGGGAAAGGTACTGTACACAATTGGTAGGTCCACCTACCACGTTAACCATGAGATAATGCGGCATAGGCAGCATGTGGCTCCGTTTTTGCAATATCAGTAAGCTTCTTCAGCTCTTCTTTCCACTTCGCCACCCGTCGCTGAACACTTTCCGTGACCGCCTCTTCTGATCCAATCTCGGAGCCGAGATAACGCAAGCGCCCCGTCACAATCCGGATCCCTGTGTCAGCAAACACTTGGCGTGAATCCTGCTCCAGCTCTGGCTTGACAAGGAGCTGGGTCTTTTCTGAGTTGGTGAAATATCCGTATTGCCGTCCAATTGCCTGCAGCTCGTCCCACCACAACCGGATCTGTCTCAGCCTACCTGCTCCGCTGGAGTAATCCGCATACCAGCTCTGCCGGATCGATGCGTGCTGCGCCTGGAGACGAGTGATGATAGGTATGGTGGCAACTGCATTAAAGGCCATGGAGAGGGGGTCGCGCTGCGTGGTTCCCTCACTCGACTTGACTTCCCTTCCACCTGCAACAAATAAACGTGCAGCCGTTTGATACGAGTTCATGATGACGTTGGAGAGGGCAAGACACAGCCGCCGTTGACCAAAGCCGAGTGCCATTCCACCCAGCGAGTTTGCCTCAAGTTGACCAACTTCTTCTTCTTCTTCAGGGCGTCGTTGATAAGTTAGCATCAGACGGCATGCCACTGATTGTCTCCATGGACGTCTGCTGCTGCTGCTGCTTGGGCGAGTTATCAAAGAACAAACTCACTTGCTGTAGTGTTGTCCACATGTTGGACACTGGAGGGATGTGGAAGAGTGCAATGAGACAGAGGTTGAGGGCATGTGAGTTACAGGGGTAATGCACGGCCTTCGGAAACTCTCTCGTGAGTGATGTCATCACATCCATGTGCCTCCGGTGTCCCTCACCAGCTACTCGCCTAACTACGGTTTCAAGCTGCTAAAAAAAATCCAGCTCACCAACGACTGTGTTTGTCTGTTGTGAACATCCATGCCCACTTGTATTATTTGTATAAGCACTATTCCACTAATGTGTTTTGAACTAATTCTCTGCACTGTTTCAGTATGCCTTCAAGACCATTGCGGCTCTCGACTGTCAGTCCACTACTCTTCAGAGTGTGTTCTCCTCAGCACCTGATGTACAGGTGAGCATAGTCTTGGCAACTTGATAACTTTGCCATCTCAGCATGCTTAGCAATATGCCATGATGATGGGCACACTGCTCGCACTTGTATACTTATGTATTAATAAATTATATTCCACATCTCATAGCATGTAGTTGCCAATCAAAGGGGAGGGGGTGAAAGCCAACCACGGCTGAGGAACGTGAAGAAATATGAATAGAAAGAAAAGAGGGAGAAGGAAAAAGAAAATGTAACTAGAAGGGGAATAAAAAAAATATGTTTCCACTTGCAGAGTAACAGTACATGGAGTGGAGGTCTACCAGAGTATGCACTCGCGAGGAAAATGCCGATACCCTTTTTTAGTACTTACATCAATCGGTGGCTAATGGCCGTGGCACCTTCGTAAACACAAATGGGGCAGTCTACCTAGAATGGTACCTGCCGTAGGCTATCCAGTATATCTCCAGAACGCTTCATTAGAATTGCTTCAAATTTTCAACGTAGCATCATCATGTTACTAGGCCGATGTTAAAAAAACAAATGCTGGCAATAAATCAAACCGAAAGTGAGATATGGAAAGAGAAAAGGACCTATAAGTTACTAGTTATGACTAACAGTCCACCAAGGTAACGAGATAATATACAGTCAGATAGTGCGACAACAAGGCACAAACCTGCTAGGCAGGGATGAATTTACTGGCATATTTTTGCATAGCAGTTTCTGCTATACAAAATCACATTTGTGTAGAAGTCTTTGATTTTGATTAGCATATTTCTTTGAAGGTTGGGTGTTTACCACATCGTCTTTCTTGAGAGTGATGCCTGAAAGCCCATCTGCAGAAAAACGACTGAAGCACACATGTGCACGCAGATTGAGAGTACCTGCACTACATACACTGCACTGTATGCATGTTACTTGACAGCGCAAGCTAGGCATGGATAGCCTGCATAATGTGTATGTATCGCAATTTCTGCGACTCACGGTGACTTTTGAATAGCAGTAGATCGAGTTTGCATCGCAAACTGCGATGCGATACGGGATAAATTCATCCCTGCAAGGATATCGAGACATTCGACCTTGTCAGTTTTGTGCCTTGTTGTCGCACTATCCGACTGTATATTATCTCGTTACCTTGGTGGACTGTTAGGCATAACTAGTAACTTTTAGGTCCTTTTTCTCTTTACATATTACTTTGGGCTCAACATCCGAGTTTTAAAAAGTGAGATAAGAAAGTTTCGAGAAAATCCAGTGCGCAAAATCCGGACCATGAAGATAGGTACACAGCTGTCCTCACAATTTTGGCACTGCAGAAAGATTCATTGGGGCAGGAAATGTGCCAAATCATTCTGTTAAATACCTCGTTTGCATTCTGCGTGGCTCTTCTGGAGCATCGCTCAAGAAGTGGCCGGTCAGCAAGACGATTACCGCATTTTCTCTAATAAAAGCCCAGGTCTCCAATAATAGCCCAGTCTCCAATAATGACCTGGGGTGAGGGTGGTTTGAAATAATAAGAGCACAGTCTCTAATAGTAGCACGGGTCACAATTGGAGTATACAACAAGTATATTGACTGCATATAAAACAGCAGTACAACATGCCAAGAACATTTGTAAGGAGGTTTTCGGTCTACTGCTTCCTTCTTGGCGTCAATGCTATTGTGAAACATCTGTTTTGACAATATTCCTGAGTTTAGGATTGAAAAATCAGTCTTGATGTGGTCAGTTTATGCCTGTATAGACTGGAGTTGGCTTGATAGTTGACAATTGAAAAAATAAGAGCCCAGTCTCCAATAATAGCCCAGTCTCTAATAGTAGCGCGTGTAGAGCTGTCACTGAAAAAATAAGAACCCCTGGCTCTTATCAGAGAAAATACGGTATAACTTATACAGGGCGGATCTCATCCAGCACGGCCTTCGGTATGACATCATGGTGCGTGTACACGCCAGGCCGCCCTGCCTGAATCTGCTGGTATTTGCACCATGAATCCAGCCCCTCCGGACAGAACTGGTGCATAGGCGTGTCGTCGGAAGTTCGATGACACAATGAAGCCCATATGGCCTTAGGGCGCGTTCAGACTGGCGTGAATAGCCGCCGGAATGCTGCAGCGTAATCCCGGGAATCGCAATCACACTGCATGTGTATCCCGCTGGAATGGCCAGTACATGTGATACTTTTACAGTCTTTCACTAGCTTTGACAAGCTTTGTACAAAATCAATCGACATTGGAAAAATTTGATTTGACTCAGTTTGAGTTGGACATCAAAATATGCTAATTCAGTCTGTTGAAAAGAACTTGGGTGGACACACCCATTCCCATAGCGCTGCACATCACATCCGAACCAGTTCCGTTATTTTTACAACGTTTCGGCACTTGGCCATCGTCAGGTAATAACAATGAATACCATGGAAGCCACACAAGAGCAGTATATACGCAGAGTGTAGCGCCAAAAAAGATGCTAATTATGTCACCTAGTATGCAGAAGGGGGGGACAGAGAGAGAGAAAAGGCGCAACTAGCACATCACGGAGGAGAAGCAGCAGAAGGTAGCGCGCATTGTGCTCTGTGAATGGCGTTACGCAGAGTGTAGCGCCAAAAAATAAAATACATACTAGGTGACATAATTAGCATCTTTTTTTGGCGCTACACTCTGCGTATATACTGCTCTTGTGTGGCTTCCACGGTATTCATTGTTATTACCTGACGATGGCCAAGTGCCGAAACGTTGTAAAAATAACGGAACTGGTTCGGATGTGATGTGCAGCGCTATGGGAATGGGTGTGTCCACCCGAATTCTTTTCACAGATGAAGCTGCAGGAAGCCTCAGCCCTTCTTCAAACTCAGTCTGTTGAGATCCTGGATCATTGTGCTTTTGCTTGTGCTTGTCGACGGAAAGAATACGATGTCCGGAGTGTTTGGTGCTTGGGGGGCATTCATCCGCTCAGCGATCAGAGTATGCTTCTCGTTTGCAGTCAACGTTTTGCCTGCAGAGCCCGCAAAAATTACCACGTACAGCTCCATGAGCTCCCTCTCCATTGCTGAGTCAAACAAAGATTTCGGCGCGATGGAAGAAGTTGACAGTCTAGAAGTCAAAACTCAAAACTCAAAAGCATGCAGTCAGACGGAAAGAGTAGGGGCTGAAATAAAAAGAAAAGATGGAACATGCGGTGCAAGGATATCAAAAGTGCTCTCGCGTGCCGCCGGAATCTGCATCCCACCGGCCTGCACAGTGGTGGGAAAACTTTTCCGTGTTTACGCTGGCGGGAACATCACGTGAGCGATTTTGTATTTGTATTTATTTGTATTTATATCATTATCTCATGGCACATCATGATGACGGCCAGTAAAACTGAGACAAGGGTGAAAGCCAACCACAGCAGTAAAACAGATAAAAGAATACAAATAAAAGGCAAAGGAGGAGACAAACCAGCAGGATGTCATGCAAATACAGGAAACCTATAATTGAGCAGAGATTTTAGCAACAAAATTATCCATCGACGTGCTGGTCTTGACCTGCGTTGGTAATGTTGCCCTAAACACATAGCCAGCAAAGATCGGGGATCTAGTGAATGGGTGAAGGCAGCGCGTGGGATACTGAATGAGTTCCGGGTATTCCGTGTTTCGGAGAACCAATTATAAGCCTGCATATGCAAGGGTATTTTATTTAGTAATATTTTATGTATGAGAACACAGAGGTGGTACTTATGTCGAGTGGAAAGGGGACTGATCTTGGCAATTTCGTAAAGGCTAGCGGAGGGAAAGCGACGACCTTTGCTAAGGCCAAAACAAAAAATAGGCTTGTTTCCGGTCGGCAACCCCTCAAAAAGGAGACTCGGTCGGCCGGAATGAAACTTTTTTTGGATACTTTTTTTTGGTTCCTCAATCGTTGTGGTATTGATGGACAAGAGCACCTACATTGTACATACATGTATATCATGGCAAGGATCAATGTCAAAGTTGACTGACTCACTGTTCTTGTACAGCATGTGGTGTATTCCTGTTTTCGTACTTCAAATACATCCTGAGAAATCAAGCAAACAGTTTGAGTCCTTCCAGCTCCGTTATTCTAGCTCGTATCGACCCCGGAGGTTTACGAGCCGACAGCTGAGAATCTCTGCTACCTTTTGTAGGTGTTTCGATTGTGGAATTCGGTTGAGATTTGACTGAGTTATGACTCGTTGAGTGCACTTGCACACATGGCATTGCCACCGTTTGTATACATTTTGGGACCAAAAAAAAGTTTCAGAATTTGGGAAAAAGTGGCCCGGTCGGCCGACCGGAAACAAGGTCATTATTTGTTTTGGCCTAAATAAGATTTTAAGGAGCATGCGGTTATGGGTTTCTAGCTTGTTCAATACAGTAGTAGTTATGCCAGACCAAGCAGTATCACAGTAGTCAAGTAAGGGCAATATATAGCAACGATAAAACAAGCGTTTGCAAGAAAGAGGAAGATGTCTACAGTGGGCTTGAAGAGCCCCAAGGATGGAGCTTGTGCGCTTGCAGACATACTGCACATGGGGTGACCACGACAATTTAAAGTCAATAACAACGCCAAGATGCTTATGCTCTTCAACAATACGAATAGCAACACTTGAAGAAGGAAAACAAAGTGGCAGGGAAGGGGGAGAAGGGGAAATGTACGTAGCTGCCGTTTTATCAACGTTTGGCTGCAACTTCCAATCATGCATCCAGGTTATAACCTTGCCAATGCTATCTTGCATGGTTTCATGCAGTCGTATAGGGCAAGCATTGGAGCAAAGCAGAGCTGTGTCGTCAGCGAAAAGGCTGACACCAGGGGCGATATCGGGGAGGTCATTAATATACAGGAGAAATAGCAGTGGCCCAAGGATTGAACCCTGGGGGACTCCAGAAGTAACGGGTAAAGGCTCCGACAACACAGTTGAGAGGCGTACAAGCTGATGTCAGTCAGAGATATACGATGAGAGCCAGCCGATAGCCTTGCCATCAATGCGATACACTGTTCGCAGCTTAGTTAAGAGACCCCTGTGCCAAACAGTGTCGAAGGCCTTTGCAAGATCGAAGAAAACTAAACCAACATGGTTATGGGCGTTCCGGGCGGTGTGGATGTCTTGCATAAGGCGACCACCACGTTCAGTCACGTTGGTACCGTCGGCAAAGCGCCACTTACGGACGGTGTGGCTAATTGTTGCCGGCCAAAATCCTGTACTGAGTATCTTGCCTTCATCCGTCGCTGGGACAGTCAGTTGTGCATATGCTGTACCAAAGGTTCGGGATTCGCTAATACTGCAATTGAGCACCTCAACCTCACGGTCCTTGCACCAGTCAGTGATTGCGTTAGCGCTACACTCCATGTTTGACATTGCCCACGTAGAACACAGATTTTGTGACTTTTTCTACGCCTGTGAGGATGTTGGGGTTAGCTGGGGCCACAGGCTTCACGTACCGGGACGTGACCCTACGCCGTACAACTTCGGCCCAGCCATCCGAACTGCTTCCCGTATATTCACTTGTACTAGTTGTAGCCAATGTTGATCTGGTTGGTGCAGCCGGTGGTGTTTCAGTGCGTGATGAGGTCTGGTGTACGTGTGTCGATGGTTGGGAAGTACGGGTACGGTTGGTAGAGTGTGCGTTGGAGGGAGTCCGAGTGAGGGGGGTTTCCCTCACCCCAGCCCCTCTAGTACTAGTACAACTGAATTAGCTACACTACTGTACGTTGTACTCGGGGTTGTAGATTGTGCAATCAGGTTTGGACTCCCGCCTTCCTCAAGGTGTATCATCTTCGCCACAAGGCCATCAATGGTTGCTTTCATTTCTCTAACTTCCCCATCCCTGTCCTCCCTCAGGGAGACCATTTCCACAGTTAATGCAGTGATAGTCGAGGACAGTGCACTGATAGAGCTCACTAGCGCTGGCATACCTGATTTGCCGATGTCCATGGCGCGAAGTTGAAGTACAAGGTCCGGTCGGGCCAGCGAGTCCACACCTGCAAGTCCTGACTTTTTGGCCAAGTCACGAATCTCCCCATCCAGCAGCAAGGCCAGGTCCATATTTGAGTTCTCCACCATATCAGGGCTGGGACTTGTTCCAAATCCACCTATACTTACAAAAGTGGCCGAAAGGCTATTCCATAGAAGGAAAGGCAGGAGCTAAAAAACTTGCTTCCTACTCATACGACACAAAAACATTCTGCTTGATTCACCGTGACAACTTTCACATTCCGCTTGCTTTTTACGCCAGTCTTAACGCGCCCTTAGCAGCGCGTGTGACATCAGATGGGTGGTTGCGTATAGCCATGCCGTAATAGTTTTGCAGTGAGTCGATCAGGCTATCAGTCAAACAGCCCCTTCCACCAATATCCATTCCATCGGCTAGCTTGCTTGATCAAAAGCGCTGTTTGAGATCACGGAGGCCTTTCCTCAGCCGCTTCTGCACGTGTCCTATCCATTCTTCTTTAGCAATGGGGATATCTCCACGGTCCAAACGGCTTCTCGGCACAGACAGCAGTGTATCCCTTGCTATCACTATCTTCCAAGTAGGTGGTATAACGAAGCCCACGGTGCTCCACAGACCGCTTCCAGAGGACTTTCACTGCCTCCATTTCTATGGCAGGCAATGAAGCTGTGGTGTTGATCAAACAGCTGTCCCTGTGGCTGGCAAACCAGGTATCAAATTCGGCTTGCCTGATCTTCTGTTTCTCAAGCTTTGACGACCAGTGAGAACAGGCAGGGCACGAACGAGACAACATCTCGACGTCAATAAGTTTGCCCGTATCAAAGGCAATCGCACTTTGCACTCCATACAGTGAGCTGTATCCTCGCCGCATCCATGTGCCATCTGTGCTGACAGCGATGTCTTTACACCCGTCCTGTATAGCGTCATCTGCCGCTTTGGTCATACACTGCTCAGCTTTAGTCGCTGCTGCCTCGAAAAGTGCATCACAGTGGCCAAAATACGACTTGCGAGCCGTGGGAGAAGGCAGATCCCAAATGCCACACATCTTGGTCAGTGCTTCAACTGCTGCCTATCATGCGCATGGCCAGTGCACTGGGCCGGTTGATGTCGTAGAATGTTATGCAATCATTCTTGCTGGCCAAGGTGAGTTCCGATGTGAATGAGCAATGTTGACAAACTAATGAGCACACTGGTGCTAGACCGATTCTGTCAACTTCCTTCAAGTCAAGCTTGCCTTTTTTGCATGAAGAACACACAAGACCCGGAATAAAAGGGACGGAATCAGGATCAAGTCCAGACATAGATGATGATAATGATAAGAAAGGGGGTTATCGCGTGGATACTAGAATAATAATTACCTTGCAAGGACATGGCCGTTAGCAGCTTCCTCTGCGGCATCGGATCATCTTGTTGACTGCAGCGGTTGATGGCTGGGGATTCTGCTTGGGGGTGAGGACTCAGTGAGTGAATGTGTGTTTTCCTGAGGCTGGGATAAAACCTTCCTCATCTGGAACGCATGGGCCGCTTTGCCGGCCGGGATGACAGCCGTGCTGGCAATTTGATTGCCACTTGTGCCAGGTATACTACCGTCGTCATCATCCTCTTAGGCTGCTACCAAAAGGCTGTGCGGCGAATACAAAAGACCAGGCCTGACCCTGGAATTGCCATTGAAACCCCAGGAATTTCCTATGCGCTGGGGCCAATTGAGATGACTGTGATGGTAGCCATCCTTTAGGCCAAGCGTGAACAAGAAACAGCGTGAACAAGAAACATCGGGGGTTATATTGTTAATGGTCGTACCAACTGTCCATACATAGTCAATATTTGGATCCTGTCAAACGTGTTCACCTTAGTGCTGGGGAGTATTGTTTTCCTTTGTCAAGTTGCCCCTCACGCAAACTTCTCCTGCTTTTCCGTAGTAATAGTTACAAGGTGCTTTGGAGAAAGTTCTTCTGCTGTCGGTGGTAAAGTACAGTAACGAGTTACGAATATGGTGATGAAGAAGACATATTCAACTCAGTGGTTTCCGAAAAATGAGCTCTAACCTAGCTAGCTATCCACTGTTTTGTTCTCTGCAGTGTAGAGTTTTCCACAAAGAGACCTCAATTGGGTTTGTAAAGCTCTGGTTCTAATTTAGCGTTTACTAGTATTGCAAACGCAGTCCTAGTCTAAAAATGTTAGTAACCTTACGTTGAGAATGGTCTGACCCGCTCACACTGCTGCATTCCTAAGCACGAGTTTGACGCCAAGATTAACGATCAACCCTTGTGATCAACCGTCGTTTGTAGAAATGAGTATGTAGAGCCCTAGCCCTGGTCTCTGTTTCTGCCCGTCTTTTCCTACGTGTATGCAGGTAGACGGTGTCTTGTTCTACCACCGGGAGTCGGGCTACGAACACGGCCGCACCCCACTGCTCGGCTGGCTCAGGTGCAGCATGCTGGCTGAGATTATTGGTGTTGCTGCGTCGGAGGCATTTCTTGCGCAGTGCATTGGAGACGAGAGCTGCATTCCGTTCGGCAAGTTCCGCGCGGCCAAAGACCAAACGATGGAAGTCACGTGAGGTGCTCGGCCGCAAGCGTCTTGGATTGCTGGAGCTGCAGGAGGCTGTGTTGGCTTTGTAAGTAAAGCACAAACTTGCCCGTTGTCTCTTGCTCAGAACTTTGTGAACTGTTCGTTCGTTGTGTTTGTCGCTAATTCTGCCTTCACTTCGATCTACACTAGCTTTTCACCTTGTCGGTGGAGTGATGAAAGCTCAGGCACTTGAAGGATAATTTCACAATACCAAACATATCTTGCCGTTCTCGATCGTGTACGCGGTGGATTGTCATTTGGCCCCGTGTTGGTCGTGTACATGGTCAATTGTCATCTGGTCCCGTGCTTCCGCTGAGAGTACTAACACGGTACGTTGTTGAACAAGCCAAGGCAAGCCAGCCAACTGGCAACTGGCACTCTACTGCTGCTGCAAGCAATTTTGACTAAGAGCATCTGGTGCCTTCTAGGCTATCACTTGCTCGGTGTGTGTTTGCTGTAGCTACTCTGTAAGCCGGTGTAGTTAGCCAGCCCTGAGTCACTTGTTGTTAGCCAGCCCTGAATCACTTGTTGTCTTCAGTGGAGAGGCGACAGGTAGTGCATCAACCCGCTGTTTCGCTTCATGCGTCACTGCTCTTCCAAGTCTGTTGACCAGTTCCTATTGAACGACGTAATGGTAGCTGTTCTGTACGGCATACATGTATGCGCAATGCTGGCGTATATCAGCCTGGCTGCATGTCTCTGTAAGCACACCATGCAACTGAAAGGCAAGCCTTGAGGCACACAAGTAGCTAGGTACAAGACCTAGCAATGCTCACACGTGTTACTTGACCTTTCAAGCCAGGATATAGCTGGGCACTGGAGTAGCATTGAGAGCAAACAGCTTGGAGGGCTACGGGGTCCTGAATGCTTTTGCTGCATGTATCTGATTTTCAATTAAGTTTTATTTGGTGTTTTTCTTCACTATTTTCAAGAATTTTCACTGGCCTATCAAGCTTTACATGCACGTCAAGGGCCCGATCTTTAAGCTGGAGGTGTTTTTTGCTGTTGTTGAAGTTGCTGGTCACCTACTTTGAGTACTAGTACCTGGTGCTGTCATGCTTTCAACAGTACTCAGCAGGGGTTGTACACAACCTTTTTTTATTTGTTCTACTTTCAGCAGTATTCAGGTCTTATCTACAACCCGTTTTTAAAACAATATTCTGTTGTCTTACTTTCAACAGTATTCAGGCGGTGAACACAAACTTTTTTTATATATATTATTTTTAAACAACATTCTCCATCCATGTGTGTGTATCTGCTGCGCTATAATGTTCCCTGAAGTCTTCCCGGCTCACAGCGATCACACGCTTTCCGTTTTGAGTATGTTTGTTTTGTTTTTGCATTCCATGCTAAAATGCCAGTCATAAAAGGCAAGTCCAATACAAGGTTACAGTTGCTGAGTGTTGTGTGCTGTGTGTCTACTTATCTTGTTGAGCTGCGTGTGTACACAACAAAGGATACAGCCCTCACCCCCACCCCTGCCAAAATAGTGGTACCTACTTGGCTCCACTCTGCAGGCCACGTTTTTGCTAGGTCCGTGCTGTACCATAGAGGCCCAACACACACACACACACACACACACACCTGACCTGACCTTTGACGCCCATCGCCGGAGGCGATGATAGCAATGCTACGGCAGATGCCATAGCAACTTGTGCTGGGATTGCACCATTCAACAGCTTGCAAGGCTGAAGAATTGACCGTCACTATTCAGCCTGGTCTACACCATACAGCTATTTGAAGTGACTTTTTCTGGCCAGTGAATCCCTATTTTTGGTCTTTGTAGTAGTACACACACACACACACACACACACACACACACTACTACTACTACTACTACTACTACTACTACTGCTATGTACAGCTACCCTATCGGGCCACGCCGCTCCCAGAAGCGGGAGACAACGACAAGAAGAGAGAAGAGAAGAGAGAAATCGCAAAGTCAACAATATTTGGCATGGCGTTGCAAGTCCTGTGGCCTTGAGAACACACACACACACACAAACAAACACACACACACACACACACACACTGTATGTCTACCATAGACTCAATACCCATGCTGTACCATAGACTCAATACCCAAGCTGTACCATAGACTCAATAACCTCCTCATTATCTTACTCGCCAAACCTACAATGAAGATGCTGCTCATTCAAACCCGATGTTCTATGTTTGTGCTGATCATTGGTACTAGGTTCTCTTTTGTGCACTGCTATACAAGTACACTTGAAACGACGTTACATTCGTTTACTATGCGAATACAATTTAAACCTACATGATTGTACATGTATTACCGTCACTGTGTAAAAAATATAAATAAAGGAATTTATCGTGTCCGTTCCCGAAGGGAACTCACGACGGCCGCTAACACCCACGTTTGTCAAAGACCATGATTGAGATACGAGAGGTACATGTACCTGGTTCAAGTCCTGCCTGGGAGCGGTTTTTCCAGCTGTGCTGCTACCCACAGTCAACTGGGAACTTGTGGCCAGGCACAAGGGGTACATGGATGCAGCTAATGGGGTCGTTCTCGGTACTTGTGCCAGTGGTTGTGAGACTTATCCACTCACCCCCCACCGTTAGGCGCTGCATCTGCCGCTAGGGTTTACCGTGACTGTGTACAATAGGGCTTGAAAGTGATGACGTCAAAAAAGGCCTGGGAGTAGTAAATTGACATCAGATTTCTATTTTGGATCCACTAAGGTGTGACTTTGCTATTGCCTCAGTATGTGGGTGCATAGCAACCCACTCATGTCGTATGCAGGTGCAACTTTCACTTCGCCACCAGTTGTCACCCCGCCCCCACTAGCCAAATCAGTCAGTTTCACTGGCAACATCACCTTGCAGTGAGTGAGACCGCTTGAAATGTGCTTGGATCCATACAAAAACTGGATCCAGGTGGATCCAGTTTTCGAATTTTTCAAATTGTTGCTATGCCATTGCTATGGAGTGACGTAGCACTTTCAAGCCCTATTATACCGTGACTGTTGCGATATAACGTCACTTTATAGTTTTACACGAGTAGAGTATCCAGATCATGATAATTATCAGTGTCACGTTTTTTACGGCCTCCACGAATTCGGTGCGTGGTTTCAAGTAACGTTAGTTACATAAAAACACGTCTACACAGAAAAAAATTATAGTACTACAGTAAATAGTGGATATAACGTGCCCCATTGATTTTCGATGATTTATCACTATAATTATCCGGTGCATCACTATAGCCGATTTGCATGTATGACTGACACATGGCACATGACTGTGCATGAAATGATGCGTACATGCTGGAAAAAGCATGAAAAGCAGCCACGTGTACGTGTGGCTGCTTAGGGAAGAATTTTCTCTCGATCACGTCTGCTGCCTGATGCATCCAGGCAACACTGGATCAGTTTTGGAGGAAGTGAACTATATTGGAAGAACACTTGTTTTGTGATCATCACTCTTGATCAGTATATGCGATATTTTCCTGCGCATTTGATATGGTTTGCTTCCTGAAGCTCATCACAATAAGCGATATATCGGTATAGCCGATAATAGTGTGTATAGTGATATTTTAGCTGTATTTTTTTGTGATTTGATTTTGATTTTGGCGAGTTCTATCATTATAGCCGGTATATCGTTACACCCGGTCACTTTATAAACGATACTCACTGTATGTAGAGGGGACGGCTCGATACCGGGACGTTTTGACAGCCAAATAATTTGTATAGACCCAAACCAATCATCAGCGTTGATTTTTCACTCGAAATATGTTTGTGGAAGGAAACTGGCATGTTGAAGTTTGCTCTGGGGCCAGAGTCAATCGAACTGAGCCACTCCTTTGTGTTGACCCATTGCCTCCAAGTTGCCCAATTTTTCGCTTCAAAAAAGTTCAAATCAGAGGTGGCTCCAAACCGGACACGTTTTAGAGTGCACGTCAAATTCACTCTGGGTCTGAAATTAGGTAATTGCTATCGCTCCACGATGGCCAGTACAGAGTAACAATAAGCCTTGTGTGTGCTTCCATTAGTTTTGATTGGTATGCGGTGCTTTATTGGCGAGAGGCCAGCCGCTGTTTACCTGCGACAAGAAGTTGATTTTTCGAAAGTCGTAAAACTCAAGTCGCAGTGCGAAGCAACACGTCAAAAACTCACCTGCTTGATATGGCGCTTCTGGTCATAGCAGAGCCATGAAATTTTGGCTCGGAGTATAACACATCGTAGTCTCACTGTGACATATGTTTTCTAATCAAAATAGTAGTAGTAGTATTGACATATCCGCGGCAAGCCGCTTATGTACAACGGCATGGGAGAGGATATCAAAAAATGAAAATATAATTATTGTTGGGGAAATCCACGCTATTATCGAATATTCAACAATGACGGGTGTGGGGTTATACCAAATTCCCATAATGTGGAAGTACGTTATTATTGTTGAAAGCACTAGGTGATCTGCACTCTACAATGTGACCTGTGCGATTATATCGTTGAATGATTGCCTGTTCCGAGCCACCAAACGCAGTGTCTCCAGGTCCTTCAGACTCCGGAGACGCATGGACGTTGCCTTAGCTAATTCGTTGTCTATCACCACTGGTAGGGTGATGCGCGGGCGTCCGAGCCAGCCCCGATTCTGTCGCTGGAAATACGCTGTCATGCTCACCTGTGCTGGAGTTGCTTCAGGGAGGCGTAGAATATGACCAAACAGTTTCCACCGTGCTCTTCTGCTTAGTACGGATATTGGCTCGGCATTGCAGCGGGCATATAGGTCTGTGTTGGAGATAATTTCCGGGTAAGATATCCCTAATAGACGGCGGAGCTGCTTTCTGTGGAACGCATCCATTGCTGTAGCATCCCGGGATGAAAGCACCCACACGCCGCAGTTGTAGGTCAAAATAGTCTAATCTATTTTGACCTACAATCAAAATACCAAGAGAGAAAGTGAATATTGAGTCCGTTCCGGTTTGCAACCGGTGTCCTATTTGAAACCGTCCCCTCTACATTTAATATAATTATTATTATAACCTAACACTGGTTAAAAACCAGTATTAGATAAACCTTGTTATAGTTCAGAATCACGCAATTGTTAGATTGACAGCATGAAACAAGGTGAAGGCCTACCAATGGCCACGTCGGGACATCACCAACCCCGTCTACAGAGAGCACCTTTTCGCGACAGTGTCATGGTGATGACAAAAAAAACTGTTGACAGTTGACGAGCTGAGAGAAGGACGCCATGGGCAGAAGTTGGAAGAAAAAGAAGTCTTTATACAAGTTAAAGAAAAGAGCGAAGAAAACAAGACGACATCAGGAGTAGTCTCCTAACCCCCTAGCATAATGAGAGTCAGAACCGGGTGCGATACCCATTATGGTTCAAATGGTCCGCAGGGACCGGGGCTCTGCCAACCGCGGAAGGTTGTAGTAAGGTCACTGTTTCCGAACACAGTGTCCTCCACCTTGTTTCATGCTGTCAATCTAACAATTGCGTGTACTGTGTACATGTATGTAGTCCACTACTAGTACTACAGCTGTATAAAGAAAGGCGCCGATGACACAAGTAAAAGGCAAGGAAGAGAGTGCGTATAATGCTATGCAATCAATCCACGACTGGGACAAAGAGTCACGCACCCGCAGTACATTATTTCACCGTGACTGACAACTACTTGAATGGAAAACATGCGAAGTAACTTAGCTCACTAGTACAGGGCGTTATGGTCTCTTGGTTTCGTGTATGCTGACGCCACACGACAAAAATGCCTAACCTATCGATGAAGTTTCCAATGAGATTGTACTGCAGCTGTACAATAATTTTTTTTGAATAAACCTAGATTCAATCGGATTGCATAATGTACTCTTAATGGATCTTATGGGCCTAAGTTATGGCCAGTATTGCCCATTGGGGTCTTTTTGCGAATGATCCAATCTGCATGTCCTTAGCCCGAAGCCTTAGCCTTAGGCTTCTCAAGGTCACCCTGTGACTGTCCCACGCACATCATCTACAGTAGACGGCTACAGCTAGGCCTCCGCGGAATATGCTCGTATTTTTACCGATAATTCTTTTGAGCATTGCTCAAAATTTCGACCGATTATTCCCGTAATTCCACCGACAATTCTCACAATAATTCTTTTTTTCTTCCCTTTTTTGCAGATAACGTACCGCGTACTGTTTTTTTGCCACTTATACGGGCAAAAAAATCACGGTTCGCGTGAAATTCGGCTGGAAGCTTTTTTTTTCTTTCTTTTTTGAAATACCGGGCGATCAACGTTCAGGATCATGAGCTTTTTGGTACAAATCAGGGTGTTATAAATGGAAAAAAATTGAAAAAAGGGGGGCATTGCTCAAATTTTACCGATTATTCCACAAAAAATGCCAATAATTCCCGTTTTAAAAATCACACCGATAATTC